TTGACGTTTAAGAGTGTAGGATTAAGGATCTGTTTCATTTTAGTTTGGTGGCCGATAGATAATATGGTCATACTATTGTGCCAGTATGCTGGTTAAGGAATATGAGCAGTTCTAAACCTCTCAACAACTAATGAGTGAATACTTCATTTTTTACTATGCGTACGTAATTTTCATCATTAAAATCATGATTTATCAGTAAGCACTTACAATACACACGAACAATACATGGCGCTGCGGCTTGCTTATGGTTAAATATCGTAAGTTTCAAATTGTTATTAAACGTTTCGGACATTCTGGAAACTGTGGAGTCACAAATATTGAAAAACTCTGTAGTGATGTTGTGTTGTTACAGTTCAATACTTTCTTTTCAGCTTTCGGCATCGGACAGGCAGCTTTAGCTGGCGGTGCAGCGTTTGGAATTGGCGCATTATGTTACTATGGGCTTGACTTTCCAAACAGACTGGTTTATGGGAAAATCATAGTGAGTGGAATCGCCAGCATTGGTGTCGGTATGCCAGTTTAATAATGGAACAATGTTTAGTATGTGGCCAGAATATGTCCGGACGCGCGTTCACGAAACATATGCTTATTTGGGTGGATCGCTGGGAGTCACAGCCATCTCTACTACCCTAGTGTCGCGCAGTCCTCAGCTGATGAGTATGATGACACGAACTGGATGGATGTCCATTCTGCTGACTTTGGCGCCATGATCGGCACCGGAATGCTAGCCCGCTCAATTGCTTACGAGAATACCGGTCCCAAGCATCTGGCGTGGCTTTTGCATGCCGGTACATTCGGCGTTTTATTGTGTTGTACAGTAACTGTTGTCTGCTGTACTTTAATAAGTGTTTTTCGGTAATTCTTTAGCGACGATCGGAGCGGTAATTGCACCATTGACATTGTTGGGTGGCCCAATTATGATGCGCGCGGCCATGTACACAGCTGGGATTGTCGGTGGACTGAGCACCGTGGCCGCTTGTGCGCCATCCGATAAGTTTCTCTACATGGGCGGTGGACCATCGGCTTGTGGTATTTGCCGCATCCCTGGGCTCGATGTTCTGCCTCCGACAACCGGTACAAAGAGCGTAGATGTTTCGGCAATACTTGTGTGATATTGTACGTAATATTCAAAACAGCAAAAGCGTCTTTGTCGTGGTTTTAGCAATTGGGGCTGGTTTGTATTCGATCTCGATGTACGGAGGACTTTTGCTATTTTCGGCTTTCTTGCTCTACGATACCCAACGAGTGGTCCGAAAAGCCGAAACGCATCCACCTGGAGTTCCGGGCATGATCAAGCAGTACGATCCCATCAACGCGTGAGTTTTGGCACTTGATTGTTCAGAGTTTACAATGAAAATTAGCGTTTTGATTTAGTAAGTGGTTCATTAAACTGGCTACCGCTGTTCAGTTTATTCATTAAACTGGCTACCGCTGTTCAGTTTAAGCACACATTTCGAAGTTTGCAAATTGTTGAAGAATAAAATTCAAACGGTTAAACTGATTTATTTAAAAAAAAACAAAGTATATACGGGATTAACGGGAAAGGCTGTGAATTATTATGTTTTTGGTCTGGAATGTGTTGTATTTTTCAGGATGATGTCGATTTACATGGACATTATCAACATCTTTATTCGTTTGGCTGTAATGATGGGTGGTGGAAACCGTCGACGATAAAAGAAACTGCTGATTGAACTTACAAGAAATTCTGAAATTCTTCCAGATGTGTTCTGATCTGTAATATATGATTCGCATAGCGATTTAAACGCCCAGACCTTGGATAAATTTCACCGTATCTGTAGACGATTTTTTGACTGACAATAGTGAGTGACAGGGGAGTTGTACGAGTGAATTTGTCGTATTTCATGGTGATTCTTCCGTGAATACCTATCTCGTGTGTGAGCCAAATCCGAAATCGAATATTACTGTCTTTAGAAATCGAGGGGGTTCCGTTTCACTGTTTCAGTAAAGCCATTCACAGTATAGTTTTGAAAAATAATTGGTGGTATTTTCTTCGGAATTCTGCGGTCCACCTGGCTGGGGATCGATTGTGGGCTGTGGTTCACGAGTGTGCAATTAATTGATAGGGCTTTTGACCGGGTAGATAACCTTCACCGAATTGCGTTTGTCTTTGGTCGATCATTTGAGGAGCATCCTGGAAAGAACCACAAGTGACTTACTAAACAATTACGAATTTCTGCCGGTTACACTGAATTGTTTCCTTACCGGAAACACCGCCGGTGGTGGCGAAACCGGAAGGTGAACGAGATGGCTGGACGGGGATGTTGTACTCTCGGTACTCACATCCGAAGGACTAGCAGATGATTCTGCGGAAGCTGGCGTGGTCACTTCCGGTGGAGAGGCCAGTATTACGGCATTCGAAGTCAGCAGCGGTTCAAGTGGTTTTATAACGTTTGACGTAGCAGTTGAAGTTGAATTGGAAACGCTCTCGAATAAACTAGAGGAGGTAATATTGTTTCCTCGTGTGGTAGCTGGAAAAGTGTGATAACTTATCTATTCATTATTTTTCTTCTTCCCTAGCCTCCAAGTATATCAGATTGCTGTCATTCACTATTTTCACTGATTGCTGCTAGTCATATATAGCTATAGTTACCTGTTACAGTATCAAAATCTGTATTCTGTGTAATTTACCGAAAAGCGCACTGATAATCACAAGGAAAGACAGGCACGAAGTGGAGTGTTCCGTACGATACAGTTCAGCATTTTTCGGTGCTTTATAATCTTTGTCGAAAATCTTAATAGGTCCTGTTATATGGGAAATTATTAACGATAATAATCCGATGTTGGTAATAGTCGATACAAGAAGCAACGCGATTTGGTGCCGTCCAGTCCAAAAAAATCGGGCTAATGGCAATACTAAATTCGTAGCTATCTATATTCGTGGCGCAAACAAAACTGGAATTACAGCATCACCACTTGTATTTCTGCATTCTTATCGCCAACGAAAAAGGTCATGAAATATGCAGCATGGGCCAACGTGTCAACGATAATGGATAAATTTCTATGGTCAACCGATTAAATAAAAATTTAAAAAAAACCAACCGATAAAAATTAATTGAAGTCACGTTTTAACTTTTCAAGCCTTGAATAACAGCTGTGGAGAGAGTGTGGAATAACAGAAAATCTAGTGTGAAACGAAATGGTGGAACTAACGGAACAATATCCAGCAACGTAAGCACCGTAACACAGACATTTTCGCTTAACATAATTTTACAACAGTATGTTCACCTACCCTTTCGCAGTCTGCACCATTACTGCAAATGAATACCTCAGCAAAACTGAAGTGCTCGGCTCAAGAGTGGCAAAGTAAACCAAAGGTCCGTTGCAAAAAATTCCAGGACCGCAGTCCGTAAGTCGAACGATTCATGCTAACCGGATAAAGTAGCATCTGGTACTACGTTCTAGCTAATAATTAACACCGCTATTGCACAATTAAAAACACCACTATTTGGAACTCATCACATAAATCGTTAAATTACACGCCGCTGACAATACTATCTCATATTTTAACATTTATTTTTTCTCCTTTCTACATCAACCATACAAATTAACAAAGTAAGAAAACAACATAACTTTCTTGAATGTAATCGAGAAATAATCGAATATCAATAGAAGTACAAACGAGTTCTGTGTGTAAATTTTTTGCACAACAAAAGCAATTCAAAATCCTAACTGGCCGGTGCATAATCAAGACTTTGTAGTACAGGCAATTTATGCACAAGGGTCTCCAAAAAAGCTACCAAACCCAGAGTTACTACAAACACAGAGAACGATATCGTTCTCTGTACTACAACTGTTTAGCCTTAGCTGGGTGACAGTGACACTGGAGAACGTCCATCCGACAAATCAAGAGGAGCGACAAAAGACGGCGCCTTGTAGTTGATGGCCCGAGCCGGCACTCCGTTCTTGCGTTTACCAATATGACCCTTGACTTCGCGCGGCTTTTCCTCATTGGTGGCCGTATGCGACACTGAGCCGGTTACCTTTTTCGGTTTAACCCCGCTGTGCTTCTTGTGGGATTCGCGGATGCTAAACAGGATTCCACCCAATTCTTGGTGGATCATCTCCTTTGTCGGCGGATTGGGAACATCTTTAAATTCACAGTAGCTATCCACAACACCTGCAACGTATATCTAATTAGTATGCAAATCCTGAGTCAATGCGATTCTAGCTTGCATTGGGTAGCATATTGTTTTCGAGTACGCGTAGTCGATACTTTATTTCTGGAGCGGTTTACGCACGTAACAAAACCTTGCGACTTACTTTTAACAACGTTCAGTCTGTCTTGATCCAACGCCTTTTTCCGTTTTTCGACATCCGCGCGCCCCGCTCTGTAGGTACCGAATTGATGAGCTCGTCCGTAGTAAATAACTTTTTCATTGTCAGTTTCAAGGCTTTTTTCCATGTAGATTGAGTTAAAACCGCATCCTACAAGGAAGCAACTCTTCAACTTTTTTGTAAGCATTTATTCGTATTTATAATAAAAGGTGGGAAAAACGCCACGATGAGCAAGCAAAATCATGAAAATTTAATTCCATATGTACTGCAGCAATATTAACAGTCGGAAATACGGAAATGGATAACTATCATCACAAAATTAATAACGAATATCAAAATACAAAAAGAAGATATGAAAACCAATCCTAAATATAATAATTTCAAGTACTTCGAAAAGGAACAGTGAAACCCATGAAGATCATGAAAATAAAGCAACAAAAGAAAAGAAATAGAAAACAGTTATTTTGTTTCCTCAAGTAAACCAGAAAATGGTCTTACCAAAATCTCACTTGGGGCACTGGATCCATACCCATCGGCGAAGAAAGTGACGTGCTGGACGAAAACGGCGGTGTGCCTTCTAACGCATAACCTTCACCTTCAGGAGCCTATCCGAAATGAGAGTCTGATAATTTAAAATCGAAAAACATTAGACTGTTCAAAGCAGACTTTCAAAAACTGACCACTTCCCAGCACAACATTAATGCGGACAGTCAAACTGGAGGGTCAACTTACGCTGCGCTTTCCTCGAGCACTTTTGAGCACCGTTCCATTCTGGTAAGCCAACATGTTTTCTCGATACTATAACACACAAACAACTGCTAAAAACAGGCCGCAAAAGGAGAGAAGCCGGCAGAAATCAACAATCACAAACACAGAACGAACCATCCACCAAGCAAGCAGCCTGTCGTTTGCAGCCGGATGCATGTTTACCCGCGATGCACCTGGCGCCATACTGACGGAGCTCCATTGAGGAAGGGCGCACTGCTGACCAGATCCACAGTACTCGGGGATCCTTCGCGTGCCTCACTGGCCGAATCCACGACGCGGAACGGGGCTCCACCACACTCTACAACGATGCCCAAACTACCACTAAATTCAAAAAAATTACATACACGGAAAAATTGAGGTAAAAAAAGGAGTCGCATAATGAACAACATATTATATTAAATGCAAGAATTCAAGTTAATTTAAAATTGAAACAAAACGAAACGAGAATTAAGTAGGAATCGTACAATTCAATTTTTGACGCTTATGGCAATAAATAACTAATTAACTACCATTTTCAAGTTTGTCACAAAAGGATGCCAACTGCTTTGCAGACCGTTCAGTTCGTTTTAGCATGTCAAGAATAATGCATTTCCGACATCGTATGACTGACCTCGGCGAACCACATCTCCTTGGTCTCGTTGTGTGCTGTTTCGTCTCCATGCTTCTGCAGAGGAATCAAGACATCAGCTCGCTGCACGACTGAATAAGAAATCCACAACCCACCGCGCGCATCAAGCCTAGTTCCACTGCCCAACGATAGCCCTTATCCTCGTATGTTTTCTCATTGGATGACGGGAACAGTCGCGCCGCGGCCAATTCATTTGCCGTTTTTTCTACATACAAAATGACAAACCCGTAGAATGGACAGATCGGTCGTTTGTCCCCTGAGATGTGTATCCGGGACTGACCTTCTTCGATCCAGATAACAATACAGTTGTACAAGCCGTCGCGATAGCGTGCGCGACACACTATCTTCTCGTCAGTGCTGTGCCAGCTTCCACTGGTTCCAGGGCATTCAGAGGCAGAGCTGTTCAAGTAGGAATACGATTTCGTATTGCTGTTACGATTTCACAGGGAAAATGAGACAGATCTGTCACCTTTGACCATGGATGGACAGCCCTGAGATTCGTGGAAGAAAATGATGGCACTTCCTAAAGGAGCCGATCTGGCTTTCTTGTGCGGCGGTTCGGGCATTGTTTACAAAGTCTACAAACAAACACTGCCTACAACGAGCAGTAAACTGGATATTTGATAATGCGGAATCGAATAGTAAACAATGACAGTCGAAATCTTAGAACTGGAACACTGGAGCAATGTTTTGTGATAACATTAAATACTTTCGAAAAACGAGAATAGTTTGATAAACAGAAACTACTGTAATCGAAAACTGTATGCTCAGAAGTCAAAACTACACATCAGCTCATAACAATTGGAACTGCGTCCGGGTTCACTTTGACTTCTGTAAGGCCACTTAGGACAGGCAGATCGGTAAGTAAGGTTACCGACTTCGTGGAGTGAAAAGGTCAGGTGACATGTTTCGAATTTTCGATTTTACAATTCAGTCAGGTATGCATAAAAGTTGTAAACAGAACACATAGCTAGGACTTGCGACTTGACAGTTGGCGATATGTTTAAATTATTACAGTGCAATGCATGTACAAGACACAAAATTGGGAAGTATGCATTTTAATAATTATTATTGTAATTGTATCCGTCCTTGTACATCATTGTACTTGTACATGGCTTGTACTGGTATATGAAAATATCTATACGATATACTGTAATTGTGCCTTAATGCGTATGACGGGCTTATATAAAATTAGTAAACTTAAAATTGAACGGCTGTTAGCTTATTCAGTTAATCTCAACGGCTGCCACTTCCGGCAAAAAAATAGTATTTAAACAATAAACTGTTTTGTTGAACATATCTGAACAAAATTCGAACTACGAGTACCGTATTTATTATGATTGTGCGCTGCTAATAAAGATTGAACATGTAAAATGATTTCCATACACGATGATTATACTGGTATACTGATAGAAATGTAATGTAAGAAATGTATTGTACGAGGCTAATTAGTAATAGTAGAAAAACATAATAAAAGTATGGGTGAATGATTTTTAAAAAAAGATGCAAATATTGAGTATAAAATCTACACTTATGCCGACGTTGTGGTGCGGAATTGCGGATAACACATCTAAATCCTTCCACAGAGCAAAAAAGACTTAATCACTGGTCAGTAGTAAGGATTTACTTATCGTTAGTTTCAAAATAAACGATGCAGAAGCTAACAGACTATCAGCTAAAGAAAGGCTTGCACACAGGTCTGTAAATATTTGTAATTTAATGATCAAATCCTGAATTTGAAGCGATTTTAATAATTACGAGTACGGCAAAAAACAAGAAAACTGGCTATCAGAGAAATGTGCACCGAAAAATTGAGGAAAGATGAATTACTTATTATATACACACAGACACACCAAGGCCAACAGATTTTGATTATTAATAAGTACATTACGTACAATGCAACGAATACAATGCTGCAGGTTAAAAAAGTGATTCAAGAGAAGACTCAAAAGAGTGCAACCTACGAAGTTACCGGTAATCGTCTTGGGTTATTACGTGAAATTCTGTATTACTCGTATTATGACCAGTTAGTTCAGTACGGCCAGTAACTATCACAACTGTTGTTTTCAATCAGTACTTATTTTTCCTCATTGTGAAATCAGTCAGTAAAGCATCGTTCAATTTTTTGTGCTGATATCGCAACGCAAATCGATTGCAATAAAAGTCGAAACGTTACACTTTTTTAGAAAACGAGTTTATCGAGGTGCGGACATTTTCTTGCATTGGTTAAGAACATAGGTTCGTAGCTTCGCAATCAGATTTGATTTCCTGTCTGTACTCTGTAGGTATTTGTCATCAAAAGCACAAAAAGCCAAACGACCCATCAAAGTACGATATTGACGTACGACGAATGCGCTTATTATTAATACCATTTAATTTTCTTGAAGGACAGTTTATACCTGTCTGATAGCTAATTAAACGCATAACATTAATAACATCTCGTGCATCGCTGTGCATAATTCCATCGGAACCCATGGCTACTATTGTTTACTTTAATAAATTTTGGCCACCGTTGGGTTGTTGCATTCTACAACGTAATTTGTCGGGAATAATTAGATTTCAATCGTTTGATTATGATTTGCACAAACAAAAAAAAAATTAAACTGCGTAGAATTAATACAATTTTATAATTTACTACCTTTTAATTGAATTGTGTTTTTTACAACATTTATTTCGGTTTCGTACCTCGTATATATAAGTAAACTACCGAGAAAGTTTAATCAATATCTTCTGAATTAAAATTAAAAACAGCAACATGTCAATAATACAGTAGTACAAGACTTTTGCTGTTAGGTTTCGGACCATTTAATAAGCGTCTTATCTGCATTATTGTACACTATAGACACAGTTTATAATGTACCGGTGGTACGAGTACAATACCAACGAGGGTACTGTAAGTATTATACTGTAGCATAACGTGTAAATATACGTATTTACTATTTACTACAGGATTTAAAATGTACATACGGTAGTGGCCTAAAATTAAACGCACATACACACGTTTAGAATGCTCGATCCAAACAGTTGAAAGTGCAAAATAAATATTTTTTGTAATACAAGGTCTGTTTCAGCGTGTTCGCGGTTAATATATCCAAAATTTTGTCGACACTCGACAGTAAAAGCGTAAGCGATAACGCTATGGGACCGAAGACACTTCATATCTATGTATATAAAAGCGTGGAAACCGGCGTTTTTCATGCTTATTATAATCTTCGGGTGTCGGTTTGCAGTAAAAAAAATTCTTTGGAAGAACATAATTATGTACGCAGAATACAATACCTCTACCGATACCAGACAAAACAACAGCTTCATGCGGCAGTACAATACAAGCAGCTTTTACGGTAGCAGCACAATGTCCTCTTAAGTTTATAATCAAGTAATACTGATTGGTTTTGCATAATTATGCCGATCGAATACTTAATTACAGGTGGATATAGTGCATACCCATAGCGGACTATAACTGTAGCGAAATAAATTTTGTTGACAAAAAATTTAATCAAAATAGAAACTTACGGTAAAAGTCGCAGGAGTTTCGGGTAGCATACGCACAGATAATTGGCTTGTGAAAGGGAAATTTCAATGTAGTCAAAACACCGTGTAATAAGCTTTAAAACATGCGGCGCATAACGGGTTATTGCATATCTACTCTAGTATATAGATATACCGCTGATTTTGCGAGCACTTTGGTTAGAAGCTGCCCTAGCATAGAGCAAAGGTAAGTATAAAATCGTTAAATTCAGACTAAAACCCTATCGAGCTGTGCCATTTAATGTGTAAGATGGAAACTTGATCGCATTACAACAAATGACTATCTAACGTAACCGTTGATCGAAAACGAGTACAACATCGAGTACCAGAAATGAATCTGAAATAATGAGTGTTGCGCAGGCAACGTTTGAGCCTTTAACCAATAAGACCATATGCTTTCAAATTTGGGTTTTGGTTCGCTTTCGCCTTTTCCGCAGTACATATCTACTTCAAGTGAATATAACCAAAACCGCACTGATATAGATTTTAAATGCCAGCAGCTGTTCGGTGTGTGTCTTCACCAGCATTTTGTGTACTATACGGGTAAGTTACGCTATTCGCTTGTACAGAATCGAAGTAAGTGAAGTACATCAAACTCTTAAGTGTAAAAATCATTGAAACCTTCACCATTACGGCATAAGAAAAGACGCTGCCGGAAAACAGGTGCAGTACGTAGCTATAGGTAAGTACAATACAATACACTGGGTATAGTACGCAGGTTCTATCTCGAACTGCATTTTAAAACGCTTAACAAAATATACCAGAGTCCCAATGTACAATCTGTGCACAATTTGTAACGTACCAGCAATGCTACTGTTGCCACCACATAGCCTACACCTACAAGTACTTACTGCACGATAGAAAGGACCGCAAATATTCTGATTGCAGATCGTTCTACTCGTAGTCACGTTAATATAGAATTCGAGCCGGTGTACATGCAGACCCTCAAATGAAGACAGAAACGACTATTGCATTTGGCTGGGAGCGCGGACTTTAATGCAGTTCCAGCATATCAAAATGAGTATTACGTTACATCAATTGTAAGTCTTCAAGGAAATTATGATTACGTTATCTGAAAACATAAGTAACAAAGTCTGAGTGCATACTGTGCAGTATATGCGTCCTGCAGCCAAACCTCTTGCTCTTTCATATAAATTTCAGGGTAGCTCTAAAATCTAATCCGAGGTCAACAGTGACATACAGCGAGCAAATTGCAAACTAATACACTACAGAAAAACATGACAATATAAAGAAAAAATACATGCAAAAGTGCATGCATAACTACATGTACGGCCACGTACCACATTGCGCCATTACTGCTACGTAAAATTTGAAAGTATGAAGGTGTCAAACCAAATCCGTCGAACAATATACCGTACTTCAACATTTGCAGGTATCTTTCTAGCCAAGCTATTTACAGATTCCAAGTTAAAACTGTAACTTATCGTACAAAAAGGCTCATAAATCGAACAGAGGATATACGGATGCATGTGGGATCTTTAACATCAGATTTCAGGTGGAAAGGTTGACAACTGAGACATGATTGCTGAGCGTATTTCGGTACTGTTCTGCTTTGGAAAAAAATCTCCGTTGAATGCTTTCATTATTAATCCTGAAAGAATTCGATCTTATTCAACACTAAATTTTTGCGCACTTAACAACAAGACCACCCGAACCTATTAAATGATGCAACTTGATTTCATCGAGAATTCCGTTACAGCTGCTGCTGTTGGGTGCTGTCGAACAGGCGCGCAGTTTCTGGGATGCTGACTGAAGTTCTTCCTTGAAAAACATTTCTTCCAGTCCTTTTCGCACCACCGCGTCTGCTGTCGGTTCACAGACTATGAGAGTCTAAAAACAAACATTTTATGTACAAACAAAAAGTCTATTCCTTAGCACATGCTACATAACTGTATTACTGCGGCAAGTTATTAAGCCATAAACAGGCGAAAATGGGTCGAGGGGACCACAAGTAGCGATTGTGTCCGATGCGTACGATAACAAAAATTTTTCTGAGTTGTGATAGGCACCACCTGTACCTCTACGTCCTTGCGTCGCCAGGTTTCCTCATGAGCAGAATTACCCGAACCGGAAGTACGAGTGGCTGTGGGTTTTGATCGCCGAGGAGCCACCTGCTGCAGAATACATCATACAATGCCATTTTACATTTATAATTAATATTGCCTCACGTACAACACATGACAATAACAATGAAACCATGAGCAAAAATTCAAATGAGAAAAGACAAATGTCATGGACAAGCAATTTATTAATGTGACTATTCTACCGCCTTCGAAAAAAAATCGAAATCTCACCAAGTATTAACCGTAAATCCATTTAACGAAACGGTAATCATTCTACATGTACTCGTATCATACCTTTAAAGAGCATTGAAACTTTTGTGCATATCGATCACCAGTACCGCTTCAGATCGTATGCAGCTCTAACTATAGCGTCAGAATTTAAATTTTTATGGAGCATTTCGAGTTACAAATAACACGCGACCTATATCAATCGGCGGTACCTTTTGTTTTGCCGGCTCTGGTGCGCTCGCCGGAGCAACCGATTGAGATCTGGTCGTAGGCCGCTTCGTACCCCTATTTGGATCTGTCGCTTTCTGGCAAACACTAAAAAGAATCATGATCTAGCCTAGCAGCTCTACAAAAGCAGAATTTCAAAATCGCACCGTTTCGCACTCATAATACTAGTGCCGTTTTGCGTGGTCGTTTTGCGCTTATGCGATGTGGTCGGGGAAGTGGATCCATAATCCTCAATATTCTCCGTTTTGATTGGCAACTCAGAAGCACGCTCACTGCAAATCCGACCAAAATCATGAGAAGACATCGTTGCCACAGTTCCAGTTGACTGCTACAAAACCGGCAAGTCAAGGTATATTCCATTATTCAACACTGAACTTGTAGCGCAGTAGTGGACAGTACTTCACTTCTTACCGGACGTAAAACAGTGTTCCTGCTGTGCATTCCCGAAATGCTGTTAGAATTTTTTATGTTGCTCTTGCTCGGCGCAATCGGCTCCATGGTCCGGCTGCTACTGCTGGATGGAATATGCGCAGGCACAGTACCGGTGGAATGCGGCTGGACAATGGTTGGCGCAAACGGTGCAGCATTCGCCTGCTTTAATTTTTACTTTATCAATCAAAGATAAGTGCACACACCGTTAGACTGTGCCTTGTTTACCAATAATCAAAAAACTATAATGATTGCCTAATCATTACTTGATAAAATAAAACAGGCAGACAAGTAGAATTACTTCAGTTACAGCAAATCGGAAACATTCGCAGAATCACATGTACGGTTACCGATGGATCGTTGTGAGTTTCGGGGACGTGATTCGCAAATCCATTACGTGATGGCACAGCGCTGTGCGGTGTGGCCCGTGTGTGGGTTCGGGCGGCTGTCCGTTGACCGCGGCAGCGAAATGCCCGTAAATGGAGGGCAACGTATGGAAGAACTCCAGCATGCGATCCGACAATTTGTTCATAAATTCCTTCAGTTTCACATAATCCTCCAAACAGCCGGCGCAGGCTCCCACGAAATACAGCCGCGCAGAAAACGTGCTGTTATCCAGATCGTCCTGCGTCCAGCGCCAGTCCACCTTCGCCTGCGGAGTGTGACGAGTGGTAATGAGATGGACACACTCGATCAACTCAACACCGGCACGAGTTCCCGCCTTACGATCATCGCAGTATTTTATTAAGCAGGCCGGACAGGGGGAAGGTGGTATCCGCGGGGGAACCATTACCAGAGCTGTTTACCGTGGTCACACTGGAATACATCCTGTCAGAGTCAGTCAGACCATGCGGAACAAAGCACTTCGAACTCGCTGGCAGCACTGCAGTAAGCCCGTAAGTCTTACCCTCTTTGCCCTTACCTCATGTTGCAGCCAAGAACTTAACTGCTGATGCGCAAACTGCCAGATAGCCAGTAAGTTTTGTAAGATAAACGAATCAGAAAAACGTTCATTAACACGGTGACGCGTTCAATACTCATAAGTCGGATTTGTGAGAACCAGAATGCTGAAACGCAGTTCAAACTCCACATCAAACAAAAAAGCAAATTACAGTCCTAATCGTAGTGGGTGGCGGCCGTGCTAGCATTTTGATTAACTTTGAAATTATTAGAAGAGCGACGCGAAATAAAACGGAGATGTGAAGACAGAAGAGGGAGTGCAAAAATTGTACGGTCAGATTCGCTCATCCGAGATTCGAATTTTTTTCTAATTGAAAATGCAACTAGCCCACTACCGTCACAAATCACAGTCAATAGATTGATTTCACGGTGGCGTAGTGCCCGCCCCTGTGACGTAGATGGGTGAGATGTACCGCGAATTTACATGCGCCGAAGAGGTTTTACAGCGTTTTATCAGCCAGTCGGCTTGGACGAGTTGGCAGCACCCAAACCGTTCATTAATTAGAAGTTGCTCTATTTCTGGAGTATTTTGGTTTCTTAGACGATGAGGCGTTAGTTATTCCTCTTTTAAGCTCCATTATTTATACGGGCCCACGGGTGGACGGTACGACACCGAAGCTGAATTTGAACAGAACTTCCGCTCAACGTCTCAAATTTAACTGGCTGTTTTCAACCAATTGCAAAGTCCGCGAATGATTTGATTGGTTCAAGTCGCCCAATCAATACTCCGGAGGCAGGATGAAATCAATCTATTGCGAGTTGTTAGTGCTTTGTAAAGTTGGGGTGCCTCGTCAGGCCGGCCGAGGCGGATGTTTAACTTTACGCAATGGGCGTGATAATTCGCTCACTGGTCAAGGGTAAAATTTAAAGACAAAATTTTTTAATTGCTGAATCAGTATTACTGAACTTTTATGTACTTTGTATTTCACATTTTCAGTACTGTTAGTGTTAGCACAGAAATGAACATTGATATCATACAAAAGTTTGCTTTAATAAAAGCACGATTACTTGTATCTGTATGCTAAGTGCTTTGTCGTCTTGAGTATCTTGCCCAATTATCAACTGTTGTTGAAAATAACTAACTTGTAACTGAAGTTGTAAGTGGGTGTAAACTGTAAACTGCTTTCAAAATACTGTGAGTGGAATTGGTGGATTTGTAGGCAAATGAAGTTAGCGGCGGAAGATCTCTTTGTGCTCAAAGCATTTCGGCCAACCATGCGATTTTGTATTAAGTTCTTACTGTTAAAACCAGGGCGCTATCCACTGGAAACCGAGATACGTCTGAAAAAGGCGCCGACGGGGGAATCGAACCCCGGCTACGTCGTAGATTTGAAATCATTTGTGAGATTTTGTCGCTTTACGTGAGCCGCTTCGCTCCTCACACTGTATTAAGACCTATTTGTACCCCCAATCTTCCATCTTTAACGACCAATACGGCAATACTGTCATATTTATTTTGAAATAATTTTTTTTTTAATTTGGAGAATTCTTGTTCGCAAGTGGATTTATTCTTTGAAAATTCCTGGTAGAACGGGATACTGACGCGTACCAAGTCCACCAGGCACAGCACGGCGGGACGAAAAACTAAATACAATAATCAATGCCACCTGGCACCAGCTCAGGAACTTTAGTACTATGCATAGGCTAACCGACTATGGAATTTAAAATTCTAGATCAACACCGTCGAGGAATCGAAGTGACGAAAACAGATCACACTTCAGACTTAAGATCTTAAAAAAGTGCACACAAACAAAAAAGAGATTCCCTCTTATGAGAAAAAATTAAATATGTATTTGCAACCACCGGCAGTGAAACCGGCATACATTCAAATCGTGAAACCGGCATGCAGTTTCACAATCAGATCCATTAATTTAGCTGCCGCGGCAAATCCATATCGCGGAACTTGGCAACTTTCTGCGGCATACCGGAATGGTTAAAGTTGAATTTAGGTCCATGGGAGAACTTCTTCATCCGGAATTTACTTGTCCTGCTGCTAATCAGGCACTTGTGAAGCGCTTGAGAAACGTGCCGTCGCGAAGGCTGTGGAACGTCTTTGGAAGAGCAATATTTGGCTAACAAATCTAAAACAGTAGCAAGTCCATCTACAACTTTTCCGAACAAAGCTACAACATTTATACCCAGAACAGCACCATACTGCTACTATTCAAGTGACGACATTATTAACTCTTTCAGCACAAAAAAACAGAAGCGGACAGTGCTAATATAAGAAGCAATATTTTAAAAGGCATCGAATTAGTACTCAAGATTTTAATCCATTATTACAAGTCTCCAATAACCGGTTGTCAGGATTTTAAAACAGGATTTATATAAACTGAGGTGGAATCACCTTTCGCAACAGCTAAACGATGCGGATCAAGAACATTCATGCCGCTTTTTGACTGGTGTGGCAATGAAGTGGCCAGCTCATCTTCCGTGAAAAGTTCACGCATAGCGCATCGTAGTGCTTTCGTCCAAGTAGTCTCCAGTAACATTCGTTTCTGAAACTTTCATAATCTACAAAAAAACGTTTTGCAGCATATTCACCGTATTTACCACGAGACCGTCGCTTGAGAGAGCCAGAGAAGTTGTATCAGCTGCCGTCAGCGACGGCATATCATCAAAGTCGTCCATGTCATCATCGAGATCATCCTGTTCAACACCATATTAACACTCATTAAAAATTACTCAGGTATTAAGGAAAGCTAAAGGATTAAAGTAAAATAGTCAGTATAAGCCTACAACAGTGCAAAATAGTGGTTCCGCAACAGTGCAAGTCAGTGGAGAAAAATTTCGAAGCATCCACACGCATAACCCAAAATAAAAAAAAACACTGCTAAGTGCTAAGCAAAGAAAAGGTTACCATCATCGGGCTCTGGCTTCGAATGGAAGAAGGAATGTTCATACGGGGAACAGAGGGCATCATTTGCACCATAGAACAGGCTTTCGTGGGAATCTTCTGCTTTCGCCCCTGCTTCTGCATTTTTATCCCCATATCATTGATGGAATTCGGAATGTGACCTCGTGCATGCGGCGTGTATGTGCTGCTGGAAGCAGAAGCGGCGGAGGATTCATATGCCGGGCTGTTGGCATCATGATCAACCGGTTCATCGTGGTCGATTCCATTAAAATTCAATTCCAGCTCGCCACTGTACCTTTTCTACAAATACAAGCCCTCTATCAAATTTTTGTGCACTACTTCGATTTCACTTTTCATTTTTAAAACAGCCAGAAAGACCACAGTTGAAGGCGTAGTAAATACCTCGTTATATTCCTCTGCTGACACAAACAAAAACAAATTCGATGATTACAAAATCGACTAAAGTTACAAGAAAATTTTTTCGTGTATTCTTTATCATACAGTATCTTACTGGATCGTCTTCGCACTCGATTTCATCCCCATTTCTCATGTTTCTTTCTGCTTGATTTTGAGAGATCGACTGTGTGAAAAAAACTCAATCTATCTCTGCATACGCAAGTACAAGTCAACAAGCTCAATTCTAACCTGCTCCCGCGCATCCGGTCCTTCCACCAGCTCCGCTTTCACCCCAATCAATTCCGATCGCTACGAAAGAATCATTCAAATCAAAACGGTAACGGCACAGTAACATGTTGACAAAGTAGTTTTAAAAAGTCGTCTACCAGTATGAAAATAGCTGCTATTTAAAGCTTGCGTAAAGCTGACTACGTGAAGCCTAATACCTAATATTCAAATCAACGGATCAATAAATCTGTTACATGCTGGCCCAGTAGGGATGGTGATTAATTCTCAACCACACCAGAGAAGAAATCAAACAAATTTACTAGCCAGTCTCATGTTTCAGACAAACAATTCAGTGGTGATCAGCGTCCGCTAACATGTCTCATTTGTCCATCAGCAGCCACATGCAGAAAACTCGGCTCGATTAACAGAATTTACAGAAAAGAAAATATAAAAAATGTAGAGTGTAGACTGACTTAATTGGCAAATGCGTTATTTCACACGATCGCTAAACAGTATTTTACTTAATTATTACTACCTGTTTCAGGCCAAACCATTTATTTCACATTCTGGTGCAAAACACAGAATGTGAACAAACATTTTTAAAAATTATTGACCTATTTTTAAAGGTCAAATAGACTCAATATATCAACCTACTCCTTTTGCTAATCCATTATACTGCAATTCTCGAGCCCATCGCATTCCCTTCTCCTCAAAAATCCGCTCATTCGATGACGGTAGCAAGCGCGCCACGGTCAATTCGTCCGGGCTTTTATCTGAGAAGTAAAATCAAGCATTTTATCAGCAGCGTGCATTAAACAATTCAGCTTCCAAATTTGCTCATATCAGCGAAAAAAGCTCTGTTCCGACAAAATACTTCCAATAAATCGATAAATTTGCAAATCAGCGAAAATTACACGAAAGGACTATCTACGCATAATATGTACCGATAAAAACCGCAGACTTTCTGCTGGAAACCCTTGGTCGTGTTCGTTTACAAATATAGCGTCAACATATAAACATTTTCTTAACTACAATATGCAGTACCCAGTACTACAACAGTTTACTCGTAAAATACTGGCCGTTTTCAGTAAGCGTTAAGGTATGACACTTCAATTTAGACAAACGACCAATCCGGCCGCTCACACCTTCTTCGATCCAGAGCACCACACATTTATATATTTGGTCTTTGTATCGCGCATTGCATAACGTTTTTTCTGAAATCCTATTTCCGGGCTCCAAGGATTCAATGTCATGAAGTGGCAAGGCTAAAAGCAAAGAAACCACGCTATAAATTCATAAAGTAATGCAAAATTAGTGAAATAATTAGATAAGTCGGTGATGACTTTAGATCTGAAGTCCTACAAAAAATGTAAAGTTAAATGCCGTTACTTGATTGTATCCAGTTATGCAGAGCCTTCTCTCATGGAAGCATTCTGGTCGAAGCTACCAAAAAAACATTACTAATATATCGCCGAGCTACGGTAAAATTTGTTGCACAGAAAGACAATTTTTCAAAAAAAAAATTTATTCATAAAAAGTACAAATTCATTAAAAATTCAGAGCCACAAATTAAAGACGTAAATCTACCATTTTATCAATGATATGCGATATATCACGCGATTAGAATCTGCACAACTTTTTGCATTAACAAAAAATGCCCAAAGGCGATAGATTTATTTCCGTAGTCGAGCAGTGTTTTGACAGAACGCAAAGGTAACTCTGAAAAGATACACTCGCAGTTTTACAGACTGCCCATATTTAACGATCTAACCTCTCGTACAGTCTATGGTATCTGTTCAAAACTTTGAATCCCGTTTCTAACACCAGTATTATATCATGCAGCTGCAAGCCGGGTTATCGTGACTGCTTTTCTAACAATTATACGCAACAATTCAAGAAAACAGATAGTAAGAACTGTTGGCACTGAAAACATTTCAGGAAAACTTAGCACACGCTTTCGGCATTTTCTGGCATCCTATTTCTAAAAGTAATTTAAAACACAATGAACAGTTGTATTACATTCATATGCAAGAGAAATGTGGTGGTGTACAGAAAAAATTATAGCCATTTAACGCCCAAGCGTTAAATGACGTTAACGCAGAGCGAGCTCACGTGTCTTAGCAACCATGGTTGCATCCTTCAGAATGCCAGGGCACTTTGCCACGTACACGCAGTTTGCCAGAAAAATTCGCAAATTTTAAATCGCAAACCTTAAAGGACCTTATTTATCATGCCGCGTAAAAGGCGCAACGTCTTAGAAGTTCAGTGTCGGAACCAGTAGAAATGGCATCTCCAGCACGTAAATCAATAGAGGGAAACGCCCAACCCAGCTTGATTCACTGACCGAATCCATCTCGAATCTACAAAGCCAGATGACCGCATTAATGGACAAGCAACGGGTGGTGGCCCCATGCCCCATGTTCAACAGTTTTTTCCTCCTTTAGTTGATCTGTGGGCACTAATACCCGTGAACTCACCCGCCCGTCCACCAGCATACATGGCTCTACCTGCAATGGAGAATTCGATCCTGAAGACGCTCTCAGATCGGCGAGCATTCGTTCATCTTAACAAACTGCAGCCAAACAATCGCGATTTTGACACATCTAATGAACGGACGGTATTTGTGTTGACGCTGAGGAAAGTTGGTTCCTCTGTTGCTCCACCCGCTCGTCGAAAAATTGAAAGTTTCCTGTCGTGGTTGGAGGCGTTTCTGCTCTTCGCTCGTTTCAGAACGTTTTATCATTCTGATTTAGCCGGATGTTTTTTCGCATATATTGAGATAATCCGTGGTTTGTCCGTATCGCGCCCATTGTTTATCTGGCTTGAATACGATCGCCGTTTCCGGGAGAAAATGACCTTCCCAGATGTAGCTGAGTTGGCCTGGTTTTCTGAAGATTCTGCAATTATGGCTGATGTGGTGCGCTCTGTACCTTTAAGCGATAACTTAGCCAGTTGTTAGCCACCGCTGTTCATGCATCCACAACTCCTGCAACTTCCGGAATTCTTCGGTTGCTTTATATGCAAGGATCCTTTTCACTACGCCAACCTTTGCCCACAGCGCGCCGGGGTGAGCCCTACTGGTTCCGGCAGCCCTACCATTCCCAGCCTGAGCACTTCTTCTACACAAAGCCTCGCAACTCCGCAGCAAGTTCGCGCAGTCCTCGCCCTGTTATCTGTCGAGACTATAATAATGGCCGTTGTGCAACGCCCTGCCCGCACCACCGGATACACGTCTGCGAGCAGTGTTACGATACAACACACATTCGTGGTTTTCATCAAATGAATTCTGTCTAGATTCTTGTTCGTTGCGCTTTCTTTATCGAGTTTGCAATTATTTCTCAAATTTTTTTTTTTGCTAAATTTAATTATTAACCCAATTTTTTCTTTGCAGTCCTCCTGTGTGCCTCCGCGCGGTTGGGGTTGCCTGTCGGTTTGGGGTGTCCGGCGCGGCTTGTATCATAACCTGGTGACGACGGCACCCTTCAGCGTGTCGTCTGGACATCGCTCAGGCTGATCACTTGCCCCGGCATCCTCAGGCGGCAACTTTCGGTCGTGAGCGAGCTCATAAGCAATTAAAAGCCATTTAACGCCCAAGCGTTAAATGACGTTAACGCAGAGCGAGCTCACGTGTCTTGGCAACCATGGTTGCATCCTTCAGAATTCTTCCAGGGCCACTTTGCCACGTACACGCAGTTTCACGGCCAGAAAATTCGCAACCTCCCGCCCGCCCGTTTATGCGCATTTATTGTATCTCAACGTTGTTCGGTGTTTTATCTCGTGTTTTCTTTCTCATACTGCTTGTACCAATTCGATTTCAATAAAGGTGTCCGGCGCGGCTTGTATCATAACCTGGGTGACCGACGGCACCCTTCAGCGTGTCGTCTGGACATCGCTCAGGCTGATCACTTGCCCCGGCATCCTCAGGCGGCAACTTTCGGTCGTGAGCGAGCTCATAAGCGTTAACGAAATTTTAAATGAATAATTTTGCAGGTTATAGTATAACAGAAACAACACCTTTGTAATTGAGATATTAATTAATAAATTTATAAGTCGTAATGCGAACACGAATCCATACCTTTAACCGATGGAGGACATCCTTGTGCTTCATGCCAGTAAATTATAGCACTTCCGGAATATCCCAAATGGGTAACTTGACGTTTCAGAAAATGCGCAGCCATATCGAGAGTCCGAACTAATCTTTTCTTTTATTCACATCGCATGCGTCAGCTGGTAACCTATAAAATATGAAATCCCATACGCACTTACAAGTTAGATATTACTCGTACGAACAGTATTTGCGCAAACATTAATTGTGGAACAAATCTGAAGTATTCTGATTGTATCTGCTGAGCGAAGCTCGCTTTGTACTTATTGCAAATAAAGTTAAAAAACTGGAAGTTTTCCCCACGTACAACTATATAATTTACTATTATTATTTATCTATTTCTTATGCTTAAAAGTATGAAAAGTCTACTCATAATATCTAATCATCAGTAATTATCAAGCAGTAAAAATACTCTCGTTGGAAATACATGAGATTCACAATTAATGCCACCGCTTTTATTACAATAGCATAAAACCAATACAGAGAATGCAGTATTGTTAGGACTGCATGAGCAAGGCGTCTGAATTCATGCGTCCAAGAACAAGTATGCAATCTGTAGATGGACGACCTTGAAAATATGAAGACTTCATATTTAATGCGTTTAAAGCAGGCAACGAATCTACGTAAACCCAAAAAAAGTGCTGCATATTGCATAATGCGATACAGCAGCTAATTCAGCCTAATTGTAAGTAGTAACAATTCTAAAACGTAAAGCTTTTGAATCCTGACGCCAATAATAACAGTAGTAACATCATTAATTTTAAGATATTTTGATCAACGTCCTTAAAACGTGCTTTATAAGTTTAATAAATATTGATAATTCCGCTTTATAAAATTTCTTCAATAATTTTTTTTAAATGGTAAACAATCACGCGCGCTGAGCAAGCACACACAGTAGTAGTACTAGTAGTAAATTAGTAATCCTTGAGTGACTAAGTTATCTGTAACATTTTAAAAATATTATATCTGTCATATTCTAGCTTAAAATAGAACAACCTGACAGAATGCCAATATGCCAAATGACAAAATGCCAATTTTAGAAGCAAAATAAAATAAATCTGTATATGTTACCAGCTTAGCGTAATAAATTATAATCTCATTGCATGCTAGTTATTCATGTAAGTAAGTTATAAGTAATGATTGATGAACGCTGTACTCCATTTTAAAATGAACAACCAAGACTATCCAAATCCAAAGCAAAACAGATAAAACAAAATAATTTAAATTAGTAAATACTTACTAAAGTACTTAGTAAATACTTAGCTAGTAATTTAAATTAGTAAATTAAAATACTTAAATAAATTTATCCTTGATGTACCTTGCATGAGCAGGAGGCAATAAATTGCTAAAAGGCTGCATAAACGCTCTGCAATATGGTTTCAAAATCTGCGATAGGCTGCAGGAAAGAGAAAATGCAATCTAGCAAGGCGGAAAGAGAATCAAGAAGCTCGCAGGCCAAATGTGCAATAAACCAGGATTATGGCACGATCAGAACGATGGAGGTTCGATGTGGCAAATGCTCGCTTCAGCATGAAACACTGCGCTCTCATCGTTGAGAGCGCAAGAGCCGACGTCGCATAAAACAAACTTAATCGATTTCAGTAAAAACACGAACAAAGAGCAGTACATAAGGTTTTAGGCTGAATCTCTGTAGACAAAATAACAACGTTTTCGGATTTTTCAACAGGGAAGTCCCTGAGTGACGCCGGAAAGACAACTGTCAAACATATCGATCTAAAGTCTGGTGAGACGCTTGAAAAAGTTTGGGCGTGAACTTTTAAATGGTGTTTTAGACCTGGGCTGTCACGCACTATAGTCAGATCTCTCAGCAGCGAATCGGAGTCTGAAGTATGAAATCAACAATCGAACTGCAAAATAATCGTTAACTGTGGGACGTGCCGATAAGACCAGTGAAAAGCGCTGTATCTACTTATTAAAAATACGTACTTATATAGCTGTCGATTTTGAAGTTTTTCGGATATGCATCGGTGAATCTGCTCAATCATAAGTCGATAAATTAAAATCAGAAAGGTACATATTAAGCACTTCTCTTGCAGTCACATATAATATTTTGACAATAAAAAGACTTCCTTAGTAGTTGTAAACTGTAGCCTCTTTAGACTTTTTTGCTATGATAATGCACTAATGCACACTTGTCATTGCTGTATAATTAATAATTTTATTAAAAAAATGAATACACACCGTATTATTATACTTATGGTTGCAGCTTGCAAGTTCAACTGCAAAAATGATTAGGGTAGTACTACAGGTAGTATAAGCGCAGCAAATTTTTGTAGCCCATACTCGTAAGTACACAGCATCGGCTCATATCTTTCGAACAATTTGACAATTAATGCTAAAAAATGATAATATGGCTCGATAGTATCCATTCTTTACCAATCAACTTATTGTAACCATGAAACCTGATACTGCAAAACTTCAAATGTTAGACAGGACCTGCGACTCATTCCAAGGAAACCCGTTCCTTCAGCATTTATTTACAATAAAGTTAGCACAAAAAATTTACTTACTTGTACTACAATTACAGTGAAATCTTTCTTATTGTTAGCCAATAGCGTGACCTTTAAATTAACAACCACACATGTGAAAACTTCGTAAGCGCAAAATGCGCTGATGATTTAAATTCTAAAGTGCCGACTTTATCGTATGGCTGAGTTACTGTTAAATTAAAAACGGAATCCCTCATAGAGTCATAGTAACATCATAATTACAGTATATGAGGTCACTAAATTTTGAAATGCTAAAAACTTATACAGTATATATCTAACAATTAGAAAACCAAAAACAGTTCATCAAGATTGCGACTGCACTCAACTGTACCAAGAACACAGGCAGCATTGCCCCGTTGTATTTCTAAACTGCAACGCTGCATCAAAAACAGTTTCATAGTTATAATAATTGTATTATTAAGATTTTAGAGCCAGCTTTGATATTACAGATTTTAGAGCCAGATTTGATATTACGTGCATATGTGCATATGCATATCCAGAGTCACTTACCATTGTTACCAATACTTAATGCTTATTGCTCGTAATCATAACATTGTATAGTCTTGACTCTTGAACATGTGTACAATTGCACATTACGTTGACCATGCAAAAGATGCTATTAGACAAATTACCAAAAAAGTACAAAAATAATCAACGGCAGTTTGTTCGTGTGGAATACTTTAACGTGCCAGATAAGTACGGTACTATACTGTGCAAAACTTTACTATGTTATTGTTCAAAGACCTTCACAAATTACTCAACTTGAATTATGAGTTCACAATACAACTGCACTAGAGTAAGTGTTACTATGTTGCATGTATCTAATTATAAAACAACAAAATATACGGCTACGTTATGCGAATGAAACATTTTTGATTGACTAATTATATCAAATGTATTCGATAAAAGATCTATGGTAGGCGTGAGATATTGTACGCTGGGTGGAACACACATTAATTTAAAAACATTGATCTTTTTGAATAATGTGCATACAGTTATCCCCAATCCAGTGCTCTCATAAATGATACATTACGAAAGATGGGTCACAGAAATATATAAGTAAGTACTGCGATCGCATTTTCTTTTATTCCGCGGAACCATGTACAGAGTATTTCTTCATTCCGCTACAGCGAAAGATACCAAAAACGGATGTCAGGCTCACGGCCAGCCGATACATCACACATAAGAGATGCATGGATAAACAAACTACAGCCAAAATCCAACAACAAAATTAAAACCCGGGGTCCAGCATTTTTGCAGTGTCCATCGATGGAATCATCAAAAAACCGCTTTAGCTTTGAAGTTGATGATTTAATAAGTATCACTCTTCAAAGAGCAACGGTATCTACAAATACAGTAATATTCAAGACAGCATCGCACTCCACAATGGCTGTTGTTACCTTTTGCGGCATCATTCTCCACAAACCTGATATCCTTTGCAACGCCCAGCATGGCTCGTACTGACACAATTTTCTCCCTTGGTTTCCCGCTAAGTTTACCGATTCTTTCCTCCTCTCTATCAATTTTCTCCCATTCTTCAAACGATACTGGATCACACTGCCGTGAACGAAGTAGTTCCAAAATCTGAGTGGGATCGCGGATCTTATCGCTCAAATTCAAGCGACCAGACTGTATATCCTCCATCAAGGTATCAACAGTCTCGTATGCATCGTTCATGGTCGTTAAGATAACACCAACAGGGCCACGTTTAATCCATCCACTACAGTACAGCCCCGGCATCTGATCGACTCTGCCCATATCGTTAGGAACGATGCACTTTGCAGAGTCGAAGGGAATACTGCTGCACAGCGGAACTGCTTCGTATCCGATACTCCGAATTACAAGGCCACATTTTATGATGTCAACTTCATCTGTGGAAACCACACCGGAAGAAATATCCATGGGATCCTAATGACAAAGCAAAACAGAAAACAACTTAACCCGCAACTGAAACCTGGCAGCCGACTATCAAAAACATTGAGTTACCGCCTTTCCTGGCTCTTTTGTAAAACTGACAAAAACAGCTGACAATTCTAAGAACCGATCTCAGAAGTCAGAAAGTTCAAAAATTACCCACCCTTAGTCGATTGACAGAAAAATTCACAGCTTCGATTCTGTCATCACTCCGAACAATCTTTCTCGGACTAGCAAGAAATTTCAGATAGCAATTTTGCCAGTGTCTGAAGGAACATTTCCGGCACAGCTCACCATCAACTCCATTAACCTCTTCCGCTGTCTGGGAAACTCTTTTAAATGATTTCTTATCAAAGCGACGTCAACTTCATTCAGAATTATATTAACATCCGGTAGTTTAGTCAATTCACGAAATTCCTTAATCGTAAACGCAACCTGTGCTGGTCCCCTACGTCCAACCTGGAAAAAAAGGTGACAATTACTCACGTAAATTCCAACTCAACTCGATTTCTTCACAGTTCTAATAGACTACTTTATTTTAATTTTAGGACAATTTCTTATATAAAACATTACTGCATACTTCTATGGCATTTTTATTGTTTTTTTTATTTTTTGTATTAGCTTTTTCCATACTTACCGGAATGCATGTCTCAAAATAGCGTCGATTTACCGTGCAGTGCAGAGTAGCAGAGGCCAGAGTACATTCAATTGATTCAAACAAACTTTATATCGCGATTTTTAAAGCAAACACTCCATCCGCAGAAGTATTCGAGGTAAAACTTTATATCTCTGCTGTACTTCAGTCGAGATTTTTAAAAACTTAGGGGCACACATCACTTGCTTCGAGCTCGCAAATCTCGCAAAAAACTTATCTATTTCGAAAACTATTCAAATTTACCTTACCTACGTAACTATTTATTTATTACTGCTTTACCAAAAAAATATTCCGGACTCGACTTCTACGCAGCGCTTCCAGTGCATACTCCGTAATGTCAGTTTTGCTCAGCGCATCCGGCGATGTGAGTAATATTCTTGCAACGTCAACCGCTACGTTTCCTTGACCAACGATGACCGCTGAGGAATGGGAGAAATCGGGCTGAAAAGATGCATCGTCTGGAAGGCCATTATACCAGCCAACAATATTCCGAGCCGAGTAAACACCAAATCCATCCTCACCGGGAATATCCAATAAACGATCGCGGGAAGCACCACTGGCTAAAATAACAGCATGGTATTGCTGGAGGAGTTCCGCCACCGTTAGCGTTGACCCAATGGTTACACCGCCGAAAAAACGAAATTCTGGACATTTGGCTGTCGCGGAAAACGAGTGTATCACATTCTACAAATTTCCATAACATGAAAACAAAATTACCGTACATGAACACGTAAACAACGTAGCATCCACTCTTGTAAAAATGCAAATAAATCAGTAAAATTCATGATTGACTATTAATCAAACATAAAAACACTGTAAAGCCCTTGTGGGCCTTATTGTGTTTTTATCAATAAAAATATAAATTCCACACAAGACAAAAAACCAGCTTAGAATTTCGCGAAAATTTTTATCTGCTCGTGCAATAACGACAACTTAAAAGGTTAGAAGAACGTTCCTGTTGAAAGGCTTGCACAACTTACTTTCACTTCCCGATGATCAGGAGCGACACCAAAGCGTACCAGTCCAAATGGGACTGGATATTTTTCAAACATATCCACACAAGATCCATTAATGTGCTGCAAAGACAGCAAAGTACAAAAATTTTGAATTCATCAAATTTTAAAATAAATTTATAGCTGTCAGTTGTTCGACTCTTTTCCTACTGTTATCACTTGCTAAATTTGCAGTCTTTATGATTTTATCTCCTCATTTTTTCGGCTCTCGGGACGCTACGGCGCATACTGCATAGATACTGCTGTCGCGCATTTGGTACCAACCTTTAAAACATACTGTGCGCTATAAAATCCTGCTGGTCCACTGCCTACCACTGCGATTCGTGGCGCCTTCGAAGGATAAATTGTCGTCGAAAAGAATCTGCTACTTCTCAGAAATGGCACTGTACGCATTGCGGAATTTATGGCGACTCGCGGAACAGTTCGCACGATGAGAAGCAAACTCTAAAAGCAATCTGGACCGTGAATAGGTTATAAAATATCTATATAAACCAATGAAATCTTACTGGAAGAAGGCGAAGCTATCAAACATCAATACCGACAATACGTCCAACAAGCGGTATCTCACGTTAGAAACATTTTATGCAGAACTATACATGTCGTATTATATCTATATATCTCTGTACATTATGTCGAAGTAACTGAAAGCCCAGACACGTTTGTCGTTTCAGAACTAAGAACTTACAATTAAAACTGAAAACTACAGAGTACAGTGAAATAATCAGAAATATCTTTACAATATACAGGTACATGTATTGATTTATTCTGAAAGTGAATATAATATTCAGAATATTATACATAAAGTGTGCTGTAGTGGTGACCACCGCGGGCGAGCGGTCGCTTATTATTAAGGGTACTGGATAAGCACCGGAAGTTTTCGGAGGAGAACAGAGATAATTCATAAATTTCATAAATTTCTTATGATCTTATTATACAGTAACTAGTGGTAGCGTTATTCTGTTGATTTCTACACCTGTCCCTCGTGCATTATCGAACTTTTCACGGTTGACGGATCTTTCGCTAGGACATCTACAGACAGCCGCTACAGCTCGGAACCCTTCATATTGCGATCGCAGACATCAGGTTCGCTTTCGTGCACATTGGAATCGAGAGTCCAGAGCAATCTTCGTGCGCTTTCTGAACTCTGAGTGACCGAAAGCTTCATAAGCTTCATTTGACTTGCCCCTATAATGCCTCTTGTGATCTTGTGCGGCCTTCCCGCTTCCGGAAAAAGTAGCAGGCAGAGGGAGCTACAGCGGTATTTGGAGGAGACTGCGAAAATTCCCGTAATTGTTTTATCGGATTGTGTTCATTTTGGAGGATTGTCCAAGACTGAGTTGTATAGCAGTGAGTGTTTTAGCGTGACTGAAGGCTTATTTATTTTTTAAGAACTTGCAGCTATGATCATTGTCCGTTTTGAACAGGTTCTGCTGCAGAAAAGAATCTTCGAGCTGCTGTAAAATCAGATATTCAGCGTTCAATTTCTAAAGAAACCGTTGTCATTGTTGATACTCTCAACTATATTAAAGGATACCGCTACGAAATTTGGTGCATTGCCAAATCGTCCAAAACTCCTCAATGCATGGTACAGTAACTACAGTGGTACCTGGAATAAATTGAAGCGTCTGCGTGATCAGTATTTTATTTGCAGATTTGGTGCAATACTCCCATTGAAACAGCCAAAAGTTGGAATTCTAGTATGCCGATAGCCCAGCAGTATTCGCCCGAAGTGTAAGTTACGGGAATTTGGGAAATACAGTTCTGTGTTATCTGGCTAACACTTCGGCTTCCTTGAGTGTGAAGATTTATTATTACAGTATTTAATTTGCTGCGATTGTATGGCAGATGATTAGCAGTTTGTGGAGGATGTCTAATGCCGGCGAACTGTTCATTTCAGGTATGACGCACTCGTTATGCGCTTTGAACCTCCTGATAGTCAGAATCGTTGGGAAAATCCATTGTTTACCGTTCTTCCGGAGGACGTTTTGCCTTTTAACGATATCCTTGCCTCTCTTCTGAACCGGCAACCTCCCCCTCCAAACCAGTCCACGCAATCACAGCCACTCGCACCCGTTAATTACCTGCACGAACTCGACAAGGTTACGCAGAGCATAACGGCTGCCATTTTATCTTCTCAGCTTAATGGACAACCGGGAGACAAAATTATTGTACCGGGCATCGTTGAACCAGTTGCATTTGGCCAAAAGGTATCCGCTCCGGAGTTGAGTCGTCTGAGGAGACAGTTTATCTCGCATTCGAGAACAAGACCCGTGGAAAATTTAGATAGAATTCCGCTGGTTTTTATTGAGTACTTAAAAAATACTGTGAAATAAAATTAATGAGACATTCCGCCCTAGAAATATGAAATGCCGCCGATCCGTGAATGTTGGAGCATGGTGTCTGTGATAGTATCATACTGTCGTTGAGGTTTTCTAATATCATGCTATTTGGGACCAGAGTACCAGATAGTCATGTTCTTTTAATGACTATTTCTTTTGGTTTGAAATAAATAGACTGTACCATAGACTGTACCATGTGCCGGTACAGTCTACACGCTTGTTAGTTGTTACTCGGCGGTTTGTCGAGATCGGTAACGACCACGCGATTTTATTTGATCTCAAAACTGTCTGCAAGTAGAAGTGATAAACTCTAATGCAGCAATTCATCGCCATAACCCACGATTTCAAATATATTCGAGCCGGGAAAAATGTTACCCTTTTGTTCATCGGATAAACGTCGAAAATGATTGCGCACACTCTCCATCGATAAACCATAAAATGTTTTCACAAACGATCTAGTGACTGTTGTAGTTTCTTTCTTTTCTTCATTAGTTGCTTCAACGTCATGCGAGATCTTTTCGCTTCTGATTACCGGATTTTGTTCTTCCACAGACTTGCTAAAGTGCATTTCAGGCAGTTTACTCTCCACGACTGCAAAATCAGAGCTCTTCTCGGTGGTGACAACAGAATTTTGCTCCACTCTTTTTCGTTTCTTTTTGATCATCTTCTCTGTTTGTGTAATCACTTCAGTCTCCGTAAGCTTAACTGAGCTACACCGATCGATACCGCTCTCAGCCTAAAGAGTATCGAGAATTCAAATAATTAAAAATAAGGCCATGTTTACAAAGACATACTACCGTTGTCATTTCCGGAGAATTTTGGGATTCTTCAACATGGGAGACGTCATCCAACTCCTGGTCGTCTGCGCACGCGATTTCCGGTGGGACCAATTCAACTACCGTTTCAACACGCTTTCGCTTCTTCTTCGTTCGACAGGACTCAACGGATACTGGAGGTTCAGCAGGTATGCTTTCGTTACCATTATAGTCATATTCTTTCTGATGGTGCAAAACATCCTAGCAAATAAAGGCGTTGTCAAGGACTTATTTTGCGTTCCATAGAAAATCGACACCATTTTGTAGCAAAAAATCCCACTAACTGTACTCTGTAAGCGATAAAAAATTTCGGCACTCGTTCAGAACTTACCCTAGCTTGAATATCGTTATTAAGCTCTTTTTGCACTGGCTCAGGCGGAGATGACATCTTTTCCTTCTTTTGTTTCAATTTCTTCTGGAAATAATCCTGAATGTTATCCGAGCTCGTTGTGGTATGCAATCCGGTAACAAACGAAACCTCCGGTGACGAAACCTAAAGATGGATGATTGCCAAATAAAGCAAATTATGAAAATTCGTAATTACAAACTATAACCCATGCGGTTACAAATTACTTCAATTGCGCTGCTGCTTATGTCGTCGTTCTTTTGCTGCAGAGTTGGAGCAGTTGAAGGAATTCGTCCACCGAAAATGGAAGAGATATCTTCTTTGGAACGGCAACTCAAATCCTTTCCCCTTGCAAACTTGTGATAACTGAAAAATCAAATCTTGCGGAATGCAAATAACACGTGACTACAAAAGTATCCGTTTACTGAATGCGGCCTTTCGTCGATTTTGATTTTTCTTCTAAAGGCATTGTGGCCGGTAATTTAGCGTCCCCGACTGTCATTCCTATCGCTGAGTTTTCAGGTTTCTTGTTGAGAGTGGCCAAAATTGCATTAAAATCGTCATTGTGTGCCAGCCAGTTGTTTTCATGCTGAATGCTGCAGCCCAAACCTGTAACATCAGAATCAGGTTATTAATTTCTATATTCCAGGATAATTCATGCATGAACAGTACTTAGTCTCAATAATATCTGGAGAGAATATGTGAATTAGAAAAAAGAAACAAATATCGCTCAAGTACGAATATGGTTAAGAATTTCCTCGCTTCATGTGAGATGCTGGAGCCTGCTTCTAACCAAACCTCAATAAACAAGAAAGGCTACTTGGGACCCCCTAAACTTGCGTACCTCTCTGATCATCTTTGAATTTGGGTTGAAGATAGTCGGTATCGCCCTGCCGTTCACTACCCAGTCCATCGCCAGGTTGCCAGCCATATTTCTGCATAAGTTTTGAGCCAAACTGCTGCCAGTCTGTGATAGAATATCGTCAAATCTTTCATCCGCAGCCGTTCGAGAACCAACTAAGTAATTACAACGAAAGGAGACATACGGTCACATACCAGATGAAGAACTTTTTCCCTGTGGGTTGAGCGATATGACTTGTTTCTTCCTTGTTCCCGCCAATAATGACATTTTGTAGGGTCGTAAGGATAACTACTTCTAAAGCACGAACAGCAATGACTTCTGTATGCACGGACCGTGACGGACGCGGTAAGCTCTCCCTCCTGTATCAACTTATAGTCTTATATCAACACTCGTAGCTCTGTTCAGGACTTGTGAGCATTTGCAGGAAATGATTTGCTGTTTGCGGTTCAAGTTTCAAGCCAAACCGAGGCGGTCCAAGACCTAAAATATCACTGGCACTGTGTATAACAGCTGACAAGGAACAAATTGCCAGACTTACCGTTAGCGACATACCTTATGTGAGATGCTTTAAATAAATACGTTTATAAAATAATTTAGTTCTTATTATATTTTCATCTGAAATCGAAAAAAGTTGTAACGCTACCCGAGTAGTCTCTTTAAATTTTTAACAGCATAGCTGGAAATAGTGCACAGCCACCCAACGGGGCCACTGCCTGCCCACGACTCACGCAGGAGTCGGAATAAGTGCGTAGTTGGCAGGACATCTGTTTTAACATCTGCCGTCATATTGCGCAATACCGCCGAATCGTCGACCGGAAGTGAAGGAGTGGAATGGACTGTCAGAAGTTAGAACTGACTCAACTGAGTCTGGTAGAATTAAATAAATTAAAATTGTTATCCTGGAATTTACCGGTGATGAGGCCGCCGCAAATTTACTGATCATAATCTGTAACTATAATAGTACTTTTTAAAATTTAATAAAAAAAAGTAAGTAATAGTTATCATTATTTATTGTGATCACTGGCAAGCAACCTTACAACTGTCAGATGAGTGCAATTTCATCAGATACGGCGAAAGTCGACAAGCACGCCTGTTGTCCGGTAAATGTTCTGGCGATTCATTTCATTAAAGTTTTGAGTTATGCATTTTGTGCTGGTGCTGGCACTGGCGGAACTCAGCCGCGGAAGGAACTACTGAAGCACGAATTTTCCTTCTGATTTTCCGTAGTAAGTTCAGGTATACAGAAAATGTAAGAATACAAAATGAACATGTAAAGTAAACGAAGCAAACAAAATAAAGATATGTAAGCAACATGAGTCAAGAAATGGATTTAACCGAAGTAATTCCACCATCTGTAAATATCGCGACGAGTATGAAACCTGTCAAGGCAACATGAAACTAGCAAAAATTTACATTCTACAGATCTGCACTTATACCTCAATCCAATATTCAAATCACTTTACGCAAATTTGGCTTATCAACAGTTGAGAAATCTATTCACAGCGACATAAATCGCATTAGAGTTTAGACATACACGGCCAGCGGCTGCAGCTTCTTCGCCAATTCCATCACCTTCATCAGCAGCGAAGAGTGGCGAGCGGGTGATTTACGAACCACAGTCTCCAGCTCCGTCATGTATTCCTCGGCATTAGTGTTGTCCATTTCCAGGCCACTGGGTAAAGCGATCCCGCTCATTCCCTCCAAAATGATCTTCAGTGCTTCTCGCTTGGCTTTCTTCGTATCTTCGACTTTCGATTTCAAAGCATTAACACTATCTGCATTACGCTGTGTCTGTTCGCTCTGTGAGATCAGCCCAGAAATGTCAATGTCCAGTTCGTCTGCGGCTTTCTTGACATGTTTCAGTTCACGTTCGCGTTTAGTATTCCACTGCATGAACTCATCTGTCCAAACTGGAATGTGAAATTCCTGAAGAGAGCCCGCGGCAACGGAATGCACTTTAGCCGGCGGCATGCCCAAGAGATCTTCCACGCCGGTGTCCACCTCTTCGGTCTTGCGTTTACGGCTGATTATGACCGATTCGGAATCACCGCTGGCATGTTTCTTCCCTCGACGGTTGCTGGTGGAGGAATTCACAGTCGACGGAGTATCGCGATCACGCTGCACTCGGCTGCGCTTGTCCGATTTTCGTGGAGCAACATCCGTTTCAGAGTTACTGTCGGCGGCGAGAGCTAAAAAATTTCGGTAATCATCCGTCTTTTTGTACTCCTCCATTTCTGCGGCATGTTGCAGCTTCGCCTTGTCAGCTTGTTCCTCGTATATCTGCAAAATTACAAACCCCGATTTTGCAGTCTATAAGCGAAAATTCAAGTGCAGCATTGAAGAATGCGCAAACACAATTTCTTACTACTTCAGCAGTACTATATTTCTATAAATTACAAACAGTGTACACTTTCCAGCAAATCTTCGGATTTGCAAAGTTTTTCAAACTCTGTGGCCCAAGGGTGGCTTCTTTAACAAAATCTTCGTGGGAGATAGGAACGCAGAAATTAGGAAACCAACACTTTTACGCAACCTGAAACTTTACTTTCCCGGAAAAATATATCCGAAAAAAAAATATCGGAAAAATATATCCTTCCGAGGCGTACTTTTAACGCATGCTTCTAACAAATGCATATGTACTGTATGTTGTACCTTTCTGTCCTCGCTCGACAATGTCCGCCACGCCTGACCAACACGTTTAGTGGTTTCCGCTACCGACAGCACATCTCTTGAATTCCGGCGTATTTCTTCTTGCTTATCCAGTAGGAACAACAAATAGGCCGAGAGAGGCTTGACTGGAGCATTAGGATCCTTCTTGGCGCGTTTACGTTGCGGATGACCACGCGAACGATACGAAAATCCTCGAAATTCGGCAGTATTCGCTTGCTTCATAGCTCCGCCGCTCGTCAATTCTGGACTGCGAGTCTCCGTGCCGCGACTTCCGTTTTCTTCCGATCCACTTGTATCCGCAGAAGAAGCACTTACTTTAGACATTCTGGAATTAACGCAAACATACCGTTCACAATGTCACACCTTAATTATATCTACTGCACATGTCATTTCTCTATACAAGTACAGCACAAATGTACAATATATAAAACAATAGTTACAATACACAGAATAATAACGTAAGTAATTTATTGATAGAAACCGAAAGGATGTACGATTACTGTCGCTGTGTAAGTTTTTATTATTATTATTTCATTATTATTGTATTTTTATTAGATGTATAACAAATATAGATGTATTCTTATTATATTATTATTAACAAATTATTGTTATCCATGAGAATTACGCGTGTTTGTGTTTACCAGAATCGGCTGCACTTGCAAGCTACCGAATAAGCTTAAACAAACCCACAAAACTACACGAATACGTGTTGTACAAGATTGAAGATTTCCAATCTTATATGATTTTCTAGACTATATAGACGATTTCTTAGATTTAGCTTTAAAGGAAAGAGAAGTTAACCGGCACGATGTAATACTGACTCAAACACCATCGGATAAGATCAATAATTATTCCATTATTAATACTTAAGTGATTGAAATCTTTACGTACACCATACGTAAAAAAAACATAAAACGGGCAGCACGAAGTAAGATCATAAGACTGTGGCTTCAGCTTGCTTGGTGCTCAATCAGCATTTACTTATTGTTACGATTAGAACTTAAAATGTTAGTAACGGTTATAAATTTTTTGTTCTTGATTAGTTATGTACCCAGTACTACCAACTGAATATCCTTATACATTTACTTGAATTAAAGGTACTCGTAGAACTTTTGCTTCTTTAGATAAGTACCGTACTGCATTCTATTCCTTTCCATCAGCGGTCACAACAACAACGCATCCGCAACGCATTCGCCATTCAAACTACAGTATTTGTAGAACTAGAAGTACTGTAAGACTTACTTAATCGTAAGGCTATATTTAGTGATCTTCGATTATTGCTAATTTCAGTCTCTGTGATGCCCTCATTCAATAACTTTCAATGTGCAAGGTTTGACAGCTTTGACTGCGTGTCTGCGAAGTTTTCTTTAAAGAAAAGTAAAAAAAAAGTACAGCAAGTTGAATTAACCTATAGCATTAAGTACCTAAAGCCGAAAAGCGCGAAAGCGTAACTCAACCAAAGATCTATCTGTATTACTCGCCGTCTCGCTGAACGGAAATTTTCGATGAATACGTGTTTCACCTAGAATATACTAACCACAGCACCAAAAGAAACTTACCTTAATGTCGAAACACTGGCATAGTAGGTATTTTCAAACAAAATTTCATAAAATTTTGCACAAATTTAATCGCAATCGTTCTACACCTATCATTCTATCAATTAAAAACAATTACGGTATGCTGGAAAGTCTAATCCCGCGTTCCAAAGAATCCAAACTGATCGGTGTTTTCGTATCTGGTTATACGATCTTATATGGCATTGGAAGGCCGAGTGCGACAAAATTGGAGCGTGCCGCTTTTAAAAAACGTTTACATGTGTAGACACTAGGCAGTACTATCTATATTATTGTAAGTTACTAACCATAAGCACTAACAAGTAAGCAGTACCTCAGGTACAGAGCAGGCTTATCTAAAAATTCTGTAATTAACAAGTACAGTAAGTACCGGCACTTGCAGTTACAATTAATTTAATTTTTAATTGGCATTTTGTTACGTATTTTATGCATATAATACGACGTTATATATAGTTCGTACGTACTACTTCGTAACTTCGTAGCCATTAGTCGTAATAATGTGTGCGTCGCACTGCGCTCATTCTCTACCCCAATTTCGCTTCTGCACTCCACAAGAAATATTTTAATTAATTTGCTCAAGTATGCGATTAATAAAGGTGACACGGTATAATTTTTTTAAAACTGAATTCAATTATTCAAATGTAGGTAAATTCAGGTAGGTGTTTTACGTCCGTTTAAATATGGATGTGCTTAAAATGAAATGAATTGAATTTCTCAGCCTATTTTTGTCCAGTTCTGCGTACCATTCCCGAGAACGCACACATACGACAAAATCCTCACCTGCCACTTCTCCGATGGGTTATCCAGGGTCCAAGGATAAAACGGATATCGGTAGTAGTTCAGTACCATAGTGACAGTACAGTAAATTCTGTTATGGTTTATTTGTAAGTAATTAAGCAATTTTAAATTTTTACCATTTTACTGTGATCGCACACACTCTACCTCCTGGACTCTGCATTGATCCATTTTTTGCAATTTTTGTTGATAATACTTGTTGGGAAACACTTGTGTATGGAATTTTGAAGTGTAAAGTTGGTTTAATATCGTATTTATACAGTATTCTTGGATAAGTTTTTTCAACAAACCGCAGACTTATGTTTTTTCAATGTCGCATGCAGTTGCGTTGTGTATTATGTACGTTCTACTTGCGGCTGTTCGTAGCTTTGGTAGGTGACACACTGTTGCCCATTGTAACTTGTTCTTGGAAGAAGTGAGAAACTGTTTCGTCGAGATTCTCTGGCGATAATCGACATTTGGTCAGACTAAATTGCAGCCATCTAGAGCTTGTTGTGAATGTCATCATAAGTTATTCAACGTAAAACCTGGAACAGCGCGTTGGAATGGTGGATCTGGATCATGCATTTTTAAAGATTAATCAGAGGACAACAGTTAGTTGTTTTTAGTTGTGGTCTTTCTCGTCGCCACTCTATATATACATATTTGTGGAATCATAGCGTCGAATTTGAACCGCTTTGATAACATACGTATACCGCGTCGTACGTTCATGAACAGAATTTATCAGGCTGCATTATCGGAAGTTTGATGCGATAAACCGAAACGCAGAGTGTTCTTTCTATCCGATCCGTTTAATAATATTGTGGACGTAACTGCACTTCGACTGTGTACGACAGCGTTCTTCTTGTATGAGCTCTGCAGCCTTATCTGCAACATTTGCAAATTCGTTCAGACTGTCATTGGGTTTATCGGAAATTTCGTACACTAGGCTTCTCACTCGGGCTATACGCTGCCGGAATCGGAAATTCTATATAAGCTCTGTTTGAAGGCATTATTCTGACATGGACACAGAGTCGGCCCCAGTTGATAATAAGATGGATGTGGAACCCCAGCTTGTTTCCGATGCAGCGGGTGAATCTAAAGTGGAAGAAGTACGCGGACAGAAGTTTGATGTGGGTCCTCGTTATTCTAATTTGCAGTACATAGGAGAGGGGGCATATGGAATGGTGGTATCCGCGTTCGACAAGGAGACGCATGCTAAGGTGGCCATTAAGAAGATTTCCCCCTTTGAACATCAGACGTACTGCCAACGAACGCTGCGCGAAATAAAAATTTTGAGCCGTTTTCGCCATGAAAATATAATTGACATTCGGGATGTGCTACGAGCTAGCACCATTGAGCAGATGAAGGATGTTTACATCGTACAGTGTCTGATGGAAACCGACATGTATAAGTTGCTGAAGACGCAGCGCCTGAGCAATGATCACATCTGCTATTTCTTGTATCAAATATTAAGAGGGTTAAAATATATCCATTCCGCCAATGTCCTTCATCGTGATTTGAAACCGAGTAATTTGCTGCTTAACACCAATTGTGATCTCAAGGTGAGGAAATCCGTGAATATCAGAGAGACGAGTGTTGTCAGTTTCCTCAAACAAGTTGCAAATAATAGTATACTAGTACATTTACCGCGTTTGCAGTTTTACCATAATATTATTATGGGTCTTTTGCAATACGGAAATTTATTGTTTGACGGTTTCACCCATTGCAATACGCCATGGCTTTTGAAAGAACGATCATTGTACATTAAGCGCACTCCATACTTTCGGTCACTCTGTGTGTGTTGTAAATGAATTTTTAAATTTAATGAATTTTTATCCTTTCAGATTTGCGATTTTGGTCTGGCGAGAGTTGCTGATCCGGATCATGATCATCGAGGATTTCTTACCGAATATGTTGCCACGCGCTGGTATAGAGCGCCGGAAATAATGTTGAATTCTCGAGGTTATACGAAGTCCATCGATGTCTGGTCTGTGGGGTGTATCTTGGCAGAGATGCTATCAAATCGTCCAATTTTTCCTGGCAAACATTGTGAGTTGTTTGAATTATGACGAATCTTGGGTGCAACAGCTATTTACAACTGGTGTCAATGGTGTAATATCTACCTTTAAAGATCTGCTGCATAGCCTGCAGTAAAATCACTCAAGTCAGTCAAGTGTAACTGAATTGACATTTAGATCACGATTGTTGATTTTTCTTTCGGATACATTTAACAGAAATTCCACAAGAGTCTGTGTCAGAATGTACTAGGGTAGAGTATTGCATGTGCATACATTTTTAATAAGTAGTAGGTTATCAAATATCCATTAAATCTACGAATGCACATTAATTTTTATTATGTTTTCAGATCTGGATCAATTAAATCACATATTGAATATTCTTGGATCACCCTCCCAGGATGACCTGCATAGTATTTACAATGAAAAGGTATGGTTATTGAACATGAGACTGGCAAAATGGCAAGCGTCCAGTACGAAATGCTTCTTTTGGAATATTGCACGGTATTCTACGTATTCATTTATGTTGATAATATCATATGGTAATAATAGTTTGAGTATTGTGAGCGCTGTGTTATTAGCCTGTTGTTATATTACTGTATTATACCGAATTCTGACGCGAAGAAATTTGAATTATTTTTTGCTGTTATAACAGATCATCATAGTTTTGACCGAAGCGAAGGGAAGGCACTCTATTCTGTGTTCAAGAAAACGACACTTTTGTCGTTCATGCACTCAGAAGTTTAAAAATAATGAAAGTAGTTTTTAGAAATGTAAAATATATAAAAAACTAAACAGTGAAACAAAACAGAACAATAAATAAAAAACAAACTAGTGAAAACCTTTTAACACTCGAAACTTTGGAACTTGAGTTTCCCGCTTCGGCCTTTTAGTGCTCTCAGCTGCGGTGCCCTTCCCTGGTAGAAAGCTAAGGTAGAAAATAGAGTCATTCCATAAAAATAATTGAGTCTATACCATTTTTTTGTGTAAAGGCTCGAGGATACCTGGAGTCTCTTCCGATTAAAACAAAGCAGGCCTGGGCGCGATTGTTTCCCGCTGCGGATGCCAAAGCATTGGATCTTTTAGAGCAGATGCTGGCTTTCAATCCCAGCAAGCGTGTCACCGTGGAAGACGCACTGAAGCATCCGTACTTGGAACTGTATTATGATCCAATGGATGAACCGGTGGCGGAAGAGCCGTTTACCTTTGAAATGGAACTGGATGACCTGCCAAAAGAACGGCTCAAGGAAATGATTTGGGATGAAACGATCACGTTGAAAAGAAGAATGGGGTTGTTATAACAGATTGGAGTGTTTCGTTTTATTCAGGTTCTCATCGAAGAGTAGTGCATGGTTTTTTAAAAAAAGTTTTTTGGTTTGATCAGTTTTGTGTAAGAGTATCGGTTACAGGGGCATATGTTTAATTTTTTATACCGATGCTTAATCGCGGTAATTTTTTACGATCAACGTGAACGTGCTGTTGACGTTAATATATCATTATTTTATTCAACTTTTAAGCTTTTATACATTTTGTGGTCCAAATGTTGTTTTTTGTGGATCGGCTTTTTGGTGTTGCTAAATACGTTGCTTTGCGCTGAGATCGTTGCTAACTACGGTAGTTTCAACGATTTCTACTGTAGTAAAAGTGGAAGATTCGGGTATGGTAACTTTTCTGTCGTTCTTTTGCATAGTCGAGGGGCTGCAGTTTCTGCCAGTGCTAAAAGTTGAAGGAAATAACTGGTCCCCCTTTTCTGCACACCCCGTACAGCCAACCACATACATTGCTACGGATGACAAAAGTATACATGGTTGCGTCGATCTGCTCTCCTGAGGGCCGAATGTATGTCGCTTCTTAAATTAATGAATTACGCCCAAAATTAGAAATAGCAAAGGCAATTCCGGTTAGCGCAGCGGAGGTGGTTGAAAGGCTGGAGACGGCTGGACGACTTTGTTTGACCAGTGTCCAGCCGAGAAATGCCATTAGGGTGTGTTATTGGATATATGTCCAGATATTGGAGAACTAAAACATCTCTGATTGACGATGTGGCATAGGGATTGCACGTTTGTGTTTAGTACATTTCAGTTGCTGTTGTGCTAAAGTTAAGTTGATTTGGATGTAACAAGTCGCTCTTCCCTCACGCCCCCCCCCCTTCTTCTGTGAGGCGACGGGGTTGTTTAAGCAAGGACTACGGGGCCGGTGTATAATAATAAGGCAATTTTCCAGCCGCCTTTATGAGCCTTAGGAGGCGCATCCACAGAAAGTCGTCCAATTAAATCTGCAGCATATACATTCATCTGGATGCACTCAGTACTAATGCCTTGCAAATGGCTATCATTTTTATGATTGCGGCGAATCAAACGAAAACTAATATTAATACTGAATTTACAATTTTGAGCGGTTGTCACTTTGTATAGTTTTTATTTTTAATAACGGTTGCTCGCGCTTAGTACCTATTGTTAGTTGATTAACTTGGGGAACAGTTGAGAAAAACTTCTCCTTAAAGCCTCTGAATTTTCTCATCTATTTAACGTCTTGTCATCGATCGTTTCTGAAACTGCATGCAAATTCCAGGAAGTAATGTACAGTATGTGTGTGCACCTGCGGCGCAATGGACTGTAACACACAAATGACACAATCGGCTAAGAAGGCTCTGTGTTTTGGAGTAATGGATTCTGATTTCCTAGAAATATCAAAATGAAAGAGATATTAGTAGCTTACAACTACTGGTCGTCCTCGTACCCGACGTACTGTCAACAATGTACGGCATGTCTGAAACGGTTGTAGGCGGCAGTATAACCGTCCAGATAAAAATCCTGATTCGAGCACGGACCTCACATTTCACAATATGAAAAATGCTGGGCGGGCAAAAAAACCAACGACAGACAGTTTTGACGATTTAACGGCAAAAGCGGCCGTCGGACAAGTTATCCGTTCGCATCGATGACTACCTGAGCAGTCCGGCGAAAGCTGGACGTGCCGGCGACAGTTGGAAACGGGTTGTTATCTTTTCTGTACTCGTATAACAAGGTTACAAGGGATACGTACCGTTACAGCAGAACTGAAGCTTCATTCTGATATCTGTATGTCTGTAAACGCTGATCAGATGTTTTTTAGTGATCAACTTCCTCTATCTTTTCAGTTAATAAGGAGCGTGTTCTTCCCGATAAACAAAATGTTTGGCTAATTTTTAGGTTGGTAATGCATGAAAAAAATTCATTACTGGTGTTTTTTTGTATGCAGAGAGGTGTGTTGTAAACTGAAAATTCGATCTTAACCGTCTTCGTTTATAGTGATTAAGTTAAAACCATTGATTACAAATAAGTTCTAAATAATTCAACATGTACACCTCTTTACAGAAAGAACGGAGTGGTCATTGGGAGCGCCGTCATGGATCCACTCGAGCCTAAAACATTTTCATATTCTAAACCTGGAAAATCTAATTACGGTGCGATGTACATGTCAAGCCGAGGTGGACTTCCGCTTTGTGACGCACAAATAACGGCAGGATCGTCACTACGACAGGTACATAAATTAATATTACAGATGGACCGGCATCATGATGTGGGTCCAAAAGCCTTTTTCAGAATGATCGTTTGAGACCAAAACTGAATAAGGCTGTGCTGTGCCTCTTACTTAATTCTCAGGGCTGAGTTAAGCGGATTTGCGCCGGCGTCATTTGTAATACAAACCGGATAATTTATTACCCGAAAAGGATACCAAAAATTTTTTCGTCTCAGTCGTTACTGAAACTGCAGCGAGCTGATATTAAAGCAGCTGTTAGTCGCGATTAGAAAGCGGCTGTTTTCACAACAAAAAAGGGTTCCAAATTCTGATACAATTCGCATGCGGGGTTCCAATTTGTGATCCGATACCGTGCACAGACCCGAATGAGCGGTATTCGTTTTGCATGCGATCTGGTGTTGAAAAATCGAGATTTTTGGAACCAGGGATCAGTCAGACGCATGCTGATTATATATATACTGTATATACAAAAGATCACGTGTTATTAAACGCTTTCACAGTATTTCTGAAGTTTTTTGCATATACATATAGTTTGATACTTCGCTTGGAAAAACCTTAAAGCTGACTCACTTTTACTTTCGATTGCGCGGTAGGTGATGGCAGTTGTGCGCAATGTCCGATTGTACATGCGCGCAATGCTTCAGCCTGGAATCGACGAGAAGTTTAATTATGAAAACACTGTGAAATGTAAACTCATGATCTTATCGCTGTTCATTAACGTTTATTATTGTATAGAGTAGGGAATAATACTTTGTCGATATTGTACAATGTTTCTGTAGCAAACAAAAATGCTCTCTGGTCTTCTACAGCGGGAAGTTCTAAGTTGATCAGTTGGTGGGTTACCTCATAAATGTGTGTGTTGTTGGGCAGGTTACAGCCGGACAAACCTTTAACGGTGAGTCAAGTGATCATAAACGAAAAATAAGCATTTATTATAACTATGATGCCCCACTTCTGCGATTGTTACATTTGTCGGTTTACTCGGTTATCGCTTTGCCGCAGTGGGACCGCGTTACACGAATTTGCAGTGCATCGGCGAAGGATCATACGGTATGGTTGTATCCGCTGTCGACACCCTAAGTCGTGATCGGGACAATGCCAGAGTGGCAATAAAAAAGATTTCTACCTTGGAACACCCGATCAAGTGCCAGCGGACACTGCGGGAAATTAAAATTCTTAACCGTCTCAAACATGAGAACATCATCGACATTAAAGACATTATACCCCCTCCCACGATGGACCAGATGCAGGAAGTGTACATTGTTCAGACACTGATGGAGACCGATCTGGAAAAATTACTGAAAAGAGACCGTCTTCGGCAGGATTACATTTCCGCTCTTTTATATCAAACCCTGCGCGGACTGAAATATATTCATTCGGCTAATGTATTGCATCGCGATTTGAAGCCGAGCAATCTTCTGTTGAATGTAGAAGCGTGCGATCTGAAGGTAAATACTTGCGCAAAATTACTAACTGTAATATATATATGGTAATCATCTAATTTTTAAAAAAGTATATGCATATATATTGTGTTTGACTGGCTTCTGTGTAGCTGGAATTAATCGTAAATACCAATATATTTTTCCTGCAAAACTTACAAGTTACAACACACATTTGCAGGCTGCAACAAACTCGCAGTAAACAACTGCAGCTAACTGTGAGTGTTTTTCCCAGATTTGTGATTTTGGTTGGGCTCGGGTGGATCCCACACTCGAGCGTGGCGGCGTTTTGACAGAATATGTTGGGGCCAGATGGTACAGAGCGCCGGAAACGATGTTGAATTCTCGAGGTTACACCAAAGCGAGTACGTAAATTAATTAATGTGGTTGTCCCAACTTGTCGGCATCCAATTCTGTTTCCGATACGAATGGCTTATTTCGTTACATTAGTTAATGCGCCGGTCATTTTGCTTTTTAGTTGACATCTGGTCAATGGGATGCATTTTTGCGGAAATGATATCCAGTCGCCCAATTTTTCCTGGAAAGCATTGTAAATGATATTCAGTAGAGAAAATCTTTAAGATTGTATCAGTAAAAATCTACAATCTGTATTTATCTCGTATTATACACATATTCATTTCACATTGGAAGCATGACTGCCTTGTACAGATCTGGACCAGCTCAACCACATACTGAACACAATCGGTTCTCCTTCCGCAGAAGATCTGGAGACTATCCATAACGATCGAGTTAGTGCTATCGTAATTTAAGCTTGAATCTGTTGTAATTGACTACTATTGAATTTATTGTAATTTGCTACTGGGTACTTGAATCTTGAACCATACCATCAGTACTTACTGAAATTTCAGGCTCGATCGTATATCAGGAGTCTGCCACCAAGAAGGCGACAAGCGTGGACCAAGCTTTATCCTAACGTCGCCTCTACAGGTATTCTGAGCTAGAGTAGGCCTTTTTTGGCACATCACTTGACAGCTTTCCCTGAATAAGGAAGGAATCAATGGAACTGTAATATCTTGGCGCGAAACAGATTACCCAATTACCTGTTATCTTATAATTTCCAGCGCTTGACCTGTTGGATAAAATGCTGACTTTCAGTCCGGCAAACAGGATTCCGGCGGAAGAAGCTCTGGCGCATCCCTTTGTGGGTCCGTGGAGAGCCCAGATGAGGTACCTGTATTGGTCGTCCCATCTTATTCTTATTGTCAAATCTCGATAAAGGTGTCATCCTGGAATTCCTCTAACGCATCCCTAGTCCATATTTACAAGTTGTAAGTTACAACTGATGGAACTATTTGTGATCCAAGGGGTGAACCGGTGGCGGAAGAACCATTTACCATTGAAATGGAACTGGATGACCTGCCAAAAGAGCGACTCAAGGAAATGATTTGGGATGAAATGGTCACCTTGAAACGAAAAATGTGTTTGGTGTAACGTAATGGAATTTATCCTCAGACTGCAGTCTCTTTAAATCGCAGAACTGCAGGGTTTTCTCAGTTTTCTAGGTGGTTCACATTTTTGTGTGATTATCGGGTGAGGGCACTCAGGGGAAATAATATTTCGATTAAAGATGTGTAGATATTAAATTAGTTGATACGGTCAACATATTTTTGAATATTGTATTTAATTTGGCTGTAACTCCTGTAAGTATCTTTTACATTTTATTGTCCAGAATGCTGCGTTTTATGGGTCGGTTTTCTTGGACGTTACTGACAATGAATACGGTGACTGTGTATTCAGAAATTCAATGTATAACTGAAAAATCCAGCTATCGTAAACCATGCAGTACCTTTAAATATTCCTTCTTTCTTTATGTTGTTGTATTCTTTTTTGTATACTGATCTTTTTTCAAGGGCTTCACAACTGTTTGACATGCGGGCAGAATAAAGTAAGTATTTATAATACGGCATCCATGCATTTGTTGAGATTGTGACGAACCAATACCAATGAAGACAACCAAACTAAACATAAATGTCATCCTTTATTAGGCAATTAACACAAGGTGCAAATGTGAATATTTCACTGTTTCAAAGATTCTAGTTGGTGTTTTTCGATTACCATGCAGTATCGCCATATTTACGCCCCAACTCTGGTGTCGATGTGACCGAATTTAACGGCACGTCTGACCTGTTGTCCGGAGATAAAATTTAATATGACCTATTGTTTGCTCGCGGGAAGATCGAACTCAGTACGGGACGATCATAAACGATGGGACGTACATCAAAATGTTTCTAAAACACAATTAGGACTGTCAAATATCAGCAGCCCGTTTGTATCTGCGGCACGACTGCTGCGCACGTATCGGCTACTCATCTTTCCGCTATGACTAAGAGAAAAAAATTGAACAATTTTCCCACCAGTGATAACGGATACACTCGTACAAATAAACACCAAATCTGACAGCACCGTGAATTCTGCAATAAATCGGCCTTCAGTGCCATTCACTACCATGGACAACGCAACATAACAAGGGCAAACTTATTAAGAAAAATAATTTCTTACATGACATAGCTTAATGACATGACATGACATCGCTTAATGACATGACATAGCTTTCTTACAGGACATAGCTTAATGACATGTAATATTAATATTTTCTTCATGTGTAATAAATTTGCTAATTAGGTGCTAAAAAAACCAGGTGCGCAATTACTCATTAGTGGCAGATTCGCTAATTAATTAGGTGCTAAATGTCCTAATTAGGCGTGACTGACTAGTTAGTTCATCAAACTTTCGCTCAATAACTAATTATTAAGTTAATTAATTAAACCTTATTATCTTAAAACTTAATGACGAAGTACAGTAAGTACAGCGTAATTACATACAGTTTAATGCAGCCTGGATCATTACGAACGTTTATTAGCAGCGCAGGATAATTTTAAAGAGTTGACAAGCGGTCATGAATGTAAGCGCGAATTATAAAACCGAGCTCAACAGCTCGGTTTTCTAATTCAGCAACTGATTCTCCATCTGACCAATGCGCGCGGCGTTATCAGTGAATCTGTCTGACTCACAAATCAGTGCGTGAGTTGTTGCGCACTCGAGAGTTTTGCCTTGATACAATTCGCATCAGAGTCCCAATACGTGGTAATATTTGACAGCAACTAATATAGATATAGTATTACAGTACTTGTATAGATAACTGCGGATTACTTGCAAAGCTACAATTGCTGTACGAAGTAGTCAATTTCGACGGCCATGCAGAAGTGCACGTACCTTGTTAGTTGCTACAGTTGTAAACAGTAAACTGGACATTGGCCGAGTTCGTTTCCGTATATCTGTAAGTGCGCACAGTGTATACGATATGCACATGCACGCATGAATGCTACCGCATGGAGCTGATTTGGTATTGGATCATACACTCCGTGAATGCCAGACGCACACATCTCAACCGTAGTCAACCTCCACAGCTGTGTGCGTTTATTTTACGTCAGTTTCATTTTTTATGGTTTTTCTTTTAATGGTGATTGTGAGTTAAGAAAGGTGTGCAACCGCCAGAGGAACAGAGTGGATTTGCTCCTGAAAACAGAATCATGGATCAGCCGGAATCTAAAGCTGCGTTATCTACGAAACCAGGGAAGTCCGATCATGTAATGCCAAACCAAAGTAAACCTTCGGTATCTGGCGAAAGCACGACAGGACCAGGGCTAGTGCAGGTACGTAGCGTAGACAGAGTAAGACGGGCAACACATAGTAGGGTAGTAGTCGCGGACTCGCATTCATGCTACAGTACGTTTTCTACTAATGCGCAAAAACAAAAATTCTATAATTACAGCTTTACTTTTCATTTCATGGTCTGTGGTCAATGGTTACGAAGTTTCGTAGTCTGGTGGCTTTGCAGCATATAATATATAAATCTGTATGATCATGATCCAAAACAATTTATAACTAATAAGTAACACCTACTGGAAATATCGCAGGTTTATTTATCAGCATTCGATATCAATTATCATTATTTTAACTTTAATACTGCAGCAAGCTGATGAAATAGTACGAATTACGGAATATGTACTCACAGTCTCGCATGATGTCTGTGTCGGCAAAGGTAGATTTTGAAGTTAGGTGTTGTGATGGTTAAACTTGCATCTTTTATGGTGCAGGTGAAAGGACAAATCTTTAACGGTAAGTCACAGTATCATTAACGAGCAAAAGACATATGGTGTTCATTGTTGCGAACTGCGATTGTTACAATTGTCGGTTATCGATCTGCCGCAGTGGGACCGCGTTATACGAATTTACGTTACATCGGCGAAGGAGCATATGGTATGGTTGTTTCCGCTGTCGACAGCCTAAGCCGCGATCGGGACAAGGCTAAAGTGGCAATCAAAAAGATTTCTCCATTCGAACACCAAACCTACTGCCAGCGTACATTACGGGAAATTAAAATTCTCAACCGTCTCAAACATGAGAACATCATCGACATCAAGGACATTTTACGCGCTCCCACGATTGACCAGATGCGGGATGTGTACATTGTTCAGACACTAATGGAAACCGACCTGCACAAACTATTGAAAACACAACGTCTTGGGCAGGATCATATTTGCTATTTTCTGTATCAAATCCTCCGCGGACTGAAATATATTCATTCGGCGAATGTACTGCACCGCGATTTAAAGCCGAGCAATCTGTTGTTAAATACGACTTGCGATCTGAAGGTGCGTCACATTACGTACTTACAGTAACTGCACGCACAAAATTCATTTATCGTATGATTTTATTTTGCCAGGGCGACAAATTTTCGTACGAAATTGCTAGTTGATAAGTATTCGCAGCTTTTGTTTTAGGTTGCAATGATGGCAAAAATTTTACATGATACCTTTTTCTGAGCGTGAGAATTTTAAAAGTTTGCGTAGAGATGTTGCGTCGATTGTTAGCAGAGACAGTTGCATGTATTTGCATTTGTATTCGTTGAGAATACAAGGACTTGTGCAAATAGGAGTCCCGATAGATGGTGTCGGTCGATCATGATCAACTTTTCAGATCAGTTTAAACTGCGCATAGTGTGGCAAAGATGGAATTGATTTTTAAGCATTTCATTCCCGTATTACTGGGAGGTCTTGCGTGCGAGTGTTTTCACAACTGGAAGCGGCTTTTAAACAGACTTACCAGCTGTTATTGTCCTAACCGTTTGCGTAGCGTTTTTGGCTCTTACAGTCCAGATCGATGCGGTTTATCGATAATTTAAGGAATTTCTAGCAGCGGTGAAAATTGCCTATTGCCTTTTAAAAGCTCTATTTTATGGCACTTAATGGATTTATGTGAGTAATTGCCCGCTGAACTAACAAAAGTGCCGTTAATTAGGAAGTATAAGATCAAAGGTTATCGTTTCCGGTGGCTGCGTATTTCTGTTGTAATAGAACCATTATCTTATTTTAAGTGCGGGAAGTATCTTAAAATAATGCTTGCCGTTCGGCAGTTCTTGTCTGTTAATTTAATGCATTAACTAAGGTAAATTTCTGATATAACTGTTTTCCTCAGATATGTGACTTTGGCTTGGCACGAGTCGCAGATCCCGTACAGGATCATAAGGGCGTTCTGACAGAATATGTTGCAACCAGGTGGTACAGAGCTCCGGAAATCATGTTGAATTCTCGAGGTTACACGAAAGCAAGTATGTAAATTCCAGTTAATTGGTTGTCGGTATCATATCATAATCTGTATTAAAGGCGAATGAATAAGTGATTTGGTCAAATAATGCAGTGAGTTTCCTACTTTGTAGTTGACATCTGGTCAGTGGGGTGCATTTTAGCGGAAATGCTGTCGAATCGACCAATTTTCCCAGGAAAACACTGTAAGTGATATTACGTGAGCAAATGTGTTGTGGGAGGACGTCACAACGTTGTCGGCTTTATACTAGATCTCGACCAACTCAATCACATTCTGAGTACGATCGGTTCGCCATCCTCAACAGATCTCGATGCTATCCATAACGATAAAGCAAGTTTTGCTATCATTGTTGCATAGACCGTGTGCCAGCCTGAAATCATAATATCAAAATTTAATTGTTATGGTAGGCCAGATCTTACCTTATATCTCTGCCAACTAAAAGTCGGCAGGCTTGGACTAAGCTTTATCCTAACGCCGATGCTCAAGGTAACTATTTCAGAACATGATGTTTCCGTTTACAGAATTAATAAGATGGAGCGAAAGTAAATTCTATCATGAGGCGCGAACCATATTGCTTCCTTGTTGGTTTATAATTTCTAGCGCTTGATCTCCTGGATAAAATGCTGGCATTTAATCCAGAAAACCGGATTGCAGTGGAAGAAGCTCTGGCGCATCCTTTTGTGGGTTCGTTTTACGATCCAGCAGATGAGGTACGACCGTAGGAGTATTCAGACTTTGTTTTGGGCAGATGGACAAATAGATACAGTATGCAGTCTTCGATCCGAGTCAGTCTTAACTAAAGATGTGTAAAATAATGGTATAAGTGTGACCTTTTTTCTTTAGCCATTGGCTGAGGAGCCTTTTTCTTACGAAATGGAGCTGGATGATTTACCCAAGGAGCGTTTGAAGGAGCTTATTTGGGAAGAGACTCTATTGACAAAGAAACGTACATCCGTCTAATTATAGACACAGACATTTCCGTAGGTCTCTGGTGTGTCGTGTATTACGATGTAGCTTCCATTACTTTAAGGGCTAAAGGTGACCTTAGAAATTTCAGTAATTGCCCGCTTGTTGTTTTTAGGAATTTATATGAGAAATATTTAGGACTGTTAATACTTGCATTGTACGTTTACGAACTGTTACCGGTAAAAATTAAATTTCTTTGTAATTAAGGTACCGGTATCCGTATAGGCCACGTTCGGCAAGTGGAAAACATTTTTATCTGCACTTTCCTTGTTACCTAATTAACCGGAACCGGCCATTTCGTATATTGTTATGCATGTTTGCTGAACTTTGCTGAAAGTCAAATTTTTTAATTATAAGCAGTGTGGGAAAACAAATTCTAGGCATTTGATTCGTTGCTTCTGCAACTAGCGTACGACGGAAAGGAGATACTACTAGTAACCCACTGAAATAATTATAGCTACGTATATGTTCTTGGGAAACGTTTGTTACAGTGTGCTTTTGGCATGTGCGCTTGTTATGGCAGATAGTAGATACCTAGTAATAAAATTCTAGCAAACGATATCAAAAAATGCCGATTTAACATCCTGATAAACAAAGCAGTTTGCAGTGGGACAATGAGTGAAAAGGAAGTCATGAAATTTCCAACCAAATAGTACCGGCATGTGCAAAAATGGGCACCATATACGGAGTATGTGGCTTCTGAAAGCGACGAAGTTTGCTCTGAAGTTAAAAGTTCCTCAAAATTTTCACTGTTCGTTTTTCAATAGCCGGAAACTAATATCTATGTATATTCTAGGGACACCTTTACATAACATTATCCGTATTTATGCGTTTTCTGTACGTTATATGTATTTATACGAGTACACGCGCCCATGGATCTATTCGAGAATCGCTGTGCCGGTTTATAAACAAAATATCACCAGCAGATCAGTAAATAACAGCACAGCATCGGTTTATTTCAAAACTCTTGTTTCTTGTAACTCGCACGAAATATCAAAACCAAAAGCCCGGGACAGTTCGGAATTCGGATCAGTAAAAGCACAGACATTTCTTCTTCAAGCGCCACCTTCAAATGCGACCTGATACTGCCCTTGCATATAAAACGGTCCATCCCTCACGTATTCTTTCAAACGAACTACAGTAACACTGTCGAAAACTTCCGTCAGACTGTTCGATTTCACCATCGACTCAATAACGTCAAACTTCAACTGTTTGATATCGGTGTCCACTTCTGCTTGCCGGTTCAGTAAGTATTCAATTAAACCAGGTTCCTCTCGAAATTTTATTTGTGCCCATTTTTGATCAGCCATCGCACGGAACACCATCAACACGGGCAATTTTACATCCTTGAACGGATTACAGGCTTTCTGGAAAAGCGCCATCAGAACTTTGTCACCCATGGACTCGAACCACAGCGAACTGATAACCTGGAGCTCCGAATCTGTCGGTGGTTCTAAACCCTGCAACAAACGCAAAAATGTAATGCTTATGGTAAGATGCAAATTCGCATATTATTTTTTTCGCAAAAAGCGCTTTTTTAGTTGCTTTAAGCGCATAACACTCTGTAAAATAAAAAGGCGGCATAAATGCACCAGGTGCAACCGCAAAAGGTCAAAACGCGGTTAATAAAAAAGACAACTTTGCTCCTTGTGACTCTGTAAATTCCTACTCAATTACTACGGCAAGAAGTATTCGTTTTCGGTACTTGTGTAGGTATCTGCTGACCAAAGTTCTAAAACGTGTACTAAACCCACCTCGATTCGTTTCACGAATAATTCCAGAACATGAATACTGTTATCCGTCACAGAATCTTTCCCGGATGTACTTGTGACACGTCTTCCCAACAGTTTTAACAATTTGTCTATCAGGCGTTCGCCTGTCGAAAGTATCAGATTGTGCAGATACCGTTTTCCCGCCACACTGCAGCTTGCCAGCTGACCAAAAAATTCAAGTGCAGCTGCAGCGGAATGATCAGTCCTGTCAAACACCAATTGTCCAGCCAAAAGGATAACCTTCTCGCATTTCAAAATGCAGTACTCGGGAAACTTTCGAGCCAACGTAATGTACATGCGCATGAGATACGGACCAAAATACTCAAATTCCCTCTCGTTCTTCTTCGACATTATCGTGTTTTCCGCTAAGTCCATGCCCCCAGATTCTTCCAGTAACTGCAGGCCGGTTGAATGCTGAGCAAACTGGCACATTATTTCAGATGCGTTGGCCAATACCAACAAATCCATATTACGGAATGTTTTGTATAAATGTTCCATCAAACCGAGTTGAACAACATATGGCAAATTGTCAGCGCTTTGTATCAATAGTTTGTCCAAGAAATCAAAAATTCGAAAATTCACAACATCTCTGCTGCCACCGCGGGTAGGTTTATCGACGATATCAACAATTCTGGCAGCAAAGTGAAAATTTGGCCGAAGAATATTCGTAATATGAAAATGCTGGCAGATCTGCAAGATGGACGTCTCCGCAGCGACGGCGACATACGACTCATCTTCCCGAAACCCTTCCGCTGATGTACTGGTAATCGGCAAAAACAGCGATAAATTTTCCGGAGAAATTTCTAAGCCATTCCGCAGCCGTCCTATTTTCCTGTAGCCAAACGCACGCACTCGCGGCAGTGCTGGCACTTTGGTACACAACACGGCGAACTCCAAATGCCACGGCAGGTTGATCTGAACGTCTTTCACGCCGTTAGCATCCGTTAACGACTCTGTCAGCACATCGATCAAGTTAGCAACATCATTCTCCACATCCTGAATATGGATGGCAACAGTTGGGGCAACCTGTACGCGAGGAAGGATTTCGTTTGAGAATCTGTGCAATTTGGGCTTCCATATGTCCGCCAGTAACGACAAGGTCCCGTATTTGGTTATCTCATAAGTGATGTCGCTCAAGAGCTTTCGAAGATTCTGCAGATCCGCTGCGGTGTGGGCCTTTGCGAAAATGTCACAAATTTTGCTGAATAATGCAGAGAGCAGAACATCGGAAGTCGTATTTCCGAATCGGGAAGACGACTGTGTCGCAGAGTCATTCGAATCCATAACAAGTTGCATACCCTTCCACACGATAAAGGTTGTTCTGGCCAATATCCAGCGCAAACAAATCCTGTAACGACTTCAAAGCCTAACTTGCAACACAGAAAAATGATAACAAACCTGGGTTTTTAGACTAGAGTAGTTCGAAAACTTCAAACTTTTGGCGACGAAAAAGAAGGCTTCGGCTGGAATTCTGCAATGTCATTTGCAGTACTCAAGACAGCAACCCGGAGATAGGGTGCCTTAACGTACTGTACGAAATTGCAGCTACAGTAAGTAGTTCAGCGGAACTGGACTAAAAGGCAAGCACGTGGGAACTAAAAACGAAGCCATGAACGATAACTGATAACTCATATGCATTAGCGCTGCAACTTGCATTAGCGCTGCAACTTGTACGTGTACAAATCACGCATATATACATACAACTAAGACGTTTTCGCAATTACCATTGGCTGGCCCGGCCTACTTTTGCCTACTTGATAGATGTATGCGTGATTTGTACACATACAAGTAAGAAACGCATTAAGCATGAGATATGTATACTCCAACTTTAAGACATCGGAAAATTTCGATATTGCTCAGCTGACTCTCCTACAGCCTGCTTATACTTTAACTACAACACATTGACTTCCAATTTTTTCGATTTTTCCTCATCCTGTTATTAATTGTTGTTTTTTATTTGATGTTTCGAAGTTGTTTCGGTAGCTGATCAAAAAGGCGATGGCATCCGCAAGCAACCATATTCACGGAGCCCATTCCCTCCTCGATGGTCTGCAGATTCGCTTCAGCGATAAATATCGACCTGCTAAACGAATCGTTCTAGCTCCAGACTATGTCCACCGCACCCAGGAGGACATGGCAGCGATACTGGACTTGGATTATAATTTCAGATTAGAAACATCAGTGTTATCCAATCAGAACTCCAATGGAAACTGGTTGTCGTTGTTCAAAGAAGAGGATGCTCAGATGAAGGACAGTGCCAGCCAGGAGAATTCGCTAGCCCCTTCGTCTTCGCAGCACAGAGGGCCGTCCCCTAGCAGCAATAAACCAGCTCGCCCTCCTCCTCCCCAGCCCCACGCTCACAGTAGCGCTTCTGCTGAAGGAACGGCCGCGGTCAGATTAAGTCCCACGTCAGCGTCCGTCACGTATCAACAGTCGGTTCCCCTCCAACCACAAAAAGTCAGCCCACAACCACAGATTCCGCGACCTAACGGAGCAACTAATCACTCGTTCCGTGTTGAAGATTTCGAACCCAACGCTGCCAATCCTTTCGATGCGGAGGAACTGAAAAGTTTGAACGATATGGAGGAATTGCAGCGGGTGCTCCAGTCGCCACACTAGTGAGTGTTAGCTTGAGTGTTCTCTTTCTTTGCTTTCTTTTGATTAATATCTTGATAGCGGTACACGCTAGTCGTTTCTCCCGATATTCGTTGACGTAACATCCGCTTGTATTTTATTTTGTTTCAGGACTGAGCACGTTTTTCACGGTTTTTGTCTAAATTCGACAGATTCCATTTTTTAATGAATTCGATTGATGGTTAAAATGTGTTTACTTAAACTTTGGTTTTTCTGTGAATACGCAGAATACGCTGGTGTGAGCTGATAAATGCGCAAGCTAAGATCTCTTTTTTAAAACGATATTTATACGTTACATAAAAAGAAAATTTTATTAGTAACAGCGTTACAGATTACCGACTCGATAACTGTTTACTGTTTAGCCACTTTGTTGTTTTCAGGTATCGAGTTTATCTTTTTAGTTATTTCCAATGATTCCGTAACTATCAGGTTCGGTCTGATAGTTATTGCGTCACCTGTGGGAAAACAAAATACATGGAATCCTTGAAATACAGTTTTTTCAAATTCGTGTACGATTTCAGAATCCGACTGTTGAACAAACTGTATACAGGTAACAGGGCTATAAGCATTTATTCCCATCCGAATTCCAAAAAAGATCATAAGATGATATTTTATCTAATACAGTAAATCTGTTTCAAAGACTACAACTATGGCGATGACATTTAAACTAAATCTGTTTCAAAGACTACAGCGATGGCGCTGCTTCTGGTTCCGGCTGGCCGAATTTGAGTTTCAGATGCGTTTGTATGGCTTGGAAAGGATTAGCTTGGTAATCAGGATCATTCATGACAGCCGTCATAATAGCAGCATTTTGCGCCCTGACAATGCAATGGATATTTTGTCAACCCAAGGATATTTTTAATGAAGTTTGGAAGCAATGTAAATATCAGCTAATTTCTTACACTTGCAGCGCTCGCACGGATTCTTTTTTCATGGGTTTGTATTTCCCCGACATTCTACGAAAACCAAAAATACCAAATAAATCGACCCTTAAGGAAACAAAAGAAATTTAATTTCGGAATCCAGTAGGAGTAAACCATAAAATCAGTAGAGTAAAATAGACGGTCTGTCCGCGTGTTGTGCTCTTAAAACACCAACCTTTTAGAGTCTCCAGCTGCCCGTCTAGAGGTAGCATTTAGGAAAGACGTCAAATCAGGAAGAGCGTCCACCATCGTCCTTACGTCTCCCACCACGGCGGTTTTCTGCCGATTTTTACGCTCTCTAGCTTCCGCCACAGCCTGCTCTAATCCATTAACTTCTGCAATTAACAAAAAAGCTTTTATACATAGATCACCGTAGTCATGATACCAAATCCTTAATTCCACGACCGTTTTGAAACAACGGGTTCAGCCTACTGAGTAAATATTATCAAGGGTAATGTGGCGGCTGCTTTAGGCAATTTATCAGCGATAAAGTTAACGGTTGGATAGAGAAGATACAGTATTGATTGTTTTATCCTCCTGTAATTTATGATCCAGTTTCCATGCGGCATGTACTACATATCTCACCAAAATGCAGACGTGTTCACAAAAGCTGTATAAAATTACGTTGTGATGTAACTTGTGAATACACACTAGCTCTTACTTACTTTTTAGCCAGAGCTGATGTCGGAGTTCTTTTTTGTCTTTTTCTTCATTCCGGCATAAACTGACGATTTGGCGGACAGAGTGGACATAATGGTGTTACGCTCTTCAAAATCGGCGAACTGATTTTTTAGGAGCTGAGATGTCACTTTCGCAGTTGACAAAACATCCGTAGGGAACAGCTGGTCGATCACAGACTATAAGAAATGTGTGTGTAGTTTTTTAGACTTCAGCGACACAATCACTCGCAATGTCGACATTTTACTGTTTTTGTTATTGACTACAGTTTTAGGCAAAAACTGAGCACTGCGTACTGTTGACAGCGGCTGTTCACATGAGCTGGATGCAGTAACGTTCCCGATTCCTTCGTTAAGCTTTGCGCCGGTACCGCGTTTCTCATCTAATATAACCGATCAAACAAAACGAAACATGAATAATATCTACACATAAATAATCTCAATTCTCAATCACGATCCATGAGCAAATAAAACTTAATCGTCACGTAAGCCACTCGACTTGTCACTTACTGCCACTGGAACTCCCTTTTGTCAGATTATGATACCGCTGCCTCAAACGCCTGACTTTTGCCATTCTGTACAAAGAAACTGGCAAGAAAGATTATTTAGGTGAAGACTCTCCACTGGAGAGTCGACAATCAAAACTTCCACAGTATGGACCCGACGTAGAGTACCGTAGTCACTGGCGTAGTGTTCTGTAGTCCGCGACTCAATACCTGCCCCTGGATGCAAAAACTGCGAACTGCTGATCAAACTGCAAGCTTCAAATGGCAAGGTTAAGCTGAGACTGCAAAAGATTAAAACGTTCAAATACGCACAAACAAAGCAAAACAACCAAAAAATGAAAATGTATTCGTAGTACGAATTTCGTACTGGTAAACTAGAAGTAATAAAGAAGTTTTTAACATTAATTTGAGAGTGAGAAAAAACTTCGGCAACTGAGAAGCATCGAACCCCCATGGCGGCTTTCATTTGCGCAGAATAGACTGAAGTTGACCACCAGTTCGGAGGGTGGTAACAACGGCAAAAAAAGTAAAGACAGCCTAGCCTGTTAGTGGCATCAACTGGCTTTACGGGGCAGACTGGGCCCTGGGTAATAAAAAACAGGCAGAACTAAAGCTCATCGATTAGAAGTAAAAATTATTATGGAAAAAGAATACCTATCATTCAAATTGCCCTTTTATCATAAATTTCTATAGTGTAATAGTTTTGCGTACTTATGCTTCCAGGCAGTCAACCACCTTAAAACCGTTAACTAAGTTCATGCGAGCCGCAGCAAGAATATCCTGATCCTATGGAAATCACTCTGAAATTCTTTGCCAAGGCGAAAGATCTTACAGGGACTGCTGAAACGAAGTTCCACGTAAAACAGTCAAATAGCCTTACTGTTGGATCCTTTTTGCAACAAGTGCACTCAAAATTTCCAAGGTGAGCTGGAGCAGTAATTTCTAAAGAGGTAGAAGAAGAACGATAGTTGTTTTGCTATTCAGCATTGTGACTTGTAGTAATTTGTAGTCAGCTACAACTGCTACATTGAAAATTAATTTCCTGTTCTAACAGTTAACTTCTACGTTTTACGTAAACTGTTGCTTGTGCGCGATATGCTGTATGCAGTGCTTTTTTTTAGGCTCCGTGAACTAAACAACGAAGTAATTTTGGCGCACAACTTGGAATTTGTGGAGTTGAATCCCACTTCCCCTTTTAATATCCGGTCAGGTGACGAAATCGCCTTTTTGCCACCTGTTAGTGGAGGATAATTACCGTATCGGAGAATCACATTCCGCTGGCACCATGCCGATCACTGGAATCGATGTCCTCATTATGTCAGAAAATCCTCTGTGCATTGATGAATATATCGCCAAATTAACTAATGCACCTGCGAGTGCCGGATGCGGAGGCACTGCAATCTTTATTGGTACTCGTATATATTGACATATTATTTAACAGTTCTCCCGTAATTAATCAGTTCCCTTTTGTTATTCAGTTGTATCATGCAAACGTGCTCTGTTGAATCTTTATTTCGTCCCCGTAATTAACAGCCCTTTTGTACTAGGTACATCTAGAAGTTCTTCCAAGATATCTGATAAAGAGGTAATTGCGCTGGATTATCAAGCATACGTTCCTATGGCTGAGAAGAAACTGAAAGAAATCTGCTCTCAATTACGACAACAGTTTATTTCGATTGGCTCCATTGTACTGGTGCATCGCATTGGGTACGTCTTGTTAACGCTTGCCGGAAATCCAGAACTGATTGCATTTGTTTTAGTTATGCTCCTGTTGGCGAAGCGGGTCTGTTTGTTGGTATATCCGCCCCACATCGGCAGGCGGCAATTGAGTGTATGGATGCCGCTATCACGGAAATAAAAGCAAAGTTACCCGTTTGGAAGCAGGTAGGGCATTTCACTGCGAGTAATATTAATAGTAAGCTTTTGTACTAAATTTTTTTATTTTAAATCCTGTGGAGTGTCGCATCGCGACGATCTTGCAAGTAATGTTTCTCGGTTTGTACAGGAAGTATATATCGATGGCTCTCGGTCCTGGACCGTCAATCCCGAATGTTTGTGGTCTGCGAAAGGAGCTGAAGCATCGAAGTTGAACCAAACAGAAAAGGTTTTGGTAAATGGATCAACATGACCATGCCATGATAGTGATGTCCATTTTTCGCAGCTGTAAGAAGCGTTTAGAATTGTGCCTTTTGGCGCGTAGCTGACAATACTATTTTGCTTTGGATGCTTATTTTTATGGTGTTGGAAAACTTGAAACTATAAAGCAAAATAGTAGAAATTACTTGGTAGTCTTGACATAGCTACTGTAACTTATTCATGGCTGTCAGAAAGGCGGCAGATTGAATTTTTTTTAAACGCTTCTGTTCTTTGTTCATAACTTGGCATGGGAATCGCTACACAGCACAGTTTTAGACTGTAATTTTGCTGGAACAGTGTCCTTCAGAAAAAACCGATTGGATGATTTGCTCACATCGCAAGAAACGCTAAATCAAAATTTGAAACATCAGAATTGAATAAGTGCATAGAACAACCCTATTTATCGCCACTTCTACAAGTACATTAACTGACACAAAAAGAACAATTAAATACTTGCTTCTATCCACGCGGCAAAATTAACATCCTGAGAACATTTCACCATATTGCGGAAATCAGAACGAAGAACAGAAACAAATCACATTGAGAGAGTTGTACAAATAAAGTTTATTCGATGAACTCTGAAATAATGACCAGCAAAGGCGACCACATTACACGTTTACGATTGTTATGCCGTTACCGTAACAGGCGTAACTGAGTTACGATACCACTAGGAAACATTGTGGGGATTATCGGTGTCCTCCAACGTCGACTGGTCAGCGGCTGTAGTTGTGGTATTCTCTACTTCTTGAACGCTTCGTTCATGCTGCAGGGCTAGTGTGTCGAAACGCAGTAACTCTGCGAGTTCTTCCGCAGATAGGGCCTGCCGATCGGGAAAAAGACGCTGCATCATCCAAGAGGCATAAACAGGATCGTTATTATCAGGTATTTCATTATCGCCCGATTCGCCACCACTGATAGCATCACTGCTGGTGACTATCGGTGACAAGGACACTGGTGCTGGACCGAGAAAATCCCTCATTCGGTCAGCGCGAAGCGCGCTGAGTCCACGCACAATCTCCCGGTTAGGATTAGATGCTGCTCCGCTCGATCGACACTGGATTCGGGCTAATTTGCGCTCTGAAAAAAGGGGGAATAATGGATACTACAATCATCATACTAGATACATCTTTACACGCAGACTTCCACTTTACTGTTAATGGAGGAATTTAGAATGCATAATAAAAATTTAAAACTCGGAAGTGAAACTCAAAAATAGTAAAACTGAAGTGCAGTAGAACTCTTGTTACTACTCATACAATTCGTATTATAACACGTAATGCGTACAGCGTACTATTAATTTTTGTTACTTTACGATGTCGTGTTCGTCTGTTCGATAATTATTAATTCATTCCTTTATAGTTTATACAGTACACATACTGTGGTATGAACAAACACATCACGCTTACCAAGAACGGAAACATATTCCGAAGAGTCTGGAAGTTTCTGAAAAGCTTTGGAAGAAAAATTGTCGTCAAACGAGAGCTGATTTGTTTCCACCTGCGCAGCACTGCAGCTGCTTTCGATAGAAGCTCCTTCCCCAGTCCCCCACGGATCTGCCATCCCCATGCTGCGATAATTTGATCTGCGAGGAATTCTTAATAACCAACCACGGGCAGCCAAAACTAGAAGAAACAGCTCAGTGTAAATTGCACATAACAACAAGAAGAACAACAACAGATGCCACGAAGTAACCAAAAAAATCAGGGAAAGATGGAAATACGTGTTGTTCGTGTGTAGAATGTACTTACAGATCTGTCAGCTGTGAGCCTGCGACTGTTTGGGTGGTTTTTCATGAATAAGTCATGCACTTACCAGGGCGGCTGCCAGCTAAGTGACGATTAGCCGCCAAAAGGCACGATATACAAGAGCTTCGTTTTTAAAAATACTGTAAAAGCCAAAATCCAGTAAGAACAGCTTGACTTTTAGTCTTTTACAAATTATTTCATCATTTTTAATGCTCTTTTACACTAATGTTCCTTTTTAAGAATTTAAAAACAAATCGAAGCCTGTGTCGGCTGCTGTTAAAAGATTGTACAAATAGCTTACGTCTGATATCTGCTTCTCGTGGAACCTTTTAAACGCTACTCAGATCTATTGTTTTGCTTCCAGCTTCACTAGCAGAAAAGTCCTGAAGGACCGTGAGACTGCGATGATGAATGCGGAATTGCGATCTCTGCATTTACACTTTTGATAGTGCTTTGGAGTGCCGATTTGGACAAGTATTTTGAGTTAACTTTGGGGAATAAAAGCTTGAAGCTGCAGTCTGTCTCATCAATTATTGGCAGTCCATGAAGTGCTGTCTGGGCACGCCACAGTAGTCACTTCAGGTTTCCGAGGATGGCACCAGTCGACAGAATCGCAGTTTCTGGTGGACCAGCTGATGTTTGTTTCGATGAAACTGGCAGGTTAGTGTTTCCTTTCACCGTGAATAGCGAAAACTCTTTTTAGGCCAGTTTAAGTGTGTTACGGTCGTACAGGTTGTTAGAAGAGTTGGAGAGCTCTTTAAAGGAATTAGAAATGTTGCAAAGGCAACATGACGCTCAGTTATGCGCTGTTTAAGGGTGGTTGCGGCTGACGGATGATTTTCGTCGAAGTACTGTTGATGTTTAACTTGCGCATTTTGTAGTCAGATCATTGCCTGTGGAGATGACCAGGATACGAGAGTTTTCAAGGGGATCGAGGATATGGCCCCCACCAGTCATTTGCTGGAAAGAGGCCGCAATCATGGCTTCGCTATCATCTCCAAGGTTCGTATACTGCTGAGTTAAGGGAACTGGGCTAACATTAACAATAAGGAATGTAATAATAATAAATTATGGTGTTGGTCTTAGGGCTCGCGATATTTCATCGGGTCGGATGCGAACACTGTGGATGTCTATACACTGGAAAACGGCGAATTTGAATCGTCAATTATGCAGTTTACGGCCGCTGTAACGTGTCTGGCATCTGTTTCGCTTCCTCAGAGTAAGTTTTTATTTGCAGAAAATATATTATTTTACCATAGCCTTGTTAAAGCGCAAACGACACAAAGCGTTTTTCAAATGCAGAGGTATTTGAAAATATTTTGTATCGTTTGCGCAGAGTTGCGGTAATTTTCACCAGTTTTCTGACTAAGATTTTTATTGTTTCAGCAACACTAATAGCCGCTGGTGCAGGGGATTTCAAAATCATTGTAGCAAATTACGACGTGGAAACCGGGATTGTAACCACTCGAGCGAGTTTCGTGGGACATGCGGCGCCTATCTTGAGTGTCGCTTTGGATCCCGTCGGCAAATATTTGGCATCTTCCAGTAAGTGGTATTGTTCAGCCGAAGTATTCTGTGTCAGAAAACCTGGCTGGGTTAAATCGTTTGTTTATTACAACTTACAGGTGGCGACGGTACCGTGAAGATGTGGAATATTTCCGATAACGCATGCGTGAAAACTCTGGATAATTTTATTCCCAAGATCAATGATTATGCAGCCGCCAGGCAGCTGGGACGAATGTCATTTGAACCCAAAACAGGGAATATTCTCGCTGTTCCCTCGGTCAGGGACGTGAAATTATTTATTCGCGATAAATGGGAAGTTGTGGGTGTTCTAAACGATTCATCCTGTCACGCTCCGCCGTCAGTGGCGTCATTTTCTCCCTGTGGGACACATGTTGCGGTGGGCCACAACGACGGCACGATTTTGCTGTACAATACTGGTTCCCGCCAGATGGTTAAATCCTTCCGCAGCGGAAAATTGAAGTCGGTGTGGAGGATAGCCTGGAATCCGGCTCGAAATGTGGCTGAATTTGTCTTCTGCGACCGGGAAGGATATATTTCTTTGGTAAAGGAAGCTTTTCTGCCGTCGGAGAACAGAGAGAACAGTACCAACAATTTTTCGGATGGTGTCACACCAGAAGCGAAAGCCCCTAAGTCACCTACTGGCAAACTGGATATTGACGAAAATTCCAACAAGGGAAGTGGACACTTTAACGATAATTTCGAGTTCGATGATGATCAGATTGATATCGTATCAGTCTCTGATTTTGCTGCAAAAAAGACGAAACCGGCAGTTCCCTTCATTCCACGGACAAAAATGCAAAAACATTTTCAGCCGGGAACGACCTATGGACATCGGCATCGCTTTTTAGTGTGGAATGATATCGGGTATATGAAAACCTATGTTGGTGAAGACTCAGATTCTTTTCCAGCCATTGATATTATTTTCCATAATTCATCTCAACATCGTCCAATACATGTGACCAATATGGAGAACTTCACTTTGGGAACGCTTAATGATACGGCATATCTCCTGGCTACGGAAGAACCTGATAGGCAGGAAGAGACTGATGTGCGCCGCAAGAGCAGTATGGTTAGACTGGTCATGATTGGAGACGGGAAACAGTGGACGCTACCGCTGAACGATGATGAATGGATTCGGGGAATTGCGCTGGGAGGGAATTTGTGCTATCTGGCGACTAGTCGCCGAATGGTCAGAATGATTACGCATTCGGGATTCCAGCAGTATATTGTATCGTTTCCCGGACCATTTGTATCATTAGCAGCCCGGGCAAACTTGGTAACTGTTGTGTACCACCAAGCGGAACCCTTTAACGGTAAATAGTGAATTTTTTCAGTTTTACACATTTTACAAATGCCCGATGCGAACGGTAAGTTGACTACAAATAATTAATGATAAATTGTTTTTTTTCTAGATGATCAGTGCCTGGGTCACTCTTTGTACCAGATAACTACAAGAGGACTGGACCTGATCGAATCCGACAGAAGATTACCTCTTTCGCCCAAAGCGGAACTGGTATGGGTGGGTTTTGGTTTGCGTGACACGCCTTGCATTGTGGACAATGCTGGCATTGTACGGGTGTATCAGTGCAGTGGTCCGCTGGCCAAAATCTGGTCTCCTTGTCTGGATTTGCGCTCCCGAATCAAGAACAAATTTGATCATTACTTTATTGTGGCACTTGACGAAGTCAGCCGACAAATCCGGTATGCCTGCTGAAACAGCTGCACTAATAAGTTTAATCTGGAAATTTTATAAGAACGTTTTGATTTACTTTTTAGTGCCATTTTTTGTCGGGGATCTTCATACCCACAGACAGTTCCGATTCCTGTTCAGTCAGTGATACCCTTGGAAACCATGCAAGTCGATATGACGGAGGACAACAACAAGAAAGAAGCCGATTTGACTCTGAGGCGTCTGTTTCCTTCTTTTGCTGATCAAAATTCCAAGATCTCCGCTGAAGTTTTGCGGCTTTTCGCGGTAAGGTTACGTCTGCGCGGTTGTGTTATTCCGGAAGTTTGCACATATTGCTTTTTCAGACTTACAGTGCGAATTCCGAAGAAAGGCGGGCTGTAGATATCATGCAAGCTCTTGTACCAGAAGTGAAGGACCTGGCTGTTTTCCGGAAATACGCTCTTTCTGCGTGCCGCAAAGAATTTGCCACATTGGTGGAAGAGATCATTGAGCAGATGCACCGGGACGAAGATGCAGACAGTATTCCTCGACCGCCTAGGTTTGCCCTTTTGTAGATTTGCTGTAATTGACTTGCTGTTGATACCCGCTAACCGTAACCTATAATGGCATAATGATTTTGCTTTCGTATTGTAACTTGTTTAAGATTTTTACTTGTTTTTGTAGCCCGGATTTGTACGGAGGAACAGCTTCAGCAACTTCCACTCCGGCGGCCAGAACTGTCACGCTCTCTAAAAGCAGCACACCGAAAACGACAACTCTTTCACATTTTAAGCCGGCCCCATCCAGTCGTATCAGCAACGGCTCGGTTAATGCCTTGAGCAGGTTCAACAAAGGTGAAACGGAAAGAAAAACACAGCTGTTCAGCGACAGCGAAGATGAGGATGCGCCGGTTAACCGTGGCTCAAAAATGGTAGGCTCCGATGCTGAGGATGCTGGGGACGACGATCGTGGATATGATCTTCAGGAAGATGAAGCCGATTCTCTCATGGGTCGGCCCACAGCGGCTTCGTCATCCGATTCCAATGGAGAATCCACCATGTCATCGCAGACGTTGATGCTTGAAGAAAATCATCCCCATTTCCGTTTATCGAATGGTACTGCTGAGAAAACTGCTCCGGACAACATGTCATCGATCACCAGTACACCCGGAAACCCCTTCCGCAAGTTCGGCAGCGAGCGTCCGGAGGTCATGCGCGGGATCTCATCAATGGAAGATTTAACCAAAGGCACGTTCCTCCGAAAAGAACGGTATGCGCTCGGTTATGAAAAATGGTGGCAGCGAAAAACATGAAGCATCAAAAAAGCGCGGAAGAAAGGCTATAGAGGACCTACCCGGAAAGAAGAAATCCAAGCCAGAAACCACGAAAGTATCTGCTGAAAAAGATGGCAAAGCTAAACCGGCAGTGGAGGTAACCCCTCAGAGCAAACCGGTATTTGCAGGACTGGCGAAGTATGGCTTCGTGAAAGAAAATAAGTAAGGTATGATGCTTGATACCATTGTTTCGCGTATCTTCCATACCGTAATGATTCCTTTTTGTTAAGCTTTAGTTATGATAAAGCGTTGTAAAATCATGAATATTTATTGCATTCTTTTCGTGCGGCTTTATGTAAAGCCGCTTTTAATATATAATATTGGACTGTAACAGATGACCGACAATTACAAAATAAAATTCAGCGGGAAAAATACTCGTATCAGTTGGGCGATTCCGGGAAAGTAATGTAGAGTTTTTTCCTGTGCTCTTTGAATATATTTCTTACTTTTCAGCTGGATTGTTACTCATTGTTAGTGCTTAAAAGTATCCCTAGATTACCTGCTAAACTGTTGAAACATTAGGCAAATAAGCATGGAGAGAACTGATGCAGTTTGCCACATGTTGCAGTCGTGCAAGCTTACTCCGGCATGCGTCGTTTTGATTGTGAGTGCAAGCGTTAAACGCGTCCATATGTAAGTAAGCAAACCGGAAGATGAGAGTCAGTATAAACTGGCTTGGTTGATGTCCCTGACATAATAATTGTGGTCAAGGATTCACGCTGTGTACTGCCGCTTTAACATACTGTTCCTGCCTTTACGTACGGCTTTACCTTAATAGCGAAGTCGTCAGCTGGTCCGGTGCAATATCGTAAATGCAGTTTCTTATTACGGTACGGTGCTTACTTTATAATATGGGACAAAATTTGTGATAAAAACTGGGATTTTCGATTTGACATGGGCGAAAGCGGAATACCCATATGTCGGAAATTATTTTACACTTCTCTTTCATTTGTTGCTGACACTGTTGACTGTTGGTGTATCTCATCAATCTGAACAAATCGATTGTTTACCTGAAAATAACCAAACCAAATCTACTGCATTCTATCGTTTACATGATGAGACGGGCAAGATCTGCTTATTAGCTGAATTCGGTATCCATATTACCGAAATAATTCCCGGTGGAAAAGTATCCGAGGTCATCCACTTAATTAATGGAAGCGCGGATGTTGTTCACTCTCGGTGCGATGATACAGCCGCTCTACTGGTTGTTGAAGGCAGTGTGCCGTTTCGTTGGCTACTCAGATTTCATTTTCTCAAGGACGTGGATGTCTGGTATGTAAATTCATTGATTCTGGAACTGGCACGGTGGGACAATCAATCCACGCTTCCGGTATCCGAATATATTTGGACTGATTATAATAATGCGACGTCAACCGATATACATTCAAAAACTTTGACGGCTGTTAATTACCACAAGTGGACAACCGTAGACAACGGGCACTCATATCAATGTGATAGCGATAAATGGATATTTGAGAGAATCGAACAATACACGCGAAAAAGAGAGAACGTTTGCGTTCTGTTTAACGAATATTCATGTGGATCCTTTTGTGAAAGCGGGAGATTTCGGTTCTGCTGAATCTTGCTCGTTTTTACTGGAGCAGTTGTACGATCAAAGCGATGATGTGTCGCTTCCGGTTGGATGTGCGCTTGCACTGCTTTGTTTGGCAGTAATGACGATTTTTTTCATTGGTCTACGTCGGAAACGATTGACAGTATAATTACTGCATAAATACGAAATATGATGTGAAAATCAGCATTTGCACGATTTTTGCGAATTAGAACCAAATCTTCAAGCAGAATTGCAATCGTACGATCGTATGCTTAATAGTTAATACTATAAACGTAGCAAAAGTGTCTGCATGAATTTTCTTTAAATCCGGCAACAAAGGTATTTCTAAATTCCCTGCAACACTTCCTGCAACAAAGTATTTCTAATTTCCTGCAACACTTTCCAGTGCCACAGTTATGTATTTTTAGAAATAAAGCAAAAGTACACTGCAGAATAACAAAACACATCGGCCATGTAGCGAACATCGACATTTAAAAAGTCTTTTTCAGAACCACCGCTACCAGTTCCAGTAAAGAGTGTCTTCAGTACATACCAGAGATCATGAGACAAATGCGAAAGCACAACAATAACGTCAAGGTGGAAGAGTCGTGATGTCAATCTCCGGATGTTTATTGCGAACATGCTGCACCCATCTTCCTCGTTCTATGTAACCGCACAAACACGTCTCGCACTTATAAGGGCAGTCGTTATACTTCGCTGGTTCGTATGCTTTCCCTTTTCGTTTGTTGGTCTTTTTCTTTTTAATGCCCAAGTGCAACTCATCAATATGGTTGCGCGTTTCCGCCAATTGTTTGAACTTTTTTCCACAATGATCACACGAATAGCGGTAATTGTTGGAATGTACCCACATATGGGAGCGCAACTTCCTCGGCGATCCACACACTTTCCCACATTCTTTACAGGTAACGGGGTATATGTTTCGATGTGTGGAATCAATGTGTACCCGCAGTTTCGTCAAAAGTGGATACTTACGCTCGCATTCAGGACACTGATAACACCCATCCGCGCCGCAATGTGTCGGCAAATGGGCATGATAGGCAGCTCTTTTCTGGAAGCGCTCTTTACAGAATATACACACCATGCGCTGAACTGGCCCCAATCGGCGCCTTTTCCGAGGCTTGGAATCAGGCTTCTTCAACGGTTCCGAACTTGGTGAAATCGCATGCGTAAGAACGTGCTGCATTAAATCATCAAAATCCTCTCCGTCATAACCGCACATCGCACACTGCAAATCGTCAATGCTGGACCGTTCCTCTGGCGATTGATGGGATAACCAGTGTTGGTGTCTCACGTTACGACCGGGAAATACAACCGCACACACTCCACATTTGTATTTCCGCTGAGGGCTGTTTGGAACGATTATACAAAATTCCCTTCTCAGTCTGCTGTTCCAAAAATTCTTGTACCAGTTTCAAAAATGATGCGTCTTTGCCTGAAGACAGATTAGACTGAAACTTGGAATACTCAAAACAGATATTTAAAAAAAACGAGACGCAATCATGGTCTTCATTCAATCTACCTATAAATTTGCCGGTAACTTCCGGGCAGTGCTTCTGCTGCAAATGGCGAATGAGTTTAGCATACGCATCAAATGTTTTTCCACATTCGTCACATGTAAACCCCTCAGCTCCACGATGACATTGAACGTGATCACGTAATTCCATCCAACTGGCAAACACCTTCTGACAGATACGACAGTCCCGATTCGTTCTTTTCTGGTGAACCTAAAATGGATGACAACTTCAACATGCACGATTTAGAATAACAATGGCAACAAAGTTTTTATACACTCTTTTCGTGTAAATGAAGACCCTTTTCCGTGGGAAACTTTTCTTTACACGTCTGACATTGTAAAGTCCATGTGCTCGCCATATCACGAAAGACGTCCGGATGAGACATCTGGATATGCTCCCTGGGATGAACAGCATTTCCGCCGCATACGGGGCACGTTCGCATTTTATACCGCCTGACCATTTCATTTGATGTGAGACCGTGTTGACCAACATGTTGGATAAGATCGGCAAAATTCTGCCCGACATATTCACAGCCCACACACTGCATACTGACGTGTTCCTGAACATAATCCTGGTGATCCAGAACATGCAGATTAAGCAGCGCTTCACTGCGGAAATTCAGCTCACATTCTGGACAGCGATACTTGAAAGTATTGGTCAACGTGGGCTGTTTAAAAGGTTTGGGACAATAAATTCTAGACGAGATCGTAGGCACAGAATCAGGTCTATCTACGGTTGACAGTACAGAAAGACCATTGTCCTCTACTTCAGGGGTACATGAATTCAAAGTCTTTCCAAGATTCTGGTCATTCTCGGAGCAGAACGTCTCACAAACATCCTGGGTATTATCAACAAGGTCGCAATGCAAGGCAATGTCGCACAATTTTCTCCTTTTACGGGCTGAAATTTATTAATAAGCTGAGTTACCTCAGCCCTTAACCATATAGCGAAAAGAAAGAAAAGCAAACCCTGACTTAACTCGATATTATACCGTTCACATACCGTTTTGCAATGTCCAAGAGTACTTTTCAGAATAACCAGCCTTCAGCTCCATACCCGGAGGAATCAGTTTTGTGGCAATAAAGTACACATCTGACTCACGCAGACACACGGATAAATTCTGATCTTCTGGCTTGATAGCAAATCGAATGTGTTTCATCCAGTTACACTGGTGATCACTGTCGAGCTGAAGAAAGTTTTCTTCATTTCCACCAACAAACTGGGATTGTTTATGCGATAAAGGGGCTACGAAGGGGCCAAACATGGTTTGCGGAAGAATCATAGACTTCGTGACAACTCCTGCAGCATATGAGTACAATAAATACAGATTACCATAACCACCACAAACACATAATCGACAACCAACCTGCGTTCTCCTTATCAAACTCCAATATGTTCGGCAAGCTGGTTAACGACAGAGGAAGAACATGTGTATCTTGCACATGCCTCATATGAGTCCAGCAGGGTTCATCACCCACATCCTGGCACACACTGCAAGCTGGAAAAAGAAAAGGCCTTATCGCGGCGTGCTAATTGTCAGTAAATCGGTCAAAAAAACTTTAGTAAAAGGAACAAAATACCTAATCACAAATACGGACTTAATTTATAGGCAGGATCTAAATGGGTTAACTGAACGGGTTAGTAAGATGTCCAGTTATTAAAAATGCAGCAAAATGCTGTTAAATTTTAACTCACAGAACGGCTCCTTTTTAATTGCGACATTGCAGTCCTCTTTCGAACTGCAAAGGTCCACATGCATGGAGTCATCCGTTTTCGACATTTGCCTCACAGCAACATTTCGCACTGACAATCTGACGGACGGCTGTGAAGCTTCCGGAAGAGCTTCGGAATCATACATCCACGAAAACACCTGCGGCACGGGAACAGCCCCCTCCGACAAAGTGCACCGGGGTCGGGCCGGATCTGGCGCCAGCGCGTGTGCTCCAAACGAGATCAAGTGCACTAAAGTGCAAATGACAGATACGGGCCCCTTCCAAGGGCTCAACGGCCGTGTGGCCGCCGACGGCAACCCACTGCTGGAACAGTGGACTATCTCTTGAGGAAACCGGAAATAGTGCCGAGGATTTTCCTCATCCACGACAGATTCCTTGAGGTCAACATCACAGCCCGGCATCCAGCATTTAAGGCCTTGCTGCTTCGCCGTTGGCAAGGAAATATGGGAATCAGAGCTCTGTGGCAATGACTAAAAGTATAACATCAGTATACGCTCTGGCGCAAAACTCAAAGACTGTACAACATCCATATGTATTCTAGCCCAATAAGATTTCAACAGTGCAAAGTCCGTGATGTATGCTTTCAGATAGAAAGAAAACAATCAAAATATTTAACAGAAAAAGTTAAAACATAACAGAAAAATCTCAGATGTCGCACACCCGTCCATTCAAACACCTACTCCAAAACTCAAAATATTCATCTAATTTGACGTTAACTTTACGTACATGAAAGACCGGATCCCCCTGCACTGACTGCGAAGATGCGTCCATTGGAATTGGCTGACTAGCTATAGATCCATTACACAGAAATATCGCGCTGCTGTCGACAATCTCGCCGTCTCCATTTTGCATGTCTTGAAAACGTGTCCTCTTTTTGTAGTGGAACGGATTGATGCAAACACTTTCAGGCCCCACCGTACATGTAACCCAGGAAAACAACTTGGAGGCCTGCCACCAGCGAAACGTCCGCACCACGGCCACATGTGGTGGATGTTTCTTCCCACTGATCTGTCGAAAAACAAATAATTTTTCAAAATAAAAAAATTGCCGAATAATCACTAAAACAGCAGTAAAATACTAGCATAAAAATGAGAGGACCATTAATTTTGGTATTTCAACATCGTATTTCAAACTTTTCTACTGATATTCGGATTGCTGCAAGGTTGCTTTATTTTAGAATAATAATTACTATTATAAAGCAGCCTGCAACAATCCGACCGCGTCACTTTAAGCAGCTTGCTAAAGTTTTAGGTGAAGCAACAGGAACTGCTGGGTGCTTACAATAATCGGTTGTGGATCAAAAGGAAGGCATTCCGTCATATGCGCACCACCCAGATCAAGAACACTGGCTAGTTTCCGCAGCGTTTCAGAATCTCTTCCTAGAGTGTGAATTAAATAATCCACAACCACAGAAGCATACTCCACCTTCGTGTTATAGTAGCGATGGCTTAGCAGGCGTTCTTGAATATCGTCCATAATGATGTGAGTCGCTTGCAGTTCCAGGATTTTACTACAATAAAAATACAGAACTCGTTAGACACCCTAAGTTACTAGCACGTAAATTGGTAAATATGATTTGCGCGTGTCGTACAGCTCAGACAACAGCGATGCCTACGACCAAATCCGAAAGTTCTTCCAGACCAAAAGTGGAAAGCCTGTAGAGTTTCAGCTGCAACTTGGGTCTTCCGCTGGGAGAAAAAATAATGACGGCTGCACATCTGTCAAAGGGTGTACAGTGTACACCATCTAATCACACCTATAAATAAGTCTTAAAGATAGTTCTTATTTTCAAATCTGACTGATCAGTTTTATATGGAACAGTTTTCGTCTGCTCCGTAAATAAAAGTAGCAATTGTTAAGAAAAATCGAAAAAGCACTTTAATAATTGGGTTGTGAAGAGCAAAATAAGCAGACCAACGTAACCGCTGTCTGGGGAGAAAGCATTATGGCTGGCTGTTGACCACGGTCCAGAACTTGGCAACCGCACAAGTACTCCAACTACGATGGTGCTGGGTGCTTAATCACCGGAAGCTCACGAATGCAGTCCAGTTTATGCAAAAAGATGTCCTCTTCCGGCGAAGATACGTCCAGCTGTTTTGCGTGTTTTTTTGGGCGGTGTATTAATGTATTAGTATTATTAGATTCTGATGACTAATATTGCGTCAACCATTAATATTCCTTTAATAATAAAAGTATGCAAGTGTCACGAAGGAACTTTTTGGGTCGATGCTGTGAAATTTTGAATCCGAAAATTATGTTTATGTAGCATCCGAATATCGGTGAATAAAACCTGCAGGCACGGCACGCAGCGGAAACATTTTGATGATACGAAAGGCGCTTAACAACATCAAGCTACACACTGTAAACACCAGAAAACCAAAAATTATAGTAAGTACTTAGTACTTACAATTTGTCACACACCCGCTCACCATATACAAAAACAAAAACTCCAACAAAGAATACATGTGCACAGCGCAACAAATTGCAGAATGCAGACTATGTTGACCTTCACCTTTCAAATATTCCAAAACCAACAAATTAATCAAAACACCACAATAAAATTATAACTAACAATAAGTACCACAGTTCCAGTCTTAATACAAACTAAGGTCAAAAAGAATAACAGACCGCGGAAATTTTAACGATGCTCTAAAAAGTGTACCGAAAAGCTGTTTTACATAAGTAATCCAGATCAAAACACTGAAAACTTAATACGTACGTACTATGTACAATACAAACTTTACACTTACTGGTTAGGTTTAAAGCGAACTTCAAAAATATGCAGCATAAAGAATCAGTCAAATGACTCAAATCGAAAGGTGGCAACATACACTGTTAATATTCGTACATAATGACAATACAATATAACGTTAATATTCGCACATATGGCAGTACAATATATCGTTAATATTCGTACATAAAACAACATCTGTACTGACGTATGCGAGTAAAAGTACTACATGCATAAAAGTACTACATGCATACATATAGAATATTATATACAATAATTATTATATGCAGTACGATTAATATTCAGATAGTGTATCGCTTCCCACATTGCAGACCCTCTCCCGCATTTTGCACGCTGCCCACAGATTCAATCAGGACGTTCACGGTTACACTTGTACTAACACTGCCGGGCATTTCATTATCCGCGGAAGCCTTGGTCATCGAAATCTCCTGCAGGTGAAAATATATACGAGCGCAAATCGCCACATCCGCATCCGCGCGATGCAGAATTCCACTGGGCTCCTCACCAAAACACTCTTCATACACCGCCGCCAATTTTCCATTGCGGCCACTGGGCATCACACTCCTGCCCATCTGCATGGTACACGCTTTCGGAATGCTGGAAAACGTACCATAAAGTGTTGCATTGCCATGGGCCCGGTAAATTTCCGATAAGACCACTTTCTCATCGAACTGTATGTTATGTCCTACGATGACGCCGGTGGTTTGCAGGTCGTCTTCCAAATACTGCAAAATCTCCTCGATTGCTTTTCCTCTTTCTTGGTCATTTTTCGTGTAATACCGTGCACCCGGGCCGCTCCTGGCGAGATGCGGATGCCGGTTTCCAGCTTGACAATGTGCTGTTGTTGAGCCACCAGTTTACCCGCTTTGTTGTAGATGTGCCAGGCTATTTCCACCATGCGGCATCTATTCCACGCACGCAGATGAGAAAACGGCGCACCGGGCGGGAATCCGGTGGTTTCGGTGTCCAGGACCATGACGTACTGATCGTCAATGCTGCCATCTGTGAGTTGATAACTCAGCATTAAAAAGCAAAATGGCGAGCAAAATATAGGTAAAATACAAGTTACAATATATTAAACAAATTCAGGTGCGCGCCTGTATTAAAGTGTATCAAAACTTCCAATATATGCAATCGAAAATAAGTAAAGCGTTATGCACCACATAATTATTTTCTTTAGCAAGAAAATAGGTATATCTTTGCTGCTAATACTATATATAACAGGTACGTATATCTTTCGTTTTGCTTGTTTAAGGAACCGGTTACTTGATGATGATTCTTGCGGGTTTGCTCCTTGCGGAATATTTGCGGCCTTCGGTTTATCCGCTTTTTTTGCGGACTGTCGTTTCTTTGCAGGTTTGTCCATTTTTCGTTATTACTACCTACTTTCCTTAAGCCAAACAAAATGGAGTTCAAGCACAACAATCTGAAGAGCGCATTAAATTGCATCCCGACCAAATTACAGCGCATGATTAATTGATTAATATATAGATATATATAGTGATATACTTATGATGTCTATTATTACCTTATAATGTCTGTAATTGACATAACTGTTGCTTTACATAATATCGCATAACATAATATTTCATAGTTAAAGTAATAACTCCATGGCGTTACCTGATTGCTGACAGAAAAGGAAAAGTTAACGTAACCGTAATCGGTGGTTCTGTTGTCTTCCCGAAATTCCCGAGCGGTAAACCTTAATAAAATTAATATAGTCCTCCGATTCCGATATATGCATGTGACAGTACTAGCAGCAACATCCAAGTTTCAATAAAAAAGAAAGTAAATACAGTTTCTGTATTTTTTAAAATCAGATTTTACCGATGTATATGTTACACAGAAAAATTTCAAATTTGTATGAAATTTCCATCAAAGAGTACAGCCAAAGCGGCCAAAGATACTAGCTGGCAGGCAGCTGAGTGTTGCAAGTTTCAGTAGTATCTTCTCGAATTCGAAGGATAAAGGGACGGTGATTAGAAGCAGGGAAGAGAAAGTGACTTTGTGCTGCATTGTCATAAATATGGCATGGGTCTGACTTTCACGAGGATCGATTTGCAACCGATTCGAACTTCGAACAGCTAGAGACAGGCTGTGTGTTTAACAGTAAATAAAAGACCGTAGTTTGCTTTGCAACGTTTCCCGCCATTTTGTTAATCGAATACGAATTTGCAGCCTTTATTTCTCCCCGCGCTGTTGCAGACAGTTTGGCCAGTGTACAATAGATACTAATATCTATATGACTACCGCGCTAAACGAAGTAGAGATTACGATAGCGTTTCAAGCTCACAACAGTTTGAAGTCCATTGTTGTATTAATAAGATTTTATCCGATTTATATACTTTCACGAAGCTTCTAATAATTATAGTCTAAAAGCTGCTGCCAATTTGACATACTGAAACAGTATCAACAAAATTAAGTCAAGAACATCATCTGAAAAATTAACGCAAATTACACACAACAACGGCATTTTTGTCAACAAATTAATGAATACCAATACTATAATTAACTGCCACTTGAGCCACACTAATAATTTACCCATACAATCGTTCAGTAGGAAAGGTTCGCAGCCAGGAAGCTTGAGCAATTTCGGTTATCCGAAAAAACGAGGCAAAAACCATAAATTATAGACAAAACCGATTTCCACAGCGCACTGTTAAATTACACCGATAACAGGAAGAACAAGATCATCTGAGATAACAAAAGGATTGTTTGCTTAACAAAACAGCACATACGCGACTGCCACAAACCCAACCACTGCAGCTGCAAGTCCGATTTTCCAATAAAATACGGTTTTCCTTTCCAGATTTTTCCCCATGGTCAAAGGAATAGCGCTGCCATCGCCTGACACTGCCGGAAGTTTAAAGTCACCGTTAACCCCATCTCCTGAATCTTCCCGTAGGATCCTGATACCATCCTGAAGCATGAAGTACACGCAAGCGCAAATCTCCACATCCGCATCCGCGCGGTGCAGCACTCCACTCGGAGCTTTGCCAAAACACTGTTCATAAACGACGGCCAATTTGGACTTTCGTCCGCCAGGCGTGATACTCCTAGCCATCTCCATTGTACACGCTGTGGGAATTTCGGAAAAGACCTGGAACAAGTCCGTTCTGTTTGCTCGGAACATTTCAGCAAGGATAACTTTCATATCAAATTGAATGTTATGGCCGACAACTACGGAAACATTATCCAAATCATTTTCCAAATATTGCAGAATATCGCCAATGGGCTTTCCCATTTGTTCAGACATTTCCCGAGTAATGCCGTGAACACGAATTGCTTCTGCAGGCATGTAAACGCTGGTGTCAAGTTTCACGATGTGTTGTTGCTTGCCCACAAACTTTCCTTTATTTGTGTAAAGATGCCATGCAATTTCGACCATACGGCATCTGTTCCATGGAAGAAAGTCCGAGGGTGGAGAATTTGGAGGGAATCCGGTCGTTTCCGTATCCAGCACCATTACGACACCGTTCTTTCGGACATTTCCTGAAGGATAAAGACTACACATATTCCACCGGATGTTAAGATTACTCTAAAAAGATTTTAAGAACATAGTGATCGCACTGAAACCTGTTCTTGCTGATTAAAAGCGGATCTGTGAAAACCGAAGAGAAATGAATTTATGCGAGAAAACATCGAGAAAAAACTACTCAATGACAGCAGTCAAATCCAAAAATCTAAATGTTTAAAAATTTTTTAACCGTAGTGCCCGCGCTTGCACTTTTAGTTATTCTGATGGCTATTCACTAAAAACAAGGAAAAAATACATACCATTTGCTTCAGGAGACGATTCTTTCACTTTGTGTGTTTCTTTGATGGATGTCTTTTTATGACTTTCTCCATTAAATCCATTTTGATGCTGAGATTTCCTTTCCGCGCCTATAACCAAAACAATTTTAAACGTGTCGCTAAACAAAATCCGCAAAACCGCTTGAACACAGAACGAACCGCTTAAATAATGATAAAAATAAACAAGGTTAATGATCATACTTTGCAACTGTTTTATTTGGAGAGCTTTCGAGAAGTCGTTATGGTTTTGTGTATCTGCACAACCATGTTCAACAAGTTGCAACAAGTTGCAAAAAACACCTCCTACCTGTAACACGACTTCTACTTATTCCAAATTTGGAAACGTTCGAGTATTTTACTGAAAAACACCAGTTTGCAAGGAAATAAAATTTTAAATTTGAACGAGATTATTTAGTCCTTACTTCTTGTCACTGGACCGTCAACTGAATCCACAGAAAGGTTGTAAAGAGATCGCGTGTGCTGGAACTTGTCTCCACTGGATTCGCCTCCAGATTTCTCCGTAAAAGAGCGCTGCTGTTCAGATTGCTCATCCGATTTATAATAAATCATACGCGAGTCTGGTGGGAAGGCTGCGATCAATTTTTGCCCAATGCCGAGAACAGCTGTTTCATCATGTGCTGGTCCGCAGTGGAAAGCAAAAGCGTGATCGTCCTTCGCGTCTTGATATCCTGCTCCTCGAGGCATGGCGGTGCTCACTCGTACGCGTGCAATCCCAGGGAATTGTCCTCCAAAGTACGCGTCCTTGACCATCTGCCACTTTTCATCGATGACCGTTTTAGAAAAGAACATCAGCCATTTTCCATTGGCATCGTCGTACAAGAAATCCTCCGATTCAGCAACGAGCCACGGATGACTTGTGCAAAGCGAAGGCTTGGCATCGCGATGAGGTGGACCAGAATTGGAGCTGTTGTTGCACTGGTTCGCACTGTGAACGGCTGTAAAGGCAGCCATGATCAAACGCAAGGATTTAACGGTTTAAAAATGTACGAATCGGATGTGAAGGACTTTTAAAACAGTATGAAAATTTGACCAATATGTACCGAATACCTATGTATACAATACACCCGCAAACTTATCTAGCAGAAAAATTCAAATTTCACCAGTAAACTCTAAATCACAGGGCCCCTCCACTGGAGTGGCTGTTCTGTCTGAGAAATTTCCTTAGCCATGTTGGTTCCATGGACAGTGGGCAGTGTCGCAATACACCCCCAGCGATATACGGAATGAGCTAAAAGTTTTGCCGCCAAAGCAAAGGATATCACTACCCTATGCTTTAAGTCCAGATTTGCAGGAGAAGCCGGATCCAGTTTTCCTTATTTGTAACTTTAAAGTTTTAACACAACACAAAGCGAGCATCCGTTTTAGGAATTCACTGTCCGCCGATGGGCCATTTGGCCAGACAGGTAGACCATAAATTTTCATCACTGAAATTTTCTGCAATTTGATTCTTCCGGTTATGCGGTATATTTCCGCTGATCAGAGTAATGATTGGGAAAGTTTATATTAGATCAGCAAATAACAGATCAAAATAATCAACAGGCTGTTTGTGAGCATAGACAGGAAGATAAGATAACAGTAAAACTGATCATGGCACTGTTATATAAGGCGGGTAAATTGCATGCTAGCCGTTTACATGGTGCTTTCTCCTCATTTGATATCCACCAGAGCCAGATAATAACGCTTCCGCTCAATTCGTAAGAGTTGTTAGCTTTCCCCACCAGTTGACCTTATTATTTGCCTCCTAAACCTACCTCCCAGAAATGACGCTTCGACAGATCCTGGCAGTGGTGTGTGCCTTCTTCATACCGCCGTTGGCAGTGATTTTACAGCAGGACACAATCACCAAGGATTTCTGGATAAATCTTTTGCTGACAATTCTGGTTTTCGTACCAGGTAATATAATTCTCTTACTGTACACTACGCAATTTTACTTCAGCGTAAACAAATAAAATTAAACTAGCAATAAAGTTTTTTGTGCCACCTGTTGGCCAAATAGTCTAAATATTTAGCCAAATTCACTAGCTAGATCAGCCTAGATGTGCATTGTCATCGTTTTAAAGTCACCATTTTGCGTTATTTAGGAGTAATACATGCGCTATGGATAATCTGTCGAAGCTGAAAGCAGCAATAACTCCGGGGTCGACCGCGGGAAGGTGCACCTTCATCCAAATGCTGCGGCACTGGACGAACTTACAATGCTGATACATGTCTGTACGGAAAATTAGAGACAACCTTTCACCGTACACACCGGCTTATGTTGTTTTGCAATTATTATTATGTTGTTAAGTTTTTCTACGGTACTTGCATGCTGCTAAACATGCAAATCTTCCTTTGCTGTTAAATCGGTGTCGCTTGCTACTGCATTCACACTCAATTAACAATAAAATGGCTTAATCCAGAACGTTTTACAGCTTGTAACACTTGTCCGCTTACTATTCACTTGTAAGAAGCGCATAAGTTTATCTTTTACAAATTATTAGCCTTTCCGTTGTCCGGCGAAAGAGCGAACGATCGAAGACACTTGCAAGGAATTATATGGACACTGCTATTATCCCGATCTGCAGTACAGTAGCTGCCAACTGGACGGTAGCTAGTTTGAAATCGCACTGGACAGCCGCATTTGCTACGTTTAATACTGCAAATTTGAAACGCAATTTTTTTATTTTGGTGATATTGATAGCAACTCAAAACGCCGCCGATCATGTAATTAAAAACAAAACATAAACTTCAGCCGTACTCAGGTAATTTTATAATGTCCAGAGTGGCTGACAATTGCGTAAGAAACACCGGTATGCGTGCGGCTAGCCACACAAACGAAGAAGCGCAAATTTATTCCTAATATAATAGCAACTCTTGTTTGTATTTACTGTGTTTCAAGAAATTTTGAGTGTGTTGAACTCTGATGGCTTACATATAAATTTGAATTCTCCTATAGCTGCGGCTGTAAGTTTGCCTGTAAACAACCTACAAGGTGGCGCGCAAGCTGTTTAGCCAAGGAAAACTGAAACATAATCGCATCTTCGGGATGGGGTATGTTAGAGGTTAAGGAAAAATGAGACCATCACTGGTTCTGCCATTGCGCGTCGGTGTATTTTTAGCAATCAAGCATGCATCTGCATGTAAACTGTCTCATTCAACTGCATGTGATGCTGAGTAACTGTTAGGACGAAGATTTCCCATTTCTCGTAGCTCTGCTGAGAAACGGAAGATGATATGCCCTAAACCGAGCATACACCAAAAATATTTCTCACAGACCAAATTTTCTTCGGCATTCTGATTGCCGGATGCGCTGCACTGTACTGTACGCGGTGGCAACATTCCACCGGACGACAACATGCAGATGCGCCTGCGTCCGTGATGCCATGCACAGTTACGACGTTGAAGTTATAAACAGTAATTAGACCAAGCCAGCACAGCTTTGCGAAGAATGGACATGAACGTTAATTTATAATACAGATTTTCGTGTCCTTTCTTGAAATCGCCCTACTGCCGGCATTGTGATATATAGGCCTTGATAGGAAATCGCGGTGGGAAAGCGAGCGATAATTGCCAGAACAGTTAGCCGGTATCCGCATTCTTTAAATACACATTGGCTTCCTGTGAGCAAGACACATGAGCCCTAGCCGTCTTTCGCCGGTCTAAACAGGAGCCAATTTCAGCAGTTTTACAGTGGCACGAAAGGGAAAATACATATCTTGACGTGCCGTGGCATCGAAAAGCATATGGGCGACACACACACAAGCGACGTTTGTGCTCCCGCGTCGCTGTCGATGTTATCGAACTAGGGAGGGGATTTCTGTATACGCGGCAAGCGAAGAACGTGGCCGCCAGATGCTGGTTATGTGTGTATGCACTAATTAACGACTTGGTCGGCGCTGGTCAGTTGTGGACTTGTTGATGAGGAGGATGTTTAGCGGAATGGCGGTTTAGCGTAAATGGGAGTGGACAGTGTCTTGTTTGTATTGGATCTGTCCAGAGGGAAACGACGAGATGCTGATGCGACTGTTAATCATTAACACCAGTCTATCCTGATAGGATCATCTTTTATCGATAAATTGCGAAGGATCGCGTGGGCATACTCAATACTGGATTAAAAGAATATAATCGCTGATCATCTCCAGCCTCTAATGAATAGCACAAGCTGGAGTGGAGGGCTTCTTATATTGCACTGTGCCGGTATTTTTGGCGTGTAAATGTCGCTTGGACATTTAGTCGACGCGGATATCCTCTGGTGAATCCCGATAAATCATAGTTAGCGGTTAAGCTTGCACATCACCTGGACAACTAAAGCATCTCTAAGTATAGTGGCATATATTACGGTAAGGCAGAGTATGGACTACAACGCAATTTTCGTGATATTTTAGCGATAATTATTGGTTATTCGGGTTCTATTGCTTTTAGGAATTTATTACGCACTCGCGTAATTTGTGTTCGGAATGCTTAGTGCGTGTGTGGCCTAATATTAGGTAAGCAGCGGAGTCAAACTTCTACTTCATTTTAACAGTAGTAACTACCCTGTATTCACAGTTTAATTTAAAGACTTGTACATGAGGTCACTAAATTTAACTGGTTTAATACGTTACACTGTCCTGACGCTGGAAAATCAAAACGCGCAGTTGTGTGTGCCTTGTTGTTTGTTTAATTTGTGTCATATATTATATTATTAGCAGTATAAGCGAAGCCTACAGATACCTATAATCTTAACTATCAATTTTTAACTGCTAGATAAAGTGTTCAATAATATTACGCGGTATTTATGAAAACACAGTCAGTGTTCCAGCATAGTACAGACAGATACATTGTGTGTTACAATAATTTACTTGTTTATGTATAATGTTATGAATTAGTGCTAACTCGATTCAATATGTTTTTTACGTACTTATATTGTAAGCACACACGACTTACTTGCATACTCTGTACGATATGTCGAAAAATGTATTTTCTATGCAAAAAAAACATTAAAAAGAGATTCGGTTTGCTTTCGATCGAATCAAAGCTACCTCACGTGGGCGTGATTAAAAACACAATCCTTCACGTCAGAAGGAGCGGCGCTGGTGGAATTAAAACATTCATGTGATTTATTAATAATTAATTAAAGTACATATGGATCATCTTAGTTCTTCCTAACTTGATATTAATTATGAATTTTTTAATTTTTGGCTCAGTTGGAAGGGAACAGTTACAGTTTGACCATATATAGTATACAGATCGAGAGTAGCAGTACCCTCAGTCACAAGCCTCGCTTCTGAATGCTGTTCAGTTTTCATTTATTACCCATAATTTTTTTAGAGGCGCGCTTTTATTTTAGTTTACTTAAATAAAGAAAACGTTAAGCCTGGATCATTTCAAACATTTATTAATTTTTATATACAAAATTAATTATTCTCAAACACGTCGGCATGTTTCATAAATCGTAACATTACAGGCAACAGTTCCTAGTACGGATTTTATGGGCAAACAAAGTTGGTAACGTGCGCGGGATGCGTATCAGCCTGTTCTTGTGAACGGCTAACCTTTTAAATTAATATAATAGGTTCTCCTGATGAAATTCATTTTTGGCAGGTTCATACTGTAAACGCGACATAATACGAATACTTAACGTAAATGGATACCGCAAGGCACCTGCTACTGTGGTACATTTGTTTGTTGCCATTAACAAGTGGACATCCTGCCCGGAATGCGCACCGATCATTGAAAACTGGTATGTCACAAGCACGTGGGAAAGGAAGGGCACAAACCAAAGCCTTTTAACTGAATCCCCAAAGGAGGCATTTAAGCTTCCGATTACGTACAAACACAGATACCATACTTATGCCGGCATGTAGTCGCATACTTACGCTCCTGCGTTTCCCGTTTCGGAATTGCGCCGTTAATGTTCCTGCGTTTGCCATTAATAATTAAACTTAAATGGAGCTTGCAAACCTTATGGTTAGATTAGTTTGGTTTTGAAGTAGATGCGCAGTGTGAAGCGGATAGCTACCACGCCATTGCTGAATGCTCTGGGTGGCTAACAGCTGATTGTTTTGTCGTTGCCGCTTTATTATCTACAGCCAATCATAGTAAGAACGCCAGTCGTCTTCGCAGTACATATTGGAAGAGTATTTTCGTTACTGTTATATCACAACAATCCTGCAACGTTAATGTTTATCGTAATATATTTGTAATGCACAGAGGATCACCGGATATTTACTTTTTCAGAAACTGAAACGAATCTTCCATGCCGTTTGGTAAAGGTCATGTTCTGTGTAGGCATTCGTCCACCACGTTTGATAACACCACACCAACCGGAATTACATGCCGGAGTGGGAACCAAGAAGACCGAAGTTAATTGTGATATTCACGGCAGTAAGAACTCCACGTCCATTGCGTGGTTTCGCAATGGCTCTCAGATCATTCCTGGTGGCGATCATGACAACAAACGGTTCGATACAAGAAAGTCCGGATTCGTGCTGGTGGTGCATAATTTAAAGCCATCCGATCATAAAAGTGTTATCGGCTGCCGTTTAACAAACTCACACGGCACAACTTGGAAAAACGTGACCTTAATAGTGGTTTCTGAGGCGGAAATAATAGCAGAACACAGCATCCCCAGCTTGTTTCAGGACGACATTGTACCACGTCGATCTGTCGGCAAAAAGCCCGGTATGTAAAATCTGACAGCTGTTTACTTGTTGATGGCTATCTGTGTTTTGGCTGATCAGTATGTTGGCAAAATCTCAATTCGACGTGCTGTATACAACATATCAGCAGCTACGTTAGACTACATCATATGAATACAACGCGTACTAACTGAAATCAATAAAACCGTTTTAGAACCGCAAGCGCCATACGTTTTATTGCACTCTGGAGCCAACACGACTTCGCCAAAAGAATTCGAAGTTAGGGAACCCGTTGGAGAAAACGGATTCCTGCGTTGTCCGGTCGCGGGTTTCCCTGAGCCGTCAGTGATCTGGAAAAAGGACGGAGTTATCGTTATAAGAGTAAGTCTGGACCACCTTGAGCTTGGAGCGTACTGCATGTAGTAATTCTGTGAACTATACTTAACTGGTGATAAATTTTGTTACTATGTAATGCAGGCAGCACTTTGGTGGTTTGGTTTTAAAATGGCTGTAGTATAATTTGCAGGTAGTATTCAGAAATCATTTAAGTGTTCATCTAATAATTTTAATGCACGTAGACGGAAAGGATTTCCTTGCCTCCAGATCTCTCTTTGCGCATCGAAGCTATGCAAGTAACCGACAGTGGGCATTATCAGTGCACAGCCAAAAATGATTATGGATCAGCAGTAATTAACTATGATGTTCAAGTCTCCAGTAAGTTTGAACACTAAAGTAATTTATTTATAAAAATAACAACAAAACTGGAAGCTACACTGTAACACCATGTATACAGAATATGGATAGCACGGTCTAAGTGGCTGTACTGTAGATGTTCACGCTGGACCACCGATCATCGAAAGCGATTATCCAAAAAACATAAGCGTCGTGATTGGTCAGTCGGCTTCTTTCGAATGCAAGGTGATAAGTGGATTTCATCCTTTTGTTGCCTGGTTCCACTACGTATCGGGAACAAGCGTTATCGGTAAAACGCTCGATGTGGACAACACCATTATGATTACAGTAAGGTTTTCACTAACAAATTACAAAAAAGCAGAATGTTCTAACCTAAATTAAACAGCATTGCATGTACGCAGTTTATATTTCTAGGAAGAAGCCACAATGTGATTTATTTTGTTCCTTTATGTTTAGCCTTCAGACAAATACGATCTGTCCGACGCATTCAAACTGGTGATCGTAAATGTAACACTGAACGATTCCGGTATCTATGGCTGTGCAGTCGAAAATCCCGAGGGATCCACTGAACGACGCGCGTATCTGGAAGTGAAGCTAGGTAACGGACGTAGTAGTTTTCCACTTTGTGTTGGATTATTTCAACTTTAAAATTTGGTCGCACTCTTGCAAAATTAACTAAATAATTACAATTAAAATTTACATGATATCACAGCATTGTCCCATCTATATTATTAAGTAAACTAAAGAAAATATAAATTCATCTAGAAACTTTCAAAAATTTGATGCGAAAGGACCGTATATAAATGATGCAAGCTTTATTTCCTATGATATTGCAGAACCGGATGTTGTATCTACTCCAACATCGTCCAGTTTCCACCTCTTTATTGGCATCGCAGCGGCCATCGGTCTGATCTTTCTTTTTGCTGTGGCATGCTTATTCTACTGCTTTTGTAAAAAATCTCATGCCGACCGGCTGGCTGAAAAAGTCTCCCATATCCCTATCTCCACCTATCGGAAACGAATGAAAATCATCCAACGGCAAGACTCCGGGCACAGCGATAACACCATGATCGTCGGACATATTTTTGTAGAGGATGACTGGCATGCGGCTGGTGGCAGTATGACCAACAGCGGCTCCATTGTGACCACCCAGGCCACAACGACCAGCCACTGCAATTCCACCATTGAATACGTTATGCCCGACAACTGGGAATGGGACTGGGTGTACGATCGGAAGAAGTTGGAGGATTTCAATCCGGATAAGCCTATTGGCGAAGGGGCTTTTGGAAAGGTCATCAAGGCTAGAGCTAATAATCTTCCACGGGGTGGGGGAGATGCGACGGTAGCAGTCAAAACGACGAAAGGTGCGCCAGATATTATTGAATGTAGCATCTTGGTAGAAAAATACTCATTTATTCAAGAGTTATTGTCATGCGGTCATGTCGCTACCGTATTGCAGGAACTTGTGCCATTTCATGATTATATTAATGCAATATTTGGGATTGCCGCTTCTATAAAGCATCACACTATACAATGGTCACATTAGCAATTTACAGGGTTAATTAACCTACGCGTACAGTGACCTGTTTAAGTAATCATAACTTGCTTATACTAGCTAAAATGTTCTCGTTTAGCAGAAACTGGCTCGGAATCGGAATTTGTGGCATTAATGCAAGAATTCCTCATAATGGTAGCGGTTGGACCTCATCGAAACATCATCAATGTACTGGGCTGCTGCGTGGAAGAAGGGCCATTTCTTGTTCTTGTCGAATATGCACCGTTTGGAAATCTACGGGAATTCTTACGGCAACGCCGTAAAAACGATGGTTACGAGCAGCCTATTGGAATGCCACAAATTACTCAACGAGATTTGGGACGATTTGCTGTGGAAATAGCTTGCGGCATGGAATACTTGTCATCGAAGCGAGTAAGTATGTTTATTTTCATCTTTTTTTTGCAAAAACGTAACTGGTTTATACTGCATTCTGCATCTACAAAGTATTGTACGACAATACACGACAGTAAATATATGACTTATTACAGTAACTGATGTGTGAAAGGCCAGTTTTTCGATTGATTTGCAGTTGACTAACGGTTCAAATTTTCAGATTATTCATCGTGATTTGGCGGCAAGAAACATTCTTGTTGGAGAAAATCAGACTATGAAAATAGCCGATTTCGGGCTAGCCAGGGACATCTATGATCAAGAATATTATAGAAAAACATTGAGTAATAACTCAACTTCGGTAATTGTTGCCATTGTTGTACTCCCCAGTTCATCGCCGGCTTTGCAGCTATGACACTTTTGACTGTGCATTGCAGGATCGTATACCTGTTAAGTGGATGGCTTTAGAAGCGCTTCGTGACCTTGTGTACACCTACAAGAGCGACATGTACGTCAGCAACATACGTAATTAGCGATAAGCATCATGACGTACAAGTACTTCCATCTAATTTTCGTTTAACGACAATCGGCCATCAAGGATAGCACTACGATTAGTACGATATATTGTATGTGTATATGTAGATATATGAGTATATATATATACAAATTTCTGGTCGTACAGATGGTCATTTGGGGTTCTTTTATGGGAAATAATGTCATTTGGCGCCAGTCCTTACCCGTGGATGAATGAATTTTCACAACTGTTCCATTTCTTGGACTCCGGCCGCCGAATGGATGCACCGCGAAACACACCGACCGCATAGTAAGACTTGCACTTCAGCTAAAAATTGCGCGTGTAACGTATTAACTTGTATAGTTATGATATAATGCTGCAATGTTGGCATAAAGATCCGGACCTGCGCCCGTCGTTTTCCGACCTCATACAACAGCTCTATCTAATTCTGAACGGATCGGTAAGAATTGTTGTACCAATGCATGTAAGCTTGAGTCCGCATTTGTGATTCTGCATGTCCTGCAGATCCTACAATATGTACTTGATTCATTGAAGTACGTAACCAAAAAGAGCGGCTTGTATGCCGGCTTCCCCTCCCTGGTCTGATTGCAAATAGAAATAACTTTTTAATACTTCGAATAAATCAATAAGCACCGAAAAAAATTATTAACATGTAAGATAACAATCCTTTTTGCCGGTAAAGAACTGCAGCTAGTCAATTAAACACTGTGAAAATTTAGCAATAGTGCAGACTGTTTTTCCAGTTCCACAAAAATTCAAACACAAACGGTGTTCTTAAATTATTACAACAATGTGTTAAGCATGGTTTGAGTACAGTCTACATAGCACACACAATACAATAATACTTTCTTGCAGGAGTATTTGGAGATTTCGAAAGAAGAATTCCCTATGCTGGAAAACAATCCGCAGTATATGTTCGTGCCTGCCTCAAGAGCAAATACTGACCCCAATGCAACTGTGAAATCAGCCCTGCTTTCCTAGCGATAATTTGTACATTGGTTTTTTACCGTATCGACGCATTAAAATAAAGTTTTTTGTGCTTTATTTCAACAAGACAACATATTCTGAATAAATTTTATTCCCGTACTTGATCAATAAGGCGATTTTCATTTTTTTAGTTCTTACTGACGTTGTTTGAATGGATTTATTTATGTTTTTTGCCTGCGGCTTATTGTTAGCATCCTCCTCTCTTTGTTCCCGGTTAAAGTGTACATCTTTTACTACAGTACCGATAGATACCAATAGCTTTCTCACGAGTAGGTAGCGGAATAGTACGTTTGTGTTGTGTGCACCACAAGATAAAGTAGTTAAATTCAAACTGTTAAACTAGGTAAATATGTATTCACGGTTTACTGAAAGTGTACTTCTACCCGTATACTATAAAAAACGCAGATTATGATTTTGTCAATTATTCATGCGATGCCATCACATATAAAATCTACAGAACGCTTTATTCTGTTATGTTACGAAATATTGTTAGATAAGAAGTGTTCTTGCGCACTAAGGTTAATGATAATCAATGGAGTTTTCTTCTGTAAGTCTTCTTCAGTAAGTAGCCCTGCTTAAATAGCGTTGGTGAAAATCAGCTACGACGGACTTCCAGTCAACGCAGTCTTGTATCCTTCCGGCGTTGCGGATCCGTCGAGACCACTGACGGCTACCTGCGAAAATTGTTACAAAACAATGCTATAACCTTTGAAACTTATTAGTTTCTAACGTGTCGCGCTGTACCAAAAAGGGTGCGTTAACACCTAAGCTACTCATGCACTGCTATCTCACCTATTGCCATGACATGAGTCGCGCTAGCAATACTTTTACGTGACAAGTGATGACCATGAATAAAATGAGAGCCTTCACTGTGTAAGGATTTGGTGGAGCCCGAAGATTTTGATGACAGAATCGTTTCCGATACGGAGGGATTTTCTGTAATAAGAAATGGGATTAGTCGATTTTGCTTATCCGTAAAGTCATAGTTCGTGCATCTCAAACATGTGGAGTGGGTAATTATCTGCTGTCAATATTCGTATTTAAAAAACTTTTCAAATCTTCAACTGAGTTCAAAATGCATGCATACAGTGCCACCACAGGTAATTCCAGCAACTAAAAAGTGACCTGTTGCATTTTCAAGCTTTTGTACGAGTACGTTTCTGTTTGATTTGTACAGTGTCTTACCCTGGTGCTGTAGTACAGTAAAGAATAAAATCGGGAGAAGGAGTAAATTAAGAGGCGGGGGAGTTAGCAGGGATTTTTCAGTATTGAGCACAAGCGCTGCACGCCCGTGTTTCCACTCCATATCCGAACGCGACTGCACTCTTTTGTAAGTATTGGTAAATGTGGCCACCAGGATTTTTAGAATTACTGCCAAAACGAAGCAACATTTCAAAACAAATCAATTTTTTTCTTGATGCAGAAGTGCGCCTTCCTACCGATGACGGCCACTGCAACAAAGAAAAGAATTAGCATCTGGTCTTCCCTTTAAAATATTACCCGAAGATGCATTTACTCATTAAATAAGTCATATGGAAAATTTCGATTAAAGTGTCGGCGAACACTGGTCCATCGTTGGCCGCTGCGAACTCTGGCTCCGTTATGCGATCGTACAGAGAAAAGTATAGTTTGCGAATAATTTGGGCTATGTCGAATTCATGCTCCTCGTGTCCGATCGGCGTAACCTCAGTGGAATTTACAATGTGGTGAGCTCTGGAAGGGCGTGGTTCCTTAGTTTTAACGTAGAGAGCTGCGCACAGAAACGTGCATCCGAACAAGAACGGAATGAGTATCCCAAAGAATTGTATAAGATCCCAGCCAAGTTCCGCAAGAAGAATGCGCATTGGTCCAAATGTGGGATGGAATACTAAATAGCTACAGAAAACAATAAACATTATCCATTATGGTTATGTGTATTTATTGTATTAAACGCATCGCCTACTACTCGTGTTTTTTAATTAATCATTAATACATTATTCGTTAACGGTTTATCGTCCACTGCACACACAAGAAACACATACCGGAAATCATATGCATTTACGCAAAATTTTTAGGTTTGACTGGTTTCTCCGAAAAAATTCTTCGTATTTCGCACAATTATAATATTCTGAAACAATATTAGGAGACGGTGTTAATGTTAGGTGCTGACCCCAGAATCTGTAATGTGGAAACAAGAAAGGCCAAAGCCAGAAGTTCATTCCGGACGTAGAGCACAATGGGAAACACATGATCGCCGCGGACAAAAGCACCACCCATATGCACAATGACCGCCGCAACGCATATAACCACCACGGTTTTCCTCAATGCACCTCCTTCTCCTTTAATTTTCCGAACCGTAAATTCGTACATAATTTTTCCCGCTATCCATACTAACAAAATTATTTCCTCCGGCGTAGGTGTTCGATAATTTGGGCGTTCGTATAAGGGAATAAAGGTGACATGATGGTTATTGCCAAAATGACCAGGAAGTACAAATGGCTAACCAAATTACAAATGTACTTCATCAAAGGAATGTCGGCATACTTATACCCGAGTGGTAATGAAAAGATAATCCATAATAAAGGACACACTAGCAGCGCCAAAAACACTATTCCAATACGCAGCCAACTCCATGCCTGAAAGCCTAGCCAGACTTTCGTGACGTATACCTGCAGTTCCGGCAAAGCCGCCAAATGTTTGTGGTCGCCATCGAGTATCAGATCGGCTAATGGACGAAGTTGAATATCGTATGACTGGAAAACAACGGCAGGTGTGTGTTTTGACAAGCAATTTGTAGAAGATCATACGTCAGAGCTGAGCAAAAGTAACTGGAATGTGCTAAATCGTGCTCATATTCGCGATCCATCGTCGCGGCTGTGCGGTAGAATTCCGTGACCTTTAAAGCGACCTCCACGGGAGACTGCGCATGGATGATAAATTCTTCCAGCGGACGTTGTCGAGCAAGTTTACTACATATCATTAAATTGTACAAAAATTCTCGATCTTCAGCCAACTCTGTGCTGTTGTACGGCTGTTTCAGAAGAAACCGGACGGTGTCCAGTTGACGAGCACCCACAGCCACCTTTAGCGGGGTTTTTCCAGCTTTTGTGCGGCATTCCGGTTGTGCGCCATGGTCCAGCAGCTGTTTAACTAAATCTAATTTGCCGGTAGCTGCAGCAAAATGCAGCGCAGTGAATCCGTTCTGGATAGTAGAAATAAAACAAAAGTTAGGTTAGTGACGTGTTAATCTGTTGTAATTCTAAATTAAATAAACGAAAATCTAAATCTGATTTAACCTTTTAAAAGATCCGGCGCATACATAACGGAAGCGATAAAATATGCCATTTACGATAAATTATAACCTGGTCTTGCACAAGGACATCGACGTCGTGATCCATCAGCAGTTTACAAAATTCCATATTTCCGGCAATGACAGCAAACATCAGCGTTGTTCGTCCTTTGTGATCGGCAATGTTGACATCCGCTCGGCCCATCAGTAGGTTAGCAGCTGCGATATTCCCACTTCTCGCGGCAAAATGGAACGGAACCGCGCCGGTCGTCGTGCTGGTGGCATCGGGATCACATTCGGGAAATGTCAGCAGCAAACGGATCACATCGTCCTGCCCCGCTTTACAAGCCAGATGTAGTGCGGTCAAACCGGGTTCAGCAGCTGTCTCTTTGACAAAAGCATTGTTCACCGTCGGCTGTTCGGATTTTGTATCCACAGGGACATGTTCCAGTACTTCCCGGAGAAAATTCATTTGACCATAATATGCCGCTATGTGTACTGCGTTCAAGCCGATCTATAAAATTAATAAAATTATTTCCTTCTGTACTCGTGTTTATGTGTTCTCCAGGTAATCGGCCTTTTAAAGTTTGACCCACTTATAAACACAAACCAAACCCTAAAAAATGTACTCATGATTTTTCGTGTTTACAGTTAGTACCTTCATGCTGCACGTCCTCAGGGTTAAGTAATTCTGCAATACCCGAAATCCACTGATGTTACCAACCTTGGCGGTTAAATGTAGAGGATTGAAACCTTCCTGCATAGAACATTCATGTCGGATGTAATAAATTATTTACATATCTGTGAGTAGTAAACAATAACTGAAAGCTAGCTTTTATCAAAGCACGGAGGAAATAAATTTTATCACATATTGTCATGAATTTCTTACTCCGACCGGTACCTTGTTTTCTTGTGTGGCGTCTGCACCATTTTCCAGGAGAACACGAAGAACCTCCGCGTGACCATTAATAGCTGCTAAATGCAGAGCGGTTGAATCCGTTCCCTGGAAAGTGGAAACAAAGGCGGCATATGTTTTTTCATTTTTCAGTTTGTAAAAGGTAACTAGAACCTGAATTTTGGAGGATACGACCAGGTGACGATCAACATCCAGCAGCCTTGTTATTACTCGGATACTGCCCTGCTGTGCGGCAATATGGGCTATATTGAGTCCATTCTAAAATTGACAAAAATTGTCTATTCGGAGAACGGACTACAGTGTGCGTTAATGCAGAAAAAATAACGTAGAAAGACGCAGATTCTAAAGGGCCTAAGCTATACCCAGTCGGTGGGAGTCAAAAGTTTCAGTCCCGCAGGAAGACCCATGAAAAGGTCGAACACACCGTCTTGATCGGCATGAGCAGCAAGGTGTAGTGGTGTTTGACCATACTGAAAAATGAGGATATAGTTCTATCAATAATCAACGGACACCTGCAGTATATAATACTGATTACTTCATCTTTAGCCGCTGGATCCGAACCCATTTGTAACAACTGTTGGCATACGTCGATGCTCCCAAATTCAGCCGCATAATGCAGTGGTGTTTTCTTGTGCTATGGAGAGAAAGGGAAGCTGCCAATCTTTTGCACTAGCATAAAATGAAGGCAGAAGTTCATGGTGATGTACAGTAGTGTAATTTTGCAGGAGCGTATTTTGGTCGTTAGTCGACTGCAGCGAAATGTATTTTCGGCAGTTACTTGTATTATGGGAAAAAATTTAACTTGATGGATACCAAGAAATTTTGCTGTTGATAAATTAATTATTTGCCCACTTACAATGGACATGGTGTCCTGGACTGCAGCATGATCTAGGAGCAGATCTACAATATCTTTGGATCCTCGTCGGGCTGCCAGATGCATAGCCGTTAAGCCGGATTTTGTTTTGGCGTTAACGAAAGCTCGGTATCGCAACAGAAGATAGACGATATCCCGGTACCCGTGAGCCGCAGCCAGGTGCAATGCTGCTCTTCCTTCCTAAACAAAAACCATGTCAACAGTGCGCATGCCTGATTGGCAGAAAATTATTCGCTTGTACAGTAAAATCTTTGTAACTTAAATTAAAATTTTACCTCGTCAAAGACGTCAGTTCTTGCCTTCCTTTCCAGAAGTAATTCTACAATCGCTACATTTGCCAACTTCGGACGCTAACATCAGCGGCGACAGTCCTTTCTGTATATATGTGATCAGAATTTTATTTTTGAAACTTTTCTATCGTGCATTTCATTTAATTCTTTTCTTCATTCCCGCAGCGATGCCACAAAAAATGGAATTTAAATTGAATAGTTTTACAACCTTTGTGCGCATGTGCAGCGCGGTATGTATCGCATGATAGGGAAGATTGTTCAGCAAAGCCACGAGGACACCGTAATTTCCAAATTCAGCCAGGTAATGAAACGGAGTTTTCCAGTCCTGGGAAAATACATTTTCGGGAAATATTGTTTTACCGCGGCTACCGCGGCTACCGCCGCCAATTTGCCAGGTTAGTATAGCGAAAAGGTGAAGGTTATAGCTATCATATAAGAAAATCAATAAGTGACCTCAGTAGTTCGAGCATTAACAATGGCGCCACGATCCAACAGGAAGACAGCTAGACCAGCCACATCTTCCGTTCTGATACTGCGTTGTTTTTGATCTGCATCACAACGGCAAAGACCGTGTAGCGGTGTTTCTCCAATCTACAAGGCGCACAATGGCTATCATGGCAAATGGTATTACGAACTTAACTTTACTTTGTTTCTCATATGAAGCACCGCCGAACGGATACCGGTAACGTTGTTGTTTTCGACGGCATTCCCATACTTCAGTATCACACGGGCAACCTGAACATTTCCATACAAGCAAGCAGTGTGGAGCGCCGTATTGCCCTCCTGGTCGACGGTATGAAGCAAAGCGTTTTCTTCCAGAAGTAGTTCGGCAACTGCCGCATTCCCCGACGCAGCCGATATGTGCAGCGCGGTTTGTCCCAGTGAATTTTGCAGGTTTAAATTTGCGCCCGATAATACAAGGTTGCGTGCCGGTAAAAATTCCTTTGGTAACTTAGCGGCCAAATGTAAGGGAGCCTCACAAAGAGGTCCTCCTGTCCGGCAATATAGTTTAACAGTACAATTATGTATGTTATTTTGTTCTTCGTTATCCTTTGCCGCCTGTGTACTGATTTTGCTGTAGCAATCGGTTCGTCAGTAAATTTAAGGAAAACCTATTTACTGAAAATTTTTGCTAAATATGGTGTTTTATTTTGCAGTAACGTATTGCAGCTGAGATAATTACAGAAAAACATTGTTTATACCGTTCGCGTCAACACTGGCTCCGTGTCCTAAAAGGATGTCTATAGCGTCGTGCTTGCCTTCCATGGCCGCCAACTGTAGAGCGGTGTACCCGTCTTTGGTTGGGATATCAATAAAGGACACAAATTTGATTATTGCCAAAATTGTTGTTTCGTCTCCTAAATCGGGTTACGGCACAAGGATAAATCAATACACTGGGACATTTGGAAATTTTAGCACTGCGAGGATAATTATACATGGCTACTAGTTATATATATATTAAAGTACTAATCGCTACAGCCGGCGCAGCACTAGGACGGCACTTTTATGCAGATCGCAGTGTTGAAATATACAATTCCCATCATTTCTAACCGGTGAGAACAGCCACGTGTAATGGCAGACGTCCTGCTTTGTCCGGAATGTTGAAGGACAATCCGTTTGACTTCAAGACTTTCAAAACTTCCACATAGCCTTTCGCCGCAGCGAGATGCGCCATTGTCTGGCCACTCTGCAACCAGAGAAGATAATTCTATCCAAATCAGGAAGATAAAATCCGCCAATAAAGGTCAACTTTCGGCATTTCGAACGTACATTATACAATTAAAGATAAACGTACCTCGGTTCTTTCGTTAAGGCTTACTTCCAAAAACATTGCCAGATACTGCTGTAAAAATTCTGCTTGTCCATTTAAAACTGCGGCTTGTAACGGTGAACATCCATTCTGAGCAAAACAAACTAATTTGTGAGATAAACAATCGCAATTTAAAACCGGCGTCAAAAAACGCAAACCTTAAAATCCTATATCAATGTTATTTTCTTGAGTATCTTAATTAAGTTGATTATTCTTGTGAGAGATTATGCGGAACAGCGGAAATTATTTGAGCTCGGCAATGGTAAAGCAGAAATATCAGCAAAAGCCTGCATGCATAATGCAAATAAGCATGTGCGTAATAATTATATGAAAAAACAAACAATACTCGTACAATAGAAGCACTCTACTCTAGGTATCGTACAGCACCTGCCTCATCCTTAATGTCTGTTGTAACGTGAAATCTCCTGAACGATTCCAGAAGGCTGCTGTTTCCGGTGGATGCCGCAAGATGTAACAATGTTTCGCCTTTGTTCTATGCAGCCAAAAATTAATGATTCTAAGCTTGCAGATAAACGTTACAGAATAACTACATGGTCGTAGATGTTGCCGATAAAGTGTTACAACAGTGCTCACATTCTGCAGATTTAAAGGAGTTCCCGATTCAATTAGCACCTTGACCATTCCGGTTTCTTGATTCCGGACAAAGAGATGTGCTAAAGTATCGCCGTCTAATTGCTAAAAAACGTATTTACCGAAAAATGTAAGACATAGCGGCAGAAATTTCGCTTGTGTAGTCATTACCATGTTCTGGTAGGATAGTTGCTCGTCGGCCTTTTCCGAAAGGAGCAGTCTTAACAAACTCGTGTTCTTCTTCCCTGCCGCTAACCAGAAAGGAATGTATCCTTCCTGAGCAAAGTTATGTAATGGTTCAATTAGCTACAATTGGCGGCTGAGAATATAGAAAGATACGATCATAAGAATTCATAATACCTTGTCACATATAAGGCGAGCGTTCTCGCCGGAAACTGGAAACAGGAGATTGATCAATGCGGTAGCCGCATCCGAGCCGCGCATGCATGCTATGTGTAGCGCCAAACGACCATCCTATGCACGGCCGTAAAATCACTTTAATAGCGGTAAAATTCGTACAAAACTGAGATGTCTACAGTATAATATGTTCGCTTTGCTTCCGAAACAGTTCATGTGCCGTTGTTGCATGTCATGTTTGCAATATAATCAGATTACAAACAGCATGTACAATTTAAAAAATGCTACAAAGAAAATTACCTTGTCTACAATTGTTCCATCTGCTCCGTGCGATATTAGAAATGTCATCATGTCTGTGGACTGAGAATCCATGCCACATTCTGCGCATGCGTGCAATACAGATTTTCCGTGCTGCAGTTCATACAAATTTCTTAAATTAATTAATCTCGCTAATGTTGAACTCCCAAGCAGCAGGTTTACGCAGGACTTATTGCTTGAGGGTTAAATGTAGAGGCCGATATTATGGAGAAGGTGTGATTTCGCTAAGCACAAATCTTACCTGGTCGACGGCATTTACATCTACACCGATTTCCAGAAGAGTTGCTACTAAATCAAGTTGTCCGTGCAGAGCACAAATATTTAGCAAAGGTGACTGTTTATCCTACAGAATAAAAATGTCTACAGAAAATTACTTAAAAGTTTGCAAGGTTATTCTTACCCCGAGGACAACATTTGCTGCATACTCCTTTGCGCGTTCCGCTTTTGCCGGGTTTAACTGCCAGATCTGGATAATTTCCAGATATTTTCGTAGCAGATGCCACTGCTTAGAAATAGCCGCTTCTCGTAAACGTTCTGAGATACCAGATGGTAGATCCAGCAGGTTGTCGGCAGAGATTGCAGTTAGTAACGATCCATGACCATCCTGATTGCTGCTATTGTTTGCATCCAATCTGATGGCGGTAAGTTCCGCCACGTCGGTATTATGCACTTGTTTTATTCGAACATCCCGCACGGAATTGTCCTTTTCGGATGGCGAAAGACTGATATTTGGAGCCTCCAGGGAATCCATGGTTTTTCTTTCGATAATGTTCCCCAACACAAACAATGCAGTAAATACTTAGCGGTTAGCTGCAATAAATTATGTCGTTTATGGCGTCAGTCATATAATTATACGAGTTCTTCTATACGACTTACGTACGTGTTATGCCATTGAAACTATGAGTATTATTTGTCACCAGTTGTCGGTATCACTGCGTTTTGCAGGAAATATTCAGATTATTTGACCTAAACTGACAGCTCTTTTTATACAAAAAATCATGGCGCTTAGCTATATTAAACCGTCTTACGCACGATTTGCAATGTGAACCAAATTTTATAAGAAGAAATGTCAAGGAAACTTGACTCTTTTATTTATTCGCGCACGTCGATTGTCTACTCTAGGCCATCGATTTTTTGGTTGCAATCCATCAAGATGCTCCTTATTGTTAGTATTTTAGCCGTTCAGTATTGCCTAAATTTAAAGGGGCACAACAAAACCGTAGTGTGTACTCTGAACGAACTGGGATTTTACCGTCTTCAACCGAAGGAGAGAGCAATGCACTGCATATTCTTCAAATTCCTTCTTTCCTCTTTATACTGTTTTTACTCACAATAATGTGTACCTCGTACTCAATAAATACCTGCACACGTATGTGGGAATCAGTGGGATGGAGCCGGTGTTTTGATTCGAACTTCGTTTCTCTCTCCATCAATTTGACAACATACCGAACGCAACAGTCATACTAAAACAGGGTTTTAGGTATCTGTCCAGTTGGTGGTTAAATTAGAAATTTTGTCATATCACACACATACTGCAATCCACAAAGAGACCAGGGAAGGGCGAGAATATAGGTATACTGTACAGCTTTTCTAATTAAGAGTGTTAATTAAATAATCAGCTATTCTTCGTCAACGTGCTGGAATTCATCCACATCCGATAATCCAAAGTCTTCTCCTTTCTTCTCATACGCGTCCATGGTTTCTGACCATGGTACTACGTCGGTTAGCTTTTGTCGCACAAAGGGATCTGCACGCGGCTTTGCAATTTCAGACAAACCTGTGAAATATGTAATAACCATTTAAGCATATTTATATTTGGTACAAACGAATTATGTACGCAGAAAACATAATTATTACAGCGTCTGGGCACATCAGTTCTAATTATTACAGTGGTAAGAACTAAGAGATTGTGTTGCGACTATAATAAAAAAAAGTAAGCTGTCTTTTGTAATGAAACTTACGGCCGAACCCTTTTTGGAGGTATGATAATCCCAACGCAAGGATATTAATGGGTGGTGGACTAAGTGGGCTGTGTTCCATGCTTAATATAATTTTAGCCCTCATATATTTCCATTCAAGATCGGACCGTGAGTTAATTCGCTCATAAGTGTTGGTCAGCATTGCTGTCAGGACATGTGTTAAAACTGGACATAAAAAAGGAAAAATTGATTGGTTAGAATAAATACTTTAACTGACACAGTGGCTGGTCGGCCCACTTCAACGTTCCGTTATCAAACACCTTACCAATAATCACCGCTGAAAAGACAAAGATGTTAAAGTTAAATCCGTTTGACTTGTTGCCCACAAAATTAGCTTTACCGGTTAAATATGCTCCGTTGACGACCCATGTTAGATAGTCAGCGAACGCTGGACTTCTGGTCGGTTTTGGGTACCACTTTTCCGGCTCAGCGTGGTCAAAACGGTTAATCAAGAGAAAGAAGTTTAGGCCCATGAAGTACAGGGATCCCAGGGGATCCAGCACCATATCCGGCATCAGTAGGTTGTTGATGTTTTCACCCGGAACCAGCTTGCTTTCTTCATGACTGGCTTCTGCTTCCCGTTTTTCTATATGGTGAAATGATACTCCCGGTTCTTCTGACAAAGACTCGGCGTGACCTTCTCCGGATCCGTGTTCACCAGCCGGTGCCGGAATTACCGATTCATACAATGCGGAAAAGCTGAAGGTGAAGCCGACAATGAACAAGGATAATAAAACTAAAAATCGTGCTGCATCCATCATCAAATCTCCCAACATAACACCGAATGGGCCGAAAAGTTGATGGAATGATAAATATCTGTAAATATACGTGCACCATGGTGTAATGATGGATGGAATTGGACGCATCAATTTACTGTATGGCCATAAATTCATGCGTTACTGACACTAGACCGTCATTTTACATGTGTTACATGGTATACATAGTTCATAAATTAAAAACCCCCGATGAGCATTTTGCGTTGACTCTTAAATAATTATTAAGCTAGAATGTTTGGGAATTTAGTTTTGCACGCTACCATCTCGTTATATCGGAGTTTTTGTTAAACTATGCCAACGGAAAATTAAAGCGCACCCTGGCGCCAGGTGTTAATTTTGTGCTTATGATTAGTATACTTACGATAACAGGCGGATGTCGGCGAAGAAGCAAGCAGTGGCTAGTAATTGTGACCTTACATATAGCAGGGTCACATGTCGTCCATCAACTACAAATATCGCTGCGACATGGATAATGATGGCCAGCAACGAGAAAACCAGGATGAGGACTTTACTGGTTTCCAAACCTCGCCCACTATGATGCGTTACAATATCCGCTACAAAATTTCCAAACAGCCACAACAACAGCAGCCACTCTTCCGGCAGTGGCATCAGGTCATTTCTTTCATACAGCGGCTGAAAGGGTGTCATAAAGACCAGTACGAAGAGTATGATAAAGTAAAGGTCACTGGTAATATGTAAGACCAGCTTTAGAAAAGGAGTTTTGCTAAATGGAAACTTGCAGGGAATGGAGAAAATTAGCCAGAGGGGCGGAAAACAGAGAAACATTAAAAATATCAATACAATCTGCCATTTCTGCAGCGGCGTTCCGCCGTACCATAAACGACCCAAATGGGCCTGAACGGCCGGAAGCGCCACCACTTTCTTATGGCCAAAATTCACTATAAGCTCCAGCAATGTCGCACTGTGACGATCAACAGCACTTAACAGATCACTGTTATCGAATCGCAAGCAAGCAAAGGAAAGAAATTTCCCGGCGGTTTGTTCACAGAAATCGGACGCTTGGTAAAGGTCAACAGCATTCAGTTTGTCCCGCACAGATTGGTCTCGGAAAAAGTTGGCTAATTTGAGAGCGAATTCTACGGGACAAAGGGAATATCTCATAAAATCATACAGTGGCTTTCCACCGGGCTGTGGTTTGGCACATAGCATGAGATCCGTCAAAAATACATTATCGTCCAAAAGATGATAGCTGTCGTATTTCTGTTTCAGTAGTTGATAAACAATATCCAGCCTTTCCTTAGGATCGTAGTTGACACTGCCATGAACTTGAGAATGCACCGCATAACACAAGGGAATTTTCTTATCTTTGGAGAATGCTGACACGTTTGCACCTTGAGCACATAGCAGGTTGACTATATTGCCCTTTCCGGCAACCGCAGCACAATGCAGAGCCGTCCATCCATCCTGCAGAACGTACTCGTATGCAAGAGTATCGTACTTTACAATACTCTTGGATGGATCATGATTAACTACATAATTATGGTCTGATAATACTTAAACTTGATCTTGCAAATCAAATCAGAAAAGTATAAAAATCTTTATTGTAAATCAAAAAAATTCCAATAGATTTTCCACTAACAAATGTGTAAGGGCTAGTTAAGATTTTCCACTAACAGATTTTCCACTAACATGGCTACGGCTAAGATTTTCCACTAACAAATGTGTAAGGGCTAGTTGAAAAACATAATAATGAAAACTTTTGGAAAAATTATTCAAATCGTTGTGAAAGCACAGAACAATTCAGTTTTTCTTTACTTCAGGGCTCTAAAACACTGCATATACATTCAGTTTTGATCCAATGGCAAACGGTTCACCTTAATAAAACTGAAACTAATCACTGAAGCAGTAGCCGTTTTGCTTACATCATTACTAACGTCCAGATGTGCGCCTTGTGATATCAGTAAGGTCGCCATCTCCAGTCGTCCGTTCAAGCTGGCCAGCATCAGTGGCGTTTGACCTTTTTTGTCCTTAACATCCAAATCGATCCCCGATCGGGTAAGCAAAAGAACCACAACGTTTACGTGCCCATTAATGGCTGCCATATGTAAAGGACAATATCCAGACCCTTCAGCTACCGCATCAATTTCCGCGCCGGGATAGTTTAACAGCATTCGTACCACCTCGTCTTGTCCGGCTCGGCATGCCAGATGCAGAGCGGTCAAGCCGGCTTCGGCTCCGGTTTCGGTGCCAATGGTTGTCTTGGAAGCGGGGACGGATGAACGAGTTCCCGCTGGTACAACCGGAAGGAGTTCGCTCATGATGTTCGTTTGACCCCAGTATGCCGCTAGATGTAGAGCATTATATCCATTCTAAAAAACGAAGATCGTTGTATAATCGTATCGATTAATCATTTGCGGGAACTGGTGTACTTTAGCCGTACTTGAGCTCAATTTTCTATAGAATAATATATATGGTCTTTGACCCAAATTTAAACTTGTAAAACGAACATGTCGTACGGACCTTGATACTGGTGGCCTGTGGTGAGAATGCTTGGTAAAGTATCGCCATTGCATCCAGATGTCCGTTTTTGGCCGCTAAACTGAATGCATTCAATCCATCCTACCGAAACGCACAACAGAAATTCACATTACGTTTTAAAATTTATGCATTACGTATTGATGCGTGACTTATTAATACTTATAAAACGAAAAGAGTAAAGCACATATAGTTTACTCGTGCTTTTATAAATTTTCGCTATGTTATTTTGCTAGTGTATCAATTTAATTTAAGTTTCAAATTTGCTGTAAAAAACTAGAAAAATTTCAGGCATTTTCAAATCTTTTGATAAATATTATATTTATAGTCGTATCATGAGCACAAACGTTCTTTCTCAGCCAATGCAGCCCGACAATGCGTATCTGCACCGGATTTTTATTCCTACCGTATTTTCGCTTGTATCGGTGATGCCGTGGTCCATTAGCAGTTGCAGAAGTTCTGTGTGACCACCGGTAGCAGATAGCTGAAAAACGGTATTTCCATCCGCATCCAGAGAATTTATTACGGCATTCTTATCAAATGACAGCAGTTCTTCGATCACGGCTGTGCATCCATTTTTTGCAGCAATTATCGCAGCAGTTTGACCTCTCTAAAAATTCTCACGTATAATGCGCACAAATCTCAAAGGAGTCTAAAAAAGGAAACTGACTGCATCTCGCAACGATAAAGGATCTCGGTCGGCCAGTTTGCTTAAAAACAGTTTGATGATTCCCGGCTTATTATACTCCGCCGCCAAATGCAAGGATGTGCTACCTCTCTTTGCGCAAACAACCAATTAAATTATTATGCATTACAAAAAGAGAAATAAAGCGAACTTACATTATCCATCGCCAAAGGGTCCGCATTGAGGGAGAGCAGACATTCGCAGACATTCACAGTTCCATACTGAACAGCGAAGTGTAGCGGATGTTTCATGTCCTGTACAATTATTTCGTGGGAAAATTAGACGCACTTTACAGTATCCATAATTCTATGCTAAACTAAAATAATTATTCGTATCATTCCGGAACGCGCCTTAACGCACTCTGCTAAGACAGTCTTATAACGCGCCTTAACAAATAGTACGTGTTTGAAAACGGGAATGATTAGTATCGTATGGAATTAACAATTTTAATGAATAGTGCACCTATGACTTACATTGGTGTTTGCGTCAACGGAAGCCGCATACTTTTCGACCAAAAGCCGGACGATATCTTCGTAACCTTTCATCGATGCCAGATGTAAAGGTGTAGCTCCAGTTCTAGTGCGGGCATTTATGAATGCCTTTTTTCTTGCTAATACATCAACCACCTCCAAGTGGCCGTTTTCAACAGCAATGTGCAAAGCAGTCCTTCCCGTCTACGACCGGTTCAGTCTTATATTGTTAAAAATTGGCTATCCCATTTAAGGTGACAATTTGTTAACCTCGTCAAAAATGTCTGTCCTTGCATGATTTCGTAATAGGGTTTTGACAATGGCCGCGTCTCCACGCTCGGATGCAGTCAGGAGCGGCGACCACCCATTCTTTGTTTGTCGGTTAATAGCCGCCTGAACAGCATCGGGATCAAGATTGGCTAGGAGAACCGCCAGCATCTGGGAATTCCCATTTCTAGCACAGTAATGCAGCGGGGTCTCGAACGTCTATTCAATATTCGAACGTCTATACGGCGCTATAGTGTATCTGTATGTATCTGTTTTTATGATACCGTTTTTGAGCACATACCAGCCTGGTCTGATTTGTAACGTTTGCATGGTGGTCTAAAATTAAATGCAGCAACTTAATGTGTTCTTCCGGAAAATGGGTCATTTCAGGGTTTGTTTCTGCAACGAAGTGCATTACGGTTTCCCCTTCCTGCAAATTGTTACATAATAAAGCTCAACAAGTTACGAAGTAGGGACTTTGCCCCTGTGCGCCCTTGTGAACGTTTTATAAAAATAATAAAAAAATTAACAAAACAAATATTATATACCCAGTATGATAGTATAAGTAACGTCACAAAGCAGATGCTTCTCTACTAATACTTGTATTTATGCATTATACAGTACGAGTACTATATCGTAATACTACAGTGGACACCGCAAATGTGGTTACACCGATAGCTGTATGCATGCATAGCGCTATCGGTTATCGGTGTAATACCACATTTATGGTGTCCCATTGTACCTTGTATTCTGCTCTACCTTGTTTGCCGCGGCAACAACAGCGTTGGCCTCATACTTTCCAAAATGTTCAGTTAGGTGCTCGATCAATATTTTTGCCACTTCATAATGACACGATCGGCATGCCAGGAGGAATGGTGTTTCTCCATTAAAGTTTTTTGCCACAGAATCGGCCTTTTCTTGCAGAAGTATTCTGACCATTTCCTTGCCTCCCGCCCGTGCAGCGAGATGTAGTGGAGTATCTTGGTTATCCAGTTTTGCGTTAACATTGGCACCCGATTTAATTAGACTGACAGCCGCCAGGACGCCATTTGGCAGTTTTGCCGCAACGTGCAGCGGCGTTTCGCCCTGTGTACCGCCTATAATAAACCTCAAGTTATAAGAACATAAGCTCGTTGTTCCTTTCGCCTCAAAACCTTTCGTATGCGGAGATGCTCCAGCTCCCAGGAGTACCTCCACCACGTTGACCTTTCCAAACTCCACGGCTAAATGTAAAGCCGTGTAGTTTTTTCTGGTCTTTGCATCAACGAACGCATTTCGGGTGGATAAAATGGACTGAATGACCGAAGCATGTCCTGGCAAGTAAAATGTGGTCGCAGGTAAATACAATTGCACGATCATGCAGGTAGCGAAAATAAAAATATCGAGCTTTTGACTTCCGGAAATATCATTATAAAAGTCTAACTTACCGGGTGAAACGGGACGATTGCATTTGTTTACCTGCTCGTGCGGCAGCGTGGAGCGCTAATGCGCCGGACTTATTAGGCATATGCGGATACACGCCACGCTTTAGCAGCGTCACCATCGTTTCTGCGTGACCGTACAAAGCCGCAATGTGCGCCAAAGTACTTCCGTCCTGACAAAATCACTTAGGGATAGTTGTATTTTGGATAAAACCCCAATGCAGTTTCATGCGCACTTACTTCTGTCCGGACATGGATTGATTCGGGATAATGCGTTATAAGTTGGTCGATAACAGTGCTGGATCCCCGTTCGACCGCCAGTTGTAGAGGAGTGCGATCATACTACAAAGTACAAAGTACAATTCTAATCCAAACAGTACGCGTCACGAATTCCTTAATAGCGATATGATATTATGTCGTTGCTGGTGTTCCTTAATTATTTTTTATAACTCTATATCAATCCTTCCTGCTGAGAACCACAAAAGTACTTCCAGTATTTCACATTTATTGATCAGGCGGACAATGATCACTAACTTTATCTCGCAAATTAGCATTTGCATGGAATTCGTGGAGATGTGTTATGGCTTGAACATTATTCATAATAACGGCCACATGAAGCAATGTTTGATTCAAGATCTATAAAATAGATTCAAAACCTTATATGAATGACTATAGTCGATAGAGCTATTCTTTTAATATGAGGACAGCGTTATTGGTCATCTTACATTCATTTCATTGACAGGCGCTCCCGCTTCGAGAAGGATGCGGAATATGTCTGTCTGGCCCAGTCGAAGTGCAAAATGTAAAACCGTATCCCCATCCATTTTCTACAAAATTAAAGCTAATTATTATTGTTATCACATCCCGGCGGTTCAGCAGCAGCAAATAAAGTGACTAAACGCACAGCATTATGATATGTTAGTTGCGCTGTAGTATTACTGGACAGCAATTCCTTCACTGCCCGGGCACTTGATCTTTCCACCGATCTAAATAATGGGATGTATCCCTCCTACAACAAACTGGTGAATGCCTTATATATTTTGACCAAATCTGACAAAAAAGTAATAATCTTGTTTTGCTTTGTGCATACAAAAAATCATACATTATCCACAGTTTCCAGAGATTCTTCCCCGGAGACCATTTTTAAAAACCGTATGATAGGAAACGCAGCTGTTAACCGTGAACAAGCAATGTGAAGAGGAAGCTGATCCAGTTTCTATATAAGACACCGATAGTGGCAAGGGCAGAATTTTGAAATGTCCATGCCGAAGCGACTCACTCCGCCTTTTGTCACAGCATCCCCTCCGATTAAAACAATTTGCTCCACAGTATCTTCTTTTTGTGTCGCAGCCGCATAATGGATGGCGGTTGAGTTATTCTAGCAAAGAACGTCCTTCCTTAATGATGTGACATTATGTTTGGCATGTTGGAAGATACCGACAGATTTGTACTGTACCATATCCTTCATGTTGATATCGGCTCCCAACTGGACTAGTTGTTCTATGAGATGTATTTTGCCCTTGTACATACACGCTGTAATGGGGGTCATGCCAGTTTTCTGCAATTAAACAAAGGACCTGTATGGTCTCTATAGGCACGGTGTGACCATCAGCTTTAATTTCAAGTTTACCGTGCTATATGAATTGAGCTCGGTCACCAAGTCAATGGATTCCCGCGTGACAGCAGAAATGGTTGACTTGTCAGTCCATATCCGCTCAATCCGGCGCAGGAAACTTTCAGCCTGGATCCATTTTTCTTCCTCGCACAACCGCAGGTAGTATGCACCGAGATGCTGTGGTATTTTGTTGGAATCACTGCCGTCAAGATCATTGTCTGCATTAGTAGACGACATCTTGAATCATTAAGCTCAGTGAAAAACGTTCTAGCAGTTACTTATACATCCAGCTGCAAGAAACTGTAATTCAACGGTAACACATTAATGCGAAAGGAAATCACAAGGAACAGGAAAGTTTCTGTTTTGACTTCGGAGGTTTGGACGCTTCGACGTTTCCAGAGCTTCTTGCAAGGATACTGGTGCCTTTTACGTAGCGCTACATACAATACTGTAGCTCGCCTGGCGCAAGATGAAATACGAGAACTAGTCACACACCGGCGTACTGCTTTTGATAAGAGCATAAGCGAAATGCGCGCTCATCACTGAATTGCACTGTACCAAGTTTGTAGTACCAGGTACGTGGCGCGATCGATGATGTTTCCCAAACATACGGAAGATTTTATGAGGGACAAAAATTATTTACAGACAACCAATGATTTTTATTATAAACCACTGCTCGACAAATGACTTAACTGTTGTTGCGCTTCCAAACAAATCAGATAAAAAATCTGATACTGATAAATACTATTCAACATCGACAGTCGACGGTTAATTAATGGCTTAAATATTGGGAATTGCTTATTGTGCCACTTGCGCAGTCAAGAAACAAGATGCTTTTTTATCCTATTGCCATAAAACAATGTAACCAAAATTACGATGAACGAAAACATCCATACGGAAGTCAGCCACATTGTATTGTATGATAATTTGTAACAGGCCTGTCAAGCAAAATTGAAGAAGGAACAATGCAAGCAGTAAATTTGGAGGAAGTGTCGGCTTTTAGCTGTCAATTTCGTTTTCGATCTCTTCGTCCAGGTCTTCGTCGTCAAGGAGGTCACTTGTGACATATCCGGCAACAACTGCTTTCCAGTCGCAGCATTCAGGAAGCTTCCGAATCGGCATATTTCGGAAAAGTTGTTGCTCGCCTTTAGATTCAGAATTAAGAAAAACAGTGCATTAACAGACATAAGACAGAATAAGAAAGCAGGTGTGCGTACCTTCGTCGCTTTCGTGGGTGCTTTTACTCCATGTCCTCACTGCTTCCGCATGACTGGTTGTTGATCCCATGGACACTCTTTCGTGCAGCCCATCCAGCTTTTCCATATTGTGTCTCGAATCTAGGATAGCAAAATTTGAACAATAGTAATCCTTTGATTTATAACTGAAATTACCGTAAGATTGTTTTTATTCTTAGGTTTTCATTGAGCGCGTATGCCGATACCTTGAAAATGCGCGTAAAGTTTTGCAGTTATTATGGTCAAGGTATTTAGTGGTGGCGGCGTAATCGCCGATTTATCCATATTCATGACCAGTTTTGCTCGTCCATATTTCCATTCAAGATCCGACCGGGCCTGGATTCTTTGATACGTATCGGACAACATAGCGATTAGCAGATTAATCAAAACTAAAAACAATAAACATGTTAATCCCATGCGACCTTAACGATGTCGAAAAATAACGGAAGGCCGCTGCAGTGTTCCAAGGCCACAGAACTGACTTACCAACCATTGTCACTGCAACGAAAAGACTGCATTACATAAAATTCCTGTCAATGTAAAACTGTTACGGGTTACCCATCAAATAAACTCCGTAAACAATTTGCGTCAACGCTTCAGCGAATGCCGGACCAAACGGCGGCGCGTCAATATCTGTGGGATTGACCAGTCCAAACATGGCAAAGTACAGTTTTTTAAAGCTTTCCAGTGGATCCAGTGCCATATCCATAACAACCCACTTTTCATGGTGAAATCCTTCGGGTGGCCTTAGGACATCTTCGTACAGGGAGGATAGCAAGAACGTAAAACCAGTCAGAAATAAAACAAGAATGACGAGAAAACGTAGTAAATCGATAACCACATCGCGAATAATGATAGCGAACGGTCCAAACATGTAATGGAAGGAAAGAAAGCTGCAAAGGGCAAAAATATCATTTGCTGATATGAGCATGACGCTTACACTGTAGAACGGAATGTTATTTTATTGAATAATTATAATAGATTAACATGTTTACCTGACAATTTGGATGCACGCGAAGAAACTGGATAACGCAAAAATTTGGTTTCTGACGTATAAAACCTCGGTTTCCACCGGTGGGTCGAAGGCGAATGCAATAAAGTGCAGAATAAAAGCCACAACACAAAAGACAATAATAAGCACTCGAATCCATCCGAGCCCGCTTCTTTCCTCAGCTGTTGTCAGTTCGCCAGAAAATTTACCAATAACCCAGATAATCAGAATAATTTCTTCCGGTTTTGGTGTCGCGTCATGGCGCTCGTATAATTGTTCAAAAGGTGACATAAACACCAGAATCAGAACCAGAATGAAGAATAAATGGCTGACGATGTGACAGATCAATTTGATAAAAGGAATATAATTATATTTGTGTTCCAGAGGTAGGCAAAAAATTAACCAGACCGGTGGACACAGTAAGAAGACCATAAAGATGAGGAAGCTCTTCGTGCCGGACCAAGCTTGGTTGCCATGCCACACCTGGGTTAAATATCGCTGGACGGCGGGCAGTGCAACAACATCTTTGTGTTCTCCCTATAAAGGTCACGACGACTACATTCTGTGTAAATATATGTTGGAAAACACTTTACAGAAACGATAACACCTGGGACCATAATGGCATGTATACTTGTATGGCATGGATTATTTCATTATTCACAGCAATACATAAAGTCAAAGGTGGATATGGCTGAAGCCCGAATTTACAAGGCTTGTCTTTTTACTTAATGACTTACTTCGATCAGTATGTCCATTAAGGATTTGTCGTGATGGTCAACCGCGCGCAGGATTCCAGCCGGACTAAACTTGTTGCAAGCCAGAACCAGCAAATCGTTTCCAAGTTGCTCGCAGAATTTGTTGGCCAAGTTAAGGTCACGTTCCCTTTCTTTCTCCCGCCCTGAAACTTCCGAGTAGAACCTTGCCAACTTTAGCGCGACTTCAACAGGCGATGGCGATGTGATGATAAATTCCTGAAGCGGCTTATTTTGGGCGGTCTTACTGCACAACATCAGATCGAGCAGAAACACCTTGTCGTCCATCAGCGAAAAAACATCATGAGGTTTCGTTAAGAGGTACAGTACAACAGCAGTTTTCGAGGCATTGGCACAGAGACACAAAGGAATTTTGCCATCGCGGTTTTTTGCCACTGTCGAAGCGTTGCTGTCAACTAAGACTTTGACAACCTTTAAGTGACCTGCTACCGCTGCATGATGTAACGGAGTCCAACCATTCTATAAATTTAAATGTTGCATTGCACAAATTCTGCAAAGTACAGTCGTATATGTATTAGTTGAATATCGAAATTCGTTCTTAAAACCTCAGTGCGCAAGGCTTGTTTTAGCAACTGAGCTAAGTTAAATTGACGGAACCGGTTAAGGCAATAATTATAAATAAATGCACCGTTATTATTTCATGATACATGTCGCTGTGGTCAAATTTATTGTACCAGCTCACATTATCTTCAGCAGACAAATCCGCACCCTGACCAATGAGCAGCGTGACCATTTCCGTGTGACCATGGAAGCAGGCCGACATAAGTGCAGTCCGCCCTTTAGCGTCACGCTTGTCAATCTGGGTTCCCAGTTTGCTTAGTAGCAAATTGACAATGGACAAATGCCCGTTGATGGCTGCTTTTTGCAAAGGTGTCGTCCCCGACACATCGCTGGAGGCATCGGTGTTGACACCAGGATAATTAAGAAGCACCCTGACCATTTCTTCTTGACCGGAATGGCATGCCAAATGAAGTGCTGTTAGTCCGGGTTCGGCACTGATGTGCTTGACCATGGCGTTGTTGACCGTTGGTTGCTCGGTTACAGTGGTGACCGGAACAGTGGTCAGTAGTTCCCGCACAAAATCTACTTGCCCGGTAAACGCTGCTAAATGCAGCGCGGTGAGTCCCGTCTGAAAAATGCATAATGAACTGACTTCGAATTCAGTAACAAATAATTAATAAAGGGGATTAGTTGACTTACTTTAATGCTGCACACATTCAAAGAAACAGAATCTTTAAGGCACTCCAGGACCTTTACATGGCCATATCGAGCAGCAAGATGTAAAGGTGTAAGACCCTCCTGCAAATATATGACACACACATTGCAGTTAGAAAGGATGTGAAGCATTGCCTAAAATACTTAATCGAAGATTGCCGGTACACTGTACACCGTACCTTATTTTCTTCAGTAGCTGGGGCACCTGACTGGATTAACAGTTTGACAATTTCGTCATGTCCACCGGCTGCTGCCAAGTGTACGGCTGAGGCTTCGGTTGACTGTTCCATAAAATTGTGTTAAACAGCAATAGGCGCAATTATTAAGAAATTTCAAACCTTGATTTTTGATTTTATGACCAGGTCTTTGTTATGATTTAGCAGCAGCTGAATGACTTCCAGGCATCCATGTTTAGCGGCGGTGTGCGCAACGTTCAGTCCTTTCTGAAATACACGACTTACAAAAATTAATAAACAAACTGTTCATTATTAACAGACTGTTCATTATAAAACCAAAAAATTTAAATGTAGGTTTTTCCTTGTCAACCGAAGAAAAAGCTACTTGCTTGCAGGATATTGAGATGGATACCGATACCAACTAAGTAGTCCGTACCTGATCTATTATGGTCGCTGGATCGAGTTCACCTTTGTGCTGTATGAAGAGCTGTACAATTTGGGCGTGGTTATGGGCTGCTGCGAGATGCATCGGAGTCTGTCCTTTCTAAAAAGAACACCGTATAAGTGATTATGTATCAAATGATTAGACGATGTGCTTCAGTATATACTTACTTGATCTTTCGCCCAAGCGTCGGCTCCCAACCTTATCAGCCGCTCACAGATACCCCATTGTCCTGCTTGTGCTGCCAAATGTAGTGGTGTCTTTTTCGACTGCAACAACGCACACACGTAGTTTTTCGTTTGTTGCGTCATGCAGAGTTAGATTTATATATATCCAGCATTGTGACCCCACCAGTGATAAGACATCTGTATTGGCTTGATACTTTTCCACCAGTAGTTCGACAATATCCGCCGCCCCTCTTTCGGCGGCCAAATGAGCCGGTGTGACACCATCTTTGTTTTTGGCGTTAACGAAGGCTTTATGCTGCAGAAGCAGGTCCACAACATCCAGATGGTCCTTCTCGGCTGCCAAATGCAAAGCGGCTCTACCTTCCTGTGAACAAAGGCAGCATGGAAATAAAAGAGACTCGATTGCTATCAATTTAGAGAACTGCACTGACCTCATCGAAAACATCAACGCGTGCGTTGTTTCGTAGTAAAATATCAACAATGTCCGCATGACCTTCATCACACGCCGTCAGCAATGGAGACCATCCGTTCTATAAACAGTTATTAAGCAAACTGTACCAGATCGTCAAAAACCTAAAAATACTTTTTGTCCATACGAATGATACCTTCGCAAGTTTGTTAAGTCCCAACACCAGTCGCTCAGGTCCTAGAAACCTAATTATTGTGCTAAGAATTTCATAACACCCATAGCGTGCACAGTAATGCAGAGGAGTTTCCAATGTCTAAAAATTTACGATCCATTGTATTGATAATTTATGGTACTGTGTTTATGTGAAATGTATGTGTGTACATGTACCTCTTTCGTTTGTAAGTTTGTATTTCCGTTGTAGTCCAAAAGCAGTTGTGCCAGCATGGAATCTTCACCTGAAAAGTGCACCATGTCGGATGTCACCTGTGCCACCAAGTGCACTGCTGATTCTCCTTCCTGTATTTAAAGAAATCATGTACTTCGATTCCAGACTATTTCAACTTTGGTACTAGAAAATCGTACCAAGTTCTGAGTGTTTACAGCATTTGATGCGGCATTCTGTGATTCATGTCGGCTGATGTGATCCAGTATTTCTCGTGCCACATCATACTGGCAATTGCGAACTGCCAGATGGAGGGCCGTTTCCCCTTCGTTGTTGACAGCGGATACGTCGACGTTTTCAGACAAAACAATTTTCAGCACCTTTAACGACCCATGTTTGGCGGCTATGTGCAGGGCAGTTTCGCCACTCGTGGTTTTCAGGTTTGGATTGGCTCCGGATTTAATCAGCGTTTCGGCCATTATATGCCCATTAGGATTCCTCGCCGCAATGTGCAGCGCAGTCTCTGATTCTTTTCCTCCTGAAACAAAATTCGTTCACGTTATTGTAAGTTATTACGTTATTGTTACAGTTACTGTTACGTTATTGTTCACGTTATTGTTACGTTCGTTATTGTTAATTAAAAATCTTGAGAAAAGATGGTGTCGATATGCTGCGCACTAATTATAATGCTTCCCTTGTTTTCGGTACAGTACTTCCTTAACTGCAAGGCACATTTTTGACTTATTCACATGCCGTAATACCCGATCAGCCACATGCATACCCAAATGCCTCTGGCTGATGACGTGTGCCGGAAGAGTTATTCAGGAAATTCAGCACAGTAATACTAGTACCTGTAATATTGACGGCAGCGCCTGACCCGATCAGCACATCCACCATGAGAGAATGTCCGTTTTCCACCGCAATATGTAATGCGGTGTAATTTTCCTTCGTTCGTGCATCCACAGGAGTTCCATTTGCCAACAACTCGGATGCAACGTTCGCGTGACCTTTGGGTATTTTGCAGCAGTTAGTTGTTTGCACGTGCTTAATAGCCCAGAAGTCTGCTCACCGTATTGAGCAGCAATGTGTAGTGCCAGCTGTCCGGATTTGTTCGGCATGCTTATGGGCACTCCCCGCCGGATCAGGAGCATTACTGTTGCTGCGTGTCCAGATCGTGCAGCGATATGCGCTAATGTGCTCCCGTCCTATGAAGCAAAATAAGTATGTGAACGTTGGTTTAATCTACGGTGAACCTGTCGACCGTGACCTTTGCTCTTGTTTTAAGTGATCCCCGGAAGCGTTCCACTAGTGTATCAACAACATTCGTGAGGCCTTGCTCCACAGCTAAATGCAAGGCTGACCGCCCCATCTGTCATAACCAAAAAGAACGTGTATATATATCCCACGCACGAAAGACCTTTTTCTATTTTCTAGCGCTTCTATTTTCTAGCGGAAGAAAGTCACGTGAGACACAAGCATGTACTTACCACATCAATTAAATCCGGATTAGCTTTTTTTGTCGTGCAGCATACTCACAGCATCCCCGTTCTTAACCATCGTGGCAACATGCAGCAATGTCTCACCTTCACTCTGCATGCGTAAGTACCCGCATAGTAACATTCAGGTTGTAAAAAACATTAATTGTGCACAATTAAAATGACTTTCAACCTTAAAGTTAGATGAATAATTTATATTGGTTACAACTGAATCTCGGTTAATTAATCTCGGGCATATAAAGGTGTGGAGCTGAACTTACGTTTTGTATGTCAACGGGAGTATCAAATTCCAGTAAGATCTTAAGAACTTCGTTGTCATGTCTGCGGATAACAAAATGCGCCAGGGTGTCGTCATTCATTTGCTGCAATTTAAAATTAAAATGTGGCAAAGTTGTAATTTAAAGGCTGCTAACCATAAGCAGACACTGGACGAGGTATATTCAAAACTCTGGATATTAAAATTACGTAGAATGCTAGTTCTGGTATCATCGTCTGCGCTCATGTATGCATATGAATCAATATTCACTACTTAAGCATCAACCATATATAACGAATCTGTGTAACTACAGACTTGCTTAATTTATTGTACACCGCTGGAAGTTTTTTTAAACGTTAGTAGGTGTTAACTGACTTTATTCTGATAGGACAATTGCTGGTGGGCTTGGTCCAACAAAAGCTCTTTCAGTACATGCAGATTAGCAACATCCGCCGCCCTCCAGACCGGAAGAAATCCTTCCTGAAAAATAGTACGTCGCCGCAAAATGCAAATAATGACATTCCTGGTCGCGACACATTAAGATTCTCGGTCAATATTCCCGGATGCTTACTGCGTCAGATATCATTCTGCATTCCGGTCCTGACAGAGGAACCAAATACTGAACAAGCGGCCATGCACCAAATTTCCGCATGCAACTGCAGAAAACAAACGGGTCGTGTTTAAGCCAGCATACTGCTTCCGCTTTCGCAGTGAGGTGTATAGAAAACGCATTGGTAAAAAGTGCACTCACGCTAGATGCAGTGGAAGCTGCTTTAGATCCTGAAATGAATAAAGAGTTTAGTTGAAATTTACAAAAACTACTACGGTACCACCTCCATGTCTTGCAAAAGTGGACACAGAATAACAGAAAGTACAAGTTACCCCTCCAATAATCGTGGGATCTGCGCCGTATGTAACGAGCATCCGGACCATTTCTTCCTTTGCATCCCGTACCGCGAAATGTAAAGCAGTTTCCCCATTCTAAAAAGATTTGCTTTTAACCGGCTTGAAATAGTAGCTACACTACCTCAAGAAGCATCCGATTCACAAACGAAATTTACAAACTTGGTCATGTAATTCCCTTCAGAAGTCATTGGGTTACAGTTTCGCAATCTTTCTAAAATCTATATCCGCAGTATTAAATTTATATATTGCGTAATCTTACGTTTTTTTTAACCCAGTAAAGTCAGCCATATTTGAAAACGACCACTTGCCTCGGTGGCTGTATTGATCTCCGCTCCAAGCTTGAGAAGCTGGTCCACGAGACCAGCTCTGCTTTCTTTGGCACATAGCATTAATGCGGTGACTTTTGTGCCCTGTAACAGCAAACAGGCGCTGGTTAAAGAATTTTTCCAAAGAATAGCAAAATTTTAAACTTAACAGTTTAGCAAAGCTGTTTTAGAATAAAGCAAGTTTAATTTTAGATCTTACTGTCAAGCACTGATCTTTACATTAACACTTTCACTGGTTAACTATGTACCTCTTCCGCCGCATTAACCGCCTCCGTCACCTTCGAACGCTTTTCGACGACCCTGGCCGCTTTTTCTAACAGGCGCAGCAAACTTTCCAACGAACTCCAGCTATTAGTCTTACAAGAATCCAGGATCAAACTGCCCGTATTATCTGGTAATTCGATTCGTTCCAGCATCGGTTTCGGAGAGATTGATCTTGACCGTGAATCCTGTGGTTGACCGTCGAATATTTCCTCCACGTTGTGTGGTGGATCAGGTGACCTTTCATTTCTAATAGCCGGTACGTAATCTTGTGGTGTGGGTGAGGGTGTCGGTGCACTGGAACTCGGAAGTACATCCCGCAATCCTTTAGGTAGCAGCCTCTCGGGTGGTTTGGAGGTGGATGCGTCAGAAATTAATTGCCGCTGCTTTTTGGGTGGCACCGGTTGCATGGACTGCTGCGTGGAGATTTTTGGCAGATCCTGTTTGGGTTTGAAAAGTAGTGATGGTTGCAGGTTGCGATTGTCATCATGATCTTCGGGCACCGGTGTGGGAAGAGGTGGAGGCGGCGGAAAATCATCAGAATCCGCTTCGGGGAAACCGGTTTGGGAGGGCGGCTGGTTAGCGGATGGAGGGAGCGGTGGAAGAACACGCACGCCCAAGTATGTTTTACTTTGCATAACGCGCGAAATCATTTTTCAAGAGAGCTAGAGACGCATTTTGTAGATAAAGTGATTAAATTCCAATTTGAAAAGCCCCTTTAAATTGCACGTAAAAATGAAAAAGTTCAGTTTTATCATGAACTGCACAACTGCACGTAAAAATAAAAAGGTTCAGTTTTATACGCGAGCACGTCCCACTTCGACCTATGTGGACAACGGGAGATAAGAAACAAGATAAAAATGGTGAGTGCACACAAAATAATAAAGTAGAAACAGAGGCGCAGATTTATTTCTAATAGGGAGCACAGCAATAAGCAAATCAAGCTAAGCCAGTTTTGGCAAACAGCGTTGAATATTTCTTTATAACCATCATAATCCAGGACATTATTGTAAGGCATGCGGCCGTTTCCGGTAAACTGCTCTTTGTCTCGTTTGCGTATCCGTTTGTCTTTCGGGATTTTAAACCGATTCTCCAACATTTGTTTATTCTAAAGCTGAAATGCGTTGACGCGCCATGTTTTGCTTGTTCTCGAACGACCGGCGGTACCAGTATTGACCCGCAACGGCCTGGTACTGCTGCCGGCGGGAGCGGAAGTGGTACGCTGTTATCTCAGATGCATGTGCACATCCTGTGTATTAAATTATACGGTCATACCTGCGTATGGTTAGATTGAACGAAATTTTTCTGTTATAGTTTAGCGTGTTTTTTTTTTCTTCAAATTGGTGTATTGAGGCATTGATTTGACCAATAAAGTACCTTCACGATAAGTCGTGTTGCTCGCTGTCTTTGAGTTTTGCTATGCATATGAACAGTACCAGTAAACAATTATGTACTCTGCATCCAAGATTCTGTCTCTGCATGACTCCCTGCGTACGCGTTTTAGACTTTCAGAAGTGAAAAGGCGTGGAATTAAAGATAGGCATCTAGAGACAGAATAAGAAAAAAAGCAGCCGAAATTTGCGATTGCTTCATTGGGCTAATTCTTTCGAAAACGGCTAGAAGCAACAACATTCCACTTCCCAAGCCCGGTTACTGCGAGACGATATTCGAGCTGTGGAAAAAATCGGGTATCCAGTCGATATATAGCTACCCGGTAGTCACTCTCATTGTCAGCCACTCTAGCCTTAAATACAGGACAATGTACCTCCAAGCTATTCATGGTATTCAAGATATCCTTCATGATATACTTCTCACCGTTGCCGCATAAACGTATTCAAGTTCAGAAATTCGGAGACGTAACACACAACTGTTTTCAGCTGGTGCCCGCTGTCGTGCAAACTGCGATAGATTTTTTTTAAACTCTGCTGATTGGCCTTTACGACGCGGTCCATTCATTTGGGCTAGTGCCAATAAAGTACGATATTAGTAGCATATCTTTTGTACGTAATGCTACATATCCCCGACCATTTCCAGAAATTAGTTCTAGGTTTCCTTGAAAACTAATGCAAGGCTACGATCGACCTAGGTATATTTTGAATGAAGCAAGCTGATTTTCCATGAAATATTTTTCCTCGAAAAGTAGTGCATGAAAAGTGCATCGTTGCTTGCTGCAATATTAAAGGTGAGAACATCAGCAATGCCGTATAAAATGCCGTTATTGCAAACTAGTGTTGTAATCATATTATAACAAAGTGCGTTCATCACGCACCGTTTACAACCATTATGAACCATATGATTGCTATTTCATCACAGTTTTACCCAAAGCACATTAATTTCGAAAACCTGAACATACAGATACTGAAGTATAAAACTGTAGCTGACAGCCAGTAATCGGCAAATTAATTTTCGTGTTCCAGTCCCAATAAAACGCTGGTATTTGTATCGGGTTCATAATCGGTAGCTGATCCACCGCGATAAGCAGACACGATGCCATCCCAGTCTATCACGTCGACTAGTTTTTTTACCGGTATTTTTCTGAAATTCTGCGCAGCTCCACCTAATCAAAGTACAAAAAGAAATAACTCATTATATTACAGCTGCTATCACTGATTCATTTTTTTACGATGATGGTTAATACACGCGGTCAGATTTACAGTATCATTTTAATTTGTTCTCTATGTATAAATTGTGCCAAAAAAATACCTTCGGCCGCGCCATGAAAGCTGTTGCTCCAGTTTAACACGCGAGAGCCTTCGCGGCTTCCCTTGCCGCTTGGTGCCAGTTCTTCCGTAGATTCGCTCTTACCGCGTTTCCGAGCAGCGGACACACATGCTACAATCAAGTTCATATATAGTTTTAAATAATAATAGTTTGCAACAAATATTTCGTCGACCAGACCGCAGGAAAGGTCTTCTAATATAGCAAAAATGCAAACACAGACGTCAGATTTGCGTGTTTGTTATGAAATCCTCTTTCAAAAGTATGCTTGCATAGTACAGTATTTAGAATTAGTGTGCTGCACTTGATTATGGGCTTACACAAAACGCTGCTGCACTTCGGTTAGCTAATGCATAATGCTGCAACATGTAACATCCTCTTCTAGTTTAAATACCTTTTGTTCCCTGAATTAAATAGGCACCGGAAACGGTAATCAGGTTAACTGGTGGCGGACTAATTGCTGATTTATCCATATTCATAATCAGTTTTGCGCGGCCGTATTTCCATTCTAAATCTGACCTAGCTTGTATCCTTTGGTATGTATCCGATAACATGGCGATCAACAGGTTAATAAGCACTGTATAAATTGGAAAAAATTGATTAACACCGAATCTTGCGCGGCGTACCGCTTCATGTCTCAAGAGGAGTACTCACCGACCATGGTCACTGCAAAGAGCAAAAAGTGTTATCACAATCCGTAAGGCAGCAGAACAGCAAACGTCTTACCCATGAGATAGATCATGATTAAAATTTTAATCAGCGTTGGGGAAAATTCCGGACTGTGAGGAGGGAAGGGAATTTTTGTGGGGTCAACCAGACCGAACAGCGCAAAATATAAATACTGGAAACTGTCTAGCGGGTCATACGATAAATCCATCATCGGCGCAGTTTTATTGTAATGCCATCCGTCAAAGGTAGGCGACTCTTCCGTGTCCAAAAACATTGCTGAATGGCTAAAGGAAAATCCAATCATGAAGAGCGCTAAAACCACTAAAAACCGCAAAAGATCCTTCACAAGGTCACGAATGATTATGCCCATTGGTCCGAACATATAGTGGAAGGAAAGGTAGCTGCAAAAACAATAATTAAGTATTCAGCGCAGTTTTCAAGCTAATTTGCCCCTAACTTTTTTTATCCGTCTCCGTCACGAGTGTGTTCATTTACGAGCATACGAACATCGAGCCGGTCTATAATCATATAAAAAAGAAACCTACTTGACAATCTGTACGCAAGCGAATAAACATGCGGTGGCAAACAGTTGATTCCGTACATAGAGCAGTGTCGTTTCTACGGGCGGATCAAATGGAAAAGCTGCAGCATGAATAATAATCGCTAAACCACAGAAAACTAATACAAAAACCCTTATCCATCCCAGTCCTTGCCGCTCTTCTGCGGTGTTGAACTCGTCCAAAAATTTTCCCAACAACCATGCCAGTAAAACCCATTCGCTCCACCGTGGAAACGCATCGTGGCGATCGAAGAGTCGCTCAAATGGCGACATAAAAACCAGAATCAAAATAGTAATGAAGAACAAATGACTAACAATGTGGCACAGCAACTTCATAAAAGGAACATAATTGTATTTGTGGCCCAGAGGAAGGGAAAAGATGAACCAGATAGGCGGGCATATGAGAAAGGACAGGAACAAGGATATGCTTTTGGCATCACTCCACTCCTCGTTTCCGTACCACACGTCGGTCAAATAACGCTGAACCGCCGGATCCGACACAACTTCCTTATGGCTGCCATCGATTAAGATGTCCATTAAGGATTTATCGTACTGATCGGTGGCACGAAGCACCAAAGCAGGATTGAAACGGTTGCATGATATGGTCAACAAATCGTTTCCTAAGGTTTCACAAAACTTGCTGGCTAAGGTCAAGTCGCGCTCTAGCTCTTTCTCCCTAAAAGACTGCTCTTTATAAAAACGAGAGAGTTTTAAAGCAATTTCCACGGGTGACGGGGAAGTGGTAATGAAGTCTTCCAGCGCCTTCTGGTGGAACAATTTACCGCAGTTCATCAAATCAAACATGAACGCTTTGTCTTCCAGCAAAAGAAAGCAGTCGTGGTCTTTTAAGATGAGATAAGTGAGTACGTCGGTTTTCTGAGCACTAGCAGCGTAGCATAAGGCAATTTTTCCGTCTTTTGTTACGGCTGTCGGGGAGGCACCCGCGTCGATGAGTAATTTGATGACCTTTAAATGGCCAGCTTTTGCAGCATGATGTAAGGCGGTCCACGAGTTCTATACCAACATTCACAATAATTTTTAAAATGCTCGAATCACCACATTCGCTTTGAAAAAGTTGTAATTAAAGTACAAACCTGATCAATCTCAATCTTTTCTGCGAAAAGAGTCGGTAGTATTTCGTAATTTTTATTACTTGCTTATAATTACGTACCTGCTAAGAGCAACACTGACACAAACGTACAGTACTGTATTGTACTTCGACTCACGTTGTCTACAGATGTGACATCGGATCCTTGACCAATCAGCAGCGCCGCCATTTCTTCATGCCCAGCTGCGGCCGCTAACATTAGCGCGTTACGGCCTTTTTTATCCCGAATATCCAGTTGCGTTGCTGATTTACTCAACAGAAGACCGACGACGGGCAGATGACCGTGCATTGCAGCCATGTGAAGCGGAATCATTCCAGTGTTTTCTGCCGCTGCATCCACTTGAACTCCGGGATAGTTCAGTAATAACCGCACCAGGTTTTCTTGACCAGAGAGACTAGCCAGATGCAGTGGCGTCAGACCGGGTTCGGCGCCAATTTCCCTAACAATCGAATTGTGAACAGTGGGCTGTTCGGAGACAACCGTAGCTGGGACGGACGTTAACAATTCCCGGGCAACGTCTACTTGTCCATAGAAGGCCGCAAGATGCAGTGCCGTAAATCCAGTCTGTTGTTATCAAGACGTCTAACATTTGACATACAGAAACAATCTGTAAATTCGGTTAACCTTGATACTGGAAACTTTGAGTGAAACGAGGTCTTTTAACACTTCTAAGACAGAAAGGTGACCATGTTTGGCAGCCAGATGGAGCGGTGTCATTCCATCCTAATAATGCATAAATTTTATTTATTAAAATGGTGATGGAAAAAATAGGGCTCCATGAAATTTTACCCCGTTTTCATCTACTGGAGAAGCTCCGCCTTCTATTAAGCTCTTGACCACTTCCGCGTGACCGCCTGCCGCCGCTAGATGAACAGCTGTGGACTCGTCCGTCTAGATAATATGCGCAAAACGTAGAAAACAGCGGTCCAGAACCCGGTTCACATCAGTCACAATCACCTTGGTTTTTGCATTAATCACTTGTTCCTTCTGGTGATCAATGAGAAGTTTGACCACGGCGTTACTCCCATTCTTGGCTGCTATGTGTGCCACAGTGTATCCATTCTGTAGTCATAATAAGTTACGGCATGTCGTAATCGATGGAAACCTGAAGCCTTCAAAAAAAGCCTGTATACCTCATCCACCATTGACATTGGATTGGTGTCCGCCAAAGATTTTAGGAATAACTCCACAATTGCAGCGTTGTCTGTCTCAGCTGCCAGGTGTAATGGGGTTTGACCTTTCTGAAAATATCAGATCTTAAATATCAGAAATGTGCGTACATCGTCACATTTGACATAAAACCTTATAAACTTGAACTTTATCTACCTGATCTTTTGCGTTTGGGTCCGCTTTCATCCGCAAAAGTACATCACAAATATCCAGTTTTCCGTATTGCGCAGCCATGTGAAGCGGTGTCCTTTTCGCCTGCGCCAAACAAAGTGGTCTGTCAAGCAAAGGTCATTTTTCGTAATCAAGCGTCAGCTGTACCAATGACAAAGCGTCAATGGAAGCTTCGTATTTTTCCACCAGCAGTTGAACGATCTCGGTCCAGCCTTTCATTGCTGCCAGATGAAGCGGTGTTACTCCTAACTTGGATTTGGCGTTGACAAAGGCTTTGTGGCGAAGAAGATAATCAACAATGTCAGCATGACCGTTTTCAGCAGCGATGTGCAGAGCAGCTTTTCCTTGCTGTATGCCGGCAGATTTCATAATTATTCAGTACGCTGCATAAAATATATTATGTGTTTAGTGTTACACTCCAATCACACCCACCTCGTCGAAAACATCCACCCGAGCATTGTTTCGCAAAAGCTGTTTGACAATTTCCTCGTGACCGTGTTCCGACGCTGTCAACAATGGCGACCATCCATTCTAATTGTAAGGTAGAAATGCTTTCAACACTATTTATCATATTAAAGGTAAAGGTAAAGTTATTGATTCCCTCTCGTTGCCATATTTCTGAATGATTTCAAAATTGTTTTTACCTTCGCTTGTTTATTGACAGCCAGTTGGAATTTAGCAGGTCCTAAGTACTTAACGATCGCCGTAAGTATTTCGACGTTTCCACATCGAGCACAGTAATGTAGAGGCGTTTCTAAACTCTGAAATTACGGGTTTGTCAGCACCGTTTCCTTGATTCGTGAGTGAAGAGTAACGAGGCAGTAGCTGCATGTTCATTGCTTACCATTTTTGTTTGTATACCAATTTCGGCGCTGAAATCCAGCAAAAGCTGTACCAGTTTCACATCTTCGTGCTCGAAGTGGATCATATCTGGGGCCAGTTCTGCCGCATAGTGCATAGCTGATTCGCCTTCCTAGAGTAGGTTAATCGATCGAAAACATTTAGTAAAAGATAAGTTCGGCAAAAGTTAAATTCAGTCTCACTAGATTCTGGGCATTGACCATCCCCGCCGCATCCGATTTGGATCTTTGACTGGCCGACTGTTCCAGCAATTCTTTGGCAACATAGTAATTGCAGCTACGGACAGCCACGTGCAGCGGCGTCTCGCCGCCTTTGCTTACGGCCGACGTCTCGGCTCCCTCGGCCAACAAGATCTGTATCATCCGCAGTGCTCCATACCGCGCCGCCACATGGAGCGCTGTTTCTCCGTTCTCCATTGTCGCATTCACATCCGCACCTGATTTGATTAGCATTTCCGCGCACAGCTCACCATTAGGTACTCGAGCAGCAATGTGCAGCGCTGTCTCTTCCGCTGCACCCCCTGCGTCAACGACAGTCACTGGTTGTAATCGTGCACTGATCCTGACAATAAATCAAACAGTCAGAAAGCAGCAATGATTTGAGTTTGACCTTTGATATCAACGGACGCTCCGTATCCCAGAAGCGCTTCCGTAACTTGCGGTTTGCCATATTCCACAGCCAGATGTAACGGTGTATAATTGTCGTTGGTCTTTGCATCAACCGGCGATCCATTTTCAATTAAAATTCCGATAACTTTTGCGTGACCTTAGATTATCATGCGATGTCATTAAAAATTGTCGTTTACGTTCTTGATATGCAGCACTAACTTTCCTCCAGAAGTGGACTCTTTAATATGTACGCTTGTTTTTAGCTTACCTGCTCGAGCTGCTGCGTGTAACGCCAGTGCACCGGCTTTGTTAGGCATGTTAAGCGGCACTCCTCTCCGCAACAATGCTAATGTGGCTTCTGGATGTCCCGTTAGCGCAGCCAGATGCGCTAAGGTACTTCCATCCTGTGATGCCATAAGCGGTATTTATGATATTTATACAAGAACCGAGTATTTACGTAATTTGCTGTGCGCACTGGAATTTTAACGAAACACTTTGCGCTGGTGCGCTACTTACAGCTGTTCTGGCCATGATTGACCCTTTGAATTTTTCAGTAAGAACCTCTACGACTGTTGTGCTTCCATTTTCGACCGCTAAATGCAGCGGTGTTCTTTCGAACTGCAAAGAAAATTTTGAAATTACTTTGATTTATGCAACGGGCACGAAAATAAGTATGGAAGTACTTATATTATAACAAAACAATATAGTCCTTGCTGATGAATTTTCAGCACCATTTCGTATTCGGATAATGTTATGTGTAACAGGTGAAATAATAATAAATTGGTGTATAGTAATTAAGCAATATGCAGTCTGCCGTTTTAATTTATGGTCATTATCGTTTAAGGTCATGGAGTTGGGATACCGTATATTGTTACAATACATTCTGCCATGCTACGAAATAGGTAGTTGCCTCTAACCCTATCAACAAGTTCCGGATTGGCTCGGTGGTTATGCAATAACGCCAGTGCAGAGTCATTATGCGTTTGGGAAGCAATGTGGAGAAGGGTCTGTCCATCGAACTGTAAAGCAAATATTGATCTGCTCCCCGCGCCAGATTCAGTTCACACGGAAGTTACCGCGAACGGCATGGTCATACATTTTGAATGTCAACGGGTGCGCCTGCATCTATTAACACCCGTAGTGTCTCCGTATCCTTTCGTCGCAGTACGAAATGCATTAAAGTGTCACCATTTTGTTGCTGTAAAATATCGACATGTTGTTTGCGTAGGTACGGCCTACCACGCCAGCAGCGTAATCAAAGACGGCAATTACCTTGTTTTGGTAGGTCAGCTGCTCCATTATGAGATCCGTAAGGAGTTCTTTCACAACATGCACATTAGGCTCCAGTGCAGCACACCAGACCGGAAGATATCCGTCCTGTTAAGACCAGTTTTAGCACAGGTCAAAACTGAACTCTTAATTTATTCGCTGACCTTGTCTTCAGCCAATCGACCTTCTCTTCCAGAATGGGGTATCAGAAACTGTACCAAGGGCCAAGCAGCGATCTTTCTTAGACAGGCTGCAGCGATTACAAGTAACAAATGTCAACTGAACAAGGCCAAAAAATTTAGCCTGCACGCTTGGGTTAAATTTTTTCCCTTACCCATATGTAACGGCAGCTGGCTTCTTTTCTGAAAAGCATAACAAAAATAAGACATCAACAAATATTTGGTTTTGCTTGAGAATCTAAAATTTTCATTACAATTTGCTAAGCAGAAATACTTACGCCATCAGGAATTGTTGCATCGGCACCAAAGGTTACGAGTGATCGGACCATTTCATCTTTGGCATATTGTGTTGCAATATGTAATGCCGTCTCTCCTGCCTGTAACTCAAAAGATTGGTCAGAATATTATCTTGCTTTTATTGAGATATTTGTTTTTCGAAACAATTACATACCTTAGAAACAGCATTTATCTGTGCTCCGAATTTCACTAGCACTGCAACATCGCCCATTTTGCTCTCTTTGGCGCATAACATTAGCGCTGTGTAGCCGTTCTCCTAAGAAATTGTCAACAACCCTGAGTTAAGCGCTGTTGTCAAATGGACAAAAATGATTACAGCCAATCAGCATACGATTACCTCGTCCGCAAGGTTGACAGCCTGCACAATGTCATCCCGCTTCCCATCCTTACGAAAAGCCTTGTCCAGAATTTTTAGCTGGTTCTCCACCGATGTCCAGCTGCCCGTGAGACAGGATTCCAGCAGGAAAACTCCTGTACTTCCCGATACGGGAACATCTTCCTCGGTAACATCCACGACAGGGACGTTGGAAAACGAGGCCGCACCGGGTGCATTACTTTTCGCAGCGTTATTCATGGCAATTAAATTAACCACAGGAATACGTGGTGAAAACGTAGACTGCGCTTTGTTTACTTCCGGTTCGGGATTATCGCTGGGGATAATAACATCCGATAAGCTTAATGGTGGGCTGGGATTCAATGTCGGCGCATCGCCTTCGTTCCCTGTATTCAATCGCCCTCTTTTACTGGGATAGACTGGAATGTCCTCTTCTGGGATGGTTTCTTCGATGACGGTCTGGAGGCCGTTGGATTCCGACGGATCCCACAATGGTCTGACATCTTTGGAAGACTGCAGGCGATTGCGTGGACGGATGAGTTTAACAGGAAGCGCTGCGGGTTGCGTGGAATATGGAGATGAAGTATCCATTTGTAAATTTGGATTATGACGACCACTGCTACCGGAAGTTGACTTTTGTTCTACGGGCAAATGTTTCCGCGATGACGGTGTCGCAGGATTGGACATGACGATGTAACAAAATGCGTTGGATGCTCATAAAACCAACTGTCCATGCAAACCGTTGACTGCAGTGATCGATCTGCGGTGAAGCGATGCTGTTGGTACAACTTTGGAATGCGAAGGTTAGCTGACAAAGAAATTTGTGCGATCACGATCGGCGGGCCAAAGGGATCACGTTCGATTCCTTTTGCACGACTACGAACGTACAGACGTTCGCGCAAGTCATTTCCGGCTATGCTAAATGACGCTAATCGCCGGTGCACGCTGAATGCCAGAAAACTCTCTGGCCAAAAAGCCATGTTGACTCAGCTCACCTTTTCAGTAGTGCGTTTTACTTGTTCGAATCAATAACAGGATCCCGCTTGTCTTCTCGGGGACGACTTGTCCTTCTTATCTTCGATCGTTCTCAATCTCGACAACGTATACGGTATCTGTACGGACTAACTTTATACTCCCAGAGTCCCAGTCTGCTTGTTATCGGAAGCAGCTTATCGAACACGTGCCACTGTCTTGAAAATTGATTGTCTGTTGCACAGTGCACACAAGAGCATCAGGAGCAATTTTCGTAATTCGGTCTGATCTTATTGATGGTCGGCTTAGTTATTCCTCAACCATAGTTTTGCAAAAATATATATATAACCCTTTTCAGTGATACCGCCCTTGTATTACTTATTAAATCCTGCTTTCAACATTTATTGTGGCCATGGGCTTCGTGAGAATGTTAAGAAATTTACGGTCAAGTTTGTGTCTTTTTTATTGGCAAAGCAATATACATACTAAACAGACAGAAGTAATACACATAAGGTCAGAATCAAAATCTGTGTGTGTAACATCGATTCTATTTTAACTGTTCAATGATTAACAGTAAAAATGAAAAGCAAAATTGTACCAATAGGGTAGCAGGTACGGCCAAACAGTTTTATCATCTGTTGGTCAATCTGTTAGTCGATCTGTTAGTTAATCATCGAATCCCCCGAGATCTTCCAGTTCTTCATAGGCTGTGATAATTTCCGACCAAACGGCAACATTCGTGAGTTTCTGAACAGGGGCATCTTCTTTCAGCGCCGGAGTCAAACCGTGAGCTGACCCTGTAAATGATGCACTACTTTAAAATTAATACAGCACTAAAATTTGTCGCTCGCTCTTTACTATTTTTTATGAACTGACCCCGAATGTCGTCTACTAAACTTTTTCTCCACCGACGGATTTTAGAAGCCTGAGTGTAGTCCTTTCCAAGTAATTTATCGGTGGAGTCCCGAATGCGGCGGACAGATCTTCGCTCCAGCACAACTAGAGAATAAGCAATGTATTCACCGTAACAATAACTGCCATATTGGAGAGACATCACATTCATGTAAGCAATACAATATGCTTACGAAGAATCCCTTTCAAAGCATATGACAAGGTTACAGTGACAAGATTAATTGGAGGTGGACTAATTGGAGTCTTCTCCAGATTGATAATAATTTTTGCGCGAATAAACTTCCACTCCAGATCCGAACGGGCTTTAATTCGCTGATAGGTGTCAGAAAGCATGGCAATCAACAAGTTTATCAACACTACAAGCAATCAAACAGTGTTTTGAAAGGCACGAAACACACATGCACTAGAGGACAAGAAATACTTACCAATCATCGTTGCTGCAATAAAAATTAAGCAAATTATTCAATGCAAAAATATAAGATTTCAAAAAAATAACGGCTTACCGGTCAAGTAAATACCGTACCAAATAAATACTAGACTGTGCGCAAAGTCTGGGCCATTGGGCGGAGCCGGTACCTGATTATACACAAACAATTAAATAAGTATCCAAAGGTCAACTACCATCCTTAACGTTAACGGAAATCATACTTACAAATTCACGCTCGCATTAATTTTTTTGCAAATTGTTATTAACCATAATAAGTTTCATGTCGGCATACCTGTCCCCAAGGATCATACAAGCCAAAAACGGCCCAATATAGAAGCTGTACGCTGGCCCAGGGATCCAGAATCATTGGCAAGATGTAGGCGGTATCATTGTACGTACTATTGTTCGGTATCGTATCCTCATACAATGCTGACAAGCTAAATGTAAAACCGAAAAGGAAGATGAAGAAGATCACCATGAAGCGGAGACAATCACCCACGATGTCCCCCAGCATGATTTCGAAGGGACCGAAAAGCTGGTGGAAAGATAGATAACTAAAAACAATCAGGCGCGCGCAAGTGAATATCTATATGTGAAGTGCAGATTAAAAGACAGAATTAATTAACAAAAACTTACGAGAGAATTTGTACATCTGCAAAAAAACACGCCAGCGCTAGTAACTGCGATCGGATGTACAGCAGAATAGGCTGAGTCTCCTTATCCTCCACAACAGCTGCAGCAATGTGTAGACCAATCGCGCAAGCAGAAAAAAACAACACTACGGAGCGCAGCATCCCTAGTCCCTGGCGTTCTTCATTGGACATGAGTTCGGTTAGCAGATTACCGGCCAGCCAAAACAGCAGCAGCCATTCCTGGGGCGTAGGAAACAGACTCTGTCTTTCATACAGCGGTTGAAAGGGCGTCATGAAAACCAAAATTAGCAGAATGATGTAATATAAATGACTGGTAACGTGGACAACCAGTTTCAGAAAAGGGATCTCGCTGATATGATGAGGAAGGGGAAGCGAAAACACCATCCAGACAGGAGGGCAAAGCAAGAAAACCAGGAACGAAAGGGAAATCTGCCATTGCCTCAACTCAAGTCCACCATACCTAAAAGGAAACTAATGGTTAATGTATATCCTGAAAAATGAAAAAACCCTCCAACATTTTTGTACCAAACGCTAGTCAAATATCGTTGCACAGGCACCAAAGCCACCACGTCCTTGTGCGTCCCATTAACCATGATATCCATCAATGATTCTTCTTTTTCGTCCACCGCTCGCAGAATGTCACTGGGATTATGCCGGTTGCAGCTGACCATCAGCAAACGCTGTCCAATTTGCTCACAAAACCTTGATGCCAAAACAAGATCCTTCGCGTGATATTTGTCCCGGTTAGAGGCATCTCTGTAGAACTTCGTCAACTTCAAAGCCAGTTCCACCGGAGACGGGCAAAATTTTATAAACTCAAACAAAGGTTTCTGCATTCGCGTTCGTCCACACTGCATTAAATCCACCAGAAACACTGAATCATTCAACAAGGCAAAGCAATCGTACTTCTGCTGCATCAGGTAGGTCATCACAGCCAGATGAGCACTGGATTTTTCTGCCTTTCCTGATACCGCTGAATGCATAGAATAACATAAGGGAATCTTTCCATCTTTGCTGACAGACGCAGGATTTGCTCCATGGTCGCATAATAACTTCACCATGGACAGATAACCGGCAATAGCCGCGCAATGTAGTGCGGTCCAACCGTTCTACAATCAACCACAAAATTGGATTAATCAACAAGGAATTACCATTAATTTCGTTATAGAATAATCGATAAGTCTACAATTTTATCGAGTCACATAATTAAAATTCCTAAATACCATTATTTGCAGGATACGGAATTCATATCTTCGTTCGCTTACATTGTCTCTCACTTCCACATCTGCCCCTTGATTGATCAGCAGTGCTGCCATGTTCAAATGTCCTTTAGTAGCCGCCAACATCAGGGGAGTTTGACCTTTGACATCTGGTACGTCCAACCGCGAGGCCGCCCGGCTTAACAGCAGCCCAACCACAGGAATATGGCCGTTTACTGCCGCCATATGCAGAGGGATATAGCCGCTCTTATCTGCCGGTGCATCCACCTGAACCCCAGGATAATTCAGCAGCAGCCGGACGATGGCTTCTTGGCCGGCTTTGCACGCCAAATGTAATGGGGTCAGTCCAGCCTCGGCGCCGATCTCCATTCCGGTTGCGGTCGTCACCGTGGGCTCATCCGATCTCACGGTAGCAGGGACTACTGTTAACAACTCCCGTGCTACATCAGCTTGGCCCCAATATGCAGCCAGATGAAGTGCTGTTAATCCATTCTTAAACGAGAACCAGTTTATGGAACCAATATGCAGCAGCGACCAAAATACGGTACAGTCTGACCGCGACGTCACGAGAGTATTGTTAAATTTTATAACATTACAACCGCCGTAAAATTTTACCTTCAGACTACTGACTTTAGGGGAAAACACTTCCTTCAGTACATCAATCACTCCGATATGGCCATTCCTGGCTGCCAGGTGCAGAGCGGTCATGCCATCCTGAAAAGGTCACATTCATGAGTTAAATAGTTTTATAGCTGCTGTGCATGTAGTATCTGTCAAGATCAAAATCAATTATATATTAACCGAATTTTCAACAGCCACTGGGGCTCCGGCATCCACAAGCATTTTAACCAGTTGGACATGTCCTCCCGCAGCAGCCACATGCAAAACAGTGGAATCTGAGCCACGAACTCTTGTCGATATTATATCTTCCTTATTGAAGGACAGCAGAAGCTCCATGACATCTACCGATCCATTTTTCGCCGATATATGAGCTATCGTATGCCCCCTCTGCACACTCAGTTTGTTAATGCAACAAAGAAACAAAATTACTCAGAGCGGATGTTTTTATGACTGCTTACCACATCCGCCATATTCATTGGATTTTTGTCGGCCAAAACTTTTAAAAACAACTGCACTACTCGTTCGTGATCGTTTTCCGCGGCAATATGAAGGCATGTTTGGCCGTGCTGTAAGCGATAACCAAATAGCAAAAATTCATTAAATATTTTGCAAAGCGTTCGCACATGATCTGTGGCATTGGGATTAGCTCCCATTGTCAGCAATAGTTCGCAAACCTCCATCTGATCGAACTGAGCCGCAAGATGCAAAGGCGTTTTCATTGCCTAAATAAAAGAAAAAATATCTTCAGTATTCAACTGTTTAACTCAAAAACAGTTCATTCAGTTGCTTTTCTGACTCACCGTAGATAACGCATCAACGGTTGCGTCGTATTTTTCTACCAGTAACCGCACAATATCGATGTGTCCTTTCATGGAAGCCAGGTGGAGTGCGGTAACACCTAACTTGGTTTTGGAGTTAACAAAAGCTTTGCTACGTAGCAGCAAATCCACCAGGCTCACGTGACCATTTTCTGCTGCGATGTGAAGTGCCGATTTACCCAACTGTCAAACCGATATCGATGATGGGAAGTCTCAGTATATGCACGGAAAAGGAAAAGATCCACATACCTCATCGAATACATCAACCCTAGCATGGTTCTTTAGTAACAGTTTGACTACAGGCAGATGACCTCCTTCGGCTGCGGTAAGGAGCGGCGACCATCCCGTCTGCAAATAACAACTGCCGGTTATCCCAAACACCGATAGTAGGTTAATCAAAACAGCAATTTTAGTTTTATTAAAAACCGTGATCAGAATTACCAGACATTCCACCAGGCAAAGGTCACCTCATGCAATATAGGTAATGAACTACTAACTAGGTACTCACTAACTAACCTTGGACTGTCGGTTCAATATTGCCTGTGCTTTTGAGTGACCCAAACTCTTCAGCAGCACAGTCAAGACCTGCTCATTTCCGTATCGCGCACAATAATGGATTGGGGTTTCCAGAGTCTGCAATCAGCGCTTATATAAAAATTCCAAAACATGACTCCGTTCTTAGTTTTTCAGGTACTGATACTTGAGAACACCAGTTTAAATGTAGGAAATTTATAACAGATTTTGTCGTGGAAATTACCAGTTTCGTTTGTGCGCCAGGGTCACCATTATAATCAAGTATCAGGTGTAAAAGCTTTATTTCCTCTCCTGGAAAATGTGTCATCTCCGGCACAACTTCCGTTACGAAGTGCATCGGTGTTTCACCTTCCTGAAACGGTGAAAATGGTTGCTTAATACAGCAACACCAACAACAACAGCAACACTCCTTAAAGTGCTTACGGCATTCCCCATGTTGACCACCGCCACGGCGTCATAACGATCCCACTTGGCCACAATGAAATCCAATAATTCCTTGGCGATATCGTAATGACACGCTCGAACCGCCGCATGGAACGGTGTTTCTCCAGCCGCACCAACCGCCATGGGACTGGCCTGTTCATGCAGCAGCATTTGGACCATTTTCATGGCACCCGAACGAGCTGCAACGTGCAGCGCGGTCTCCCCGTTTTCTAACTTGGCATTGACCTCCGCTCCCGATTTAATTAACAGCTGTGTAGATTGCTCGCCATTCGGAACACGGGCTGCAATATGCAGTGGAGTCTCTCCGATTTTTCCACCTGAAAATCAAAACTCGGAAAAAGTACTAATGGTCGCTTTGCAAAATACTCAGAACTTTCAGTACCCTTTGTGTGAACTGAAGCACCGGCACCAAGAACGGTTTCTACAACTGCCGGTTTTCCATATTCGATTGCCAGGTGGAGTGCGGTGTATCCGTCTTTAGTTTTCGCATCTACCCGAGCCCCTCTGTTTAGCAGTGCCCGAACAACCGATGCATGTCCTAAAAATCGGTAAAAATAAAACACTGAAAAATATTAAAAAATAAAATACATTCGAAAAACATTCCATACTTAAAAGATTCACATAAGACAAACCTTCGCCCTATATCAATACACAGTCTGTACAGATACATGCATGACTGCAGCACAGTGTTGGGTCATAGAGTAATAAGGTTATATACCGAGTTAAGGTCAAACCCGACGTAAGCTAATATAATTCGATTTACATAAAAAGCGACCGATTCTCATATGAAAGGATACGTAAAAGCGTTCATGCAAATTGCAAACCCAGATTCTTTCTATTTACCTGTGCGTGACGCGGCGTGCAGTGCTAACGCCCCAGATTTATTGGGCATATGCAAGTAAACACCTTTCTTTAGCAACGTCAGAACTGTTTCCGGATGACCAGACAATGCGGCAATATGGGCTAAAGTGCTTCCGTCCTATTAGATACGTCAAGGTCCAAAGTCACACAAAATGTCAGAGCTCAAATAGCATGAAATTAGCCCTTACTTTGGTGCGAACGTGTATCGATCCGGGATACTTTTCAGTTAAAATGTCAACCATCCGATCTAGTCCCTTTTCAACCGCCAAGTGCAAAGGAGTTCTGTCATACTGCACAATGAAAACGGTAAGAAAACGCTAACGGCAAGATCATTATTACCGATCGTAGTTACCTTATCGACCAATTCAGCGTTCGCGTGATAGGAGTGCAGCAACTCTACGCCCGGCTTGCTGCTGGTAAGTGCTGCAATATGCAGTAACGTTTGACCATCAAACTACAAGAAAAACGATTATTTGTAGATGGAGGTACGATATTGCGTGTCTTGAACAATGCAATAACCTTTTTCATAATAAAAAAAGTTTGTGAATAAAAAAGCACCAGTACTAATGATAATCGACAAAAATATAAATACAACTGCAGATCAACAGCTTTGCATAGAATTCATTAATCTATTTTCGATGCACAAATCCCAGTTAATTGTTGGCGACTAATTTCATGATGTTCTCAATACAAACCCAGTTCGTACTCACATTTCGCGCATTGACCGGAGCACCGGCTTCCAAACAAGCTTGCAAAATGTCACTTTGATTCTTGCGCAAAACATAGTGCATGAGAGTGTCACCATTGTGATGCTAAAAACAGTCATATTCATTGTATCGAAGTGCTCAAAAGCTTTCAAGGAACAAACCTTATTTTGGTAAGACAACTGTTCGGCACTCTGTTCACGAAGCAGATCCTTGACGACATGCAAATGCGACTTTTCTGCTGCTCTCCAAATTGGTAGAAAGCCTTCCTAAAGCAACATTCGCTTGAAATATTGTTTAACCACAAAAGCTTGTACAGAAAATTTCGATCAAGCACAAACAATCCATCTAAAACTAATTCAAAAATAAAATTATTTTGCCAAAGAAAGTAAAAACCGTGCATAAGGTAACAAATGCGTTAATTTGTAAAACCCACCTTATCGGGAGCGATTCGGGAGTCTTCACTGGACAGCATGACAAGGTACTGGACAACCGGCAACGCACCGTGACGTCGCATACATGCCTTAAAAAACAATCATGGTACGCGCAATCAAGAAAAAATTATTCAGAAAATAACTCAACGCACCAAATGCAACGGCAGTTGATTTAAGGGCTAAACACAGAAAAGCACTGTAAATGGAACGGTTCATGTGATTGACTGTCAGCACGCTGCACACATACTCCGCCCTGGAGAGTGGGATCAGCGCCAAATGATATGAGCAGTTTGATCATCTCCTCCTTTTGTGACGCCGCGGCATAGTGAAGAGCGGTGTAATGGTCCTACAGTAAACAAATGCGTAAAATAGTACGTACATAAATTAACAATCAGCCGGAAGATCCGGCTGCGAAAACCCGAACCCAGATGGATGTTTAATAAAATTACCAGTACAATGTACGTACAGTTGTGCGAATGTTCACGTCTCCACCCATATTGGCGATCTTCTCTACGAAGCCAGTCTTGCTCTCTCGGGCACAGAGAATTAAAGAAGCTGTACCGGTATCCTATTCAATTACGACAAACATACAGTAAATGATTGGAAATAAAAAATTATCGCACAACAAGTCAAACTTTATCATACAGATCTGTTTTATTAAGTAGATCCAAACAGCTGAGTAAATCATAACGGTACCGAAATTATGGATCTATTGAACTCCGTTTCAGAAAACTGAGATTACTTCACGAAAAAAACTTAAGCAGGAAAAATTTACCACATTTTAAATAAATCGTCCAACCATCGGTTATAATAATTCACAGCCGATTTCAAAATTCTTTGCTGCAACTTACCGGATCCTGAATATTGACGGCAGTTCGGACACTGGCCTGCTGATCGACACTACTGGCCCACACATGCTCGCAAACATGTAGTAACTCATCCACCAGCATCCAGTTCTCCTTTTTACAGGCTTCAAGCAGCTTGGCACCGGTGTTCGGTGGAAGCTGTGATTTCTCCTTATCCCAGTTAACATTGTCGTGAAAGGCATCGAAAGTTGGAACATATCGCGGTGGAGGAGCAGGCTGTACGGCAAAGGAGAAGTTCTGATGAGCCATTCCTTAACATACCATTTATCTTAAAAAAGTGGAAAAATAACAAGTTTCCGGACACTGAGAGCATGTGCCGGTAACGTCGGCGAAATCGGGTTGACCTCGACCGGACGTAGTACCTGCAAGCTGGCGCGTGTCGACATCGAGCAGATACCATAGCGTACAGTCGACAAGATGTCGAGCAGCCTGACGACACCATCGGCAAATCGATCAAAGGAACACCTGAATAAGTAATCCTCTCTCGGTACTTTGTAGTGGTAAGTACTACCTACCACCAAGCGTGCACAGTAAAGTAAAGTGCTGCAATACTCAGCACTCAAAAATATTTTCTAGTTCTAAACTTTACTAGCACGATCACATGCTAAAAGGTCCATCATCAAGAAGCAACTGCCCATGGCAGCAGAAAAGGTAGTAAATACCTTTTAGGTATTCATAAAATTGATCATAATTATATTTACGACTGCACGAGTAAACTAGGAACTGATGCCAGTTTGTATCAGTAGATGTAGAGGAAGAACAATGCACTAATTAAAAAAAATTTTATGATCGAAGCGAAGAAATTATGCTGCGCTAACGCGCACACGAAGGAATTATTTTTCTTAAACTTGAGGAATAAATAAAATCCTAAAAAAGAACAGACAAAGTCTGTACTTCAAAACTCGTATATGTAATTTTAAATAAACTGGAATTTCTCTTGGATAATCGAAGGGGAACCGGGAATTCATGTCTGCCACAAATGGCCCAACTAGCCAGCCATCAGTAAGGTATGTTCCCATTTGTGAGAACCCGTGAACACAGACACGACCGCATATTCTCGTGAGAATTTCCGACTAAATGAGCAAATCAATTGAGTTAAGAACTTTATATGTATTTATCAACTGGAAACCATCAAAAAGGTAAAATTAAATAGCACTACTTTAAAATGGAATGACATAATCAAAAACAGTACAGTACTTCAAAGAAGAAAGCTCAACCCCAAATCAAACTTGAAAATGCAACTGGCCAAGCTTATGACCATAAAATTTCGTAAAGTCATACAGAATTATTTTATTCAAACAACGTAATTTATGTGCGTTTAACTTTCAGACAGATAAAAGAAAATATTATATAATGCATACAATGATACAAACAACGCCGCTTATAAGTTAACTGGACAGCAATTATATGTCTTCCATGCACGTTTATAGCGAGATATTACGTCACTGCTGAACAGCAAACAAAGCGATAAAATACCTCATTTCAAGAAAGTCTACTGCGACTGACATGCCATCGTGAGCCGTTCTAAAACTTCGCGTGCGGAAGTACTAGCTGTGACAAGAACCACTTTTTCGCGGCTTTTTGATCCACGATCCAATGACACCAAGGTTTTCTTCACGTGCAGCACGTCTGCGAGAAACTCCAGTAACTCGGAATTAGCTTCCCCGTCTCTGGCTGCGGCGCCGATCTGCACCTCAACACATTCTTTGGATATGGAAACGACGGCACTTTGCTTTGCATTAGGTTTAGCGTGAACGGCAATGGCAACGGTGCCTCCGGGAAGATCCTTGACGCTCTGTGATGCATTCACTGGCGCAGCGCGAGCTTGTTTCGCGGACGAAGCTGTGGTTTTCGGAGCCATCACAACGCACCTTGAATGTATTTAATAACAGTCAACCCTCAGCACTTGTACATCGCTATGGTTTTCACACTGAAATTAAACCGTTTAGAAATTACCAACCATGAACAAGATGGATGCACAATCTAATGTACCCGTACCGTACGATTCCCGACATAGCCAGAGCAGTTAGTCAGATCTGACCGCTCATCTGATTGATAATTAAGCCACAATGCCCGGTAGACTCTGAAATTTTATACTAGTAACATTTTTTAACTATAAAACAACTATAAAAGACACATCAATGCGACAACAAGGTGCTAAATATACTGCTAATATCGAATGCGAAACCAAAACAATTACCTTTTGTGCCAGTGTACTATATAAATGGTTGGTAATTAGTGGTGCTTTACGATTGGTTGAATCAATGGGTGGGGATTATTTTTCTCAATCAGCTGACGCCGACCGTGTGGATTTAGAGCTCGCCAGCATGCAGATAGCAGATACGATTCACGAAGTTTTTAATCGATGGTTTGTAGTTTTGTAGAAGAACAGAAGGTTCAGCACACGGTGAAGCGCTTCATTGGTCAGTACACCATTCCTCCTCTTAGTCCTCTACGCTTTGGAAAAGTTATTTGGCCGATTCTGGTTGTAAAATCAAAATGCTATCCCGTGTTGCACCAAGATTCGTCGTGCTTTCCCGCTGGATCACGCAGACAGGGGAAAACGCCGTAAGGAGCATTTCTACAACTCAGCAGCCTTCCGCGACTCCTAATCCCCGTGCTCATGAGAGCACACATAAAAAAGCAACTTTTGATTGGCGAGACCCACTTAATCTTGAGTCGCAGCTTGAAGAGGAGGAGAAGATACTGCGGGACCAGTTCCGTGCGTACTGTCAGGCCAAACTGCAGCCACGAGTTCTCGAAGCATACCGCAAGGAACATTTCGATCCCCAGATTATGCGCGAGCTCGGCGAGATTGGGGTTCTGGGAGCAACGATCGAAGGATATGGATGCGCTGGCGTCTCCTATGTCTCGTATGGATTGCTTGCAAGAGAAATCGAGAAAGTCGATAGTGGCTACAGATCCGCCATGTCTGTGCAATCGTCTCTTGTTATGCATCCAATTAACGCGTATGGAAATGGGGAACAAAAAGAGCGCTTTTTGCCTCGGTTAGCCAGAGGAGAAATTATTGGATGTTTCGGATTAACGGAACCGAATTCGGGAAGTGATCCTGGTTCTATGCAAACAAAAGCCAAATTCGACGCGAAATCCAATGCGTATATTTTGTCGGGTAAGCCAACAGCGCTGTCAAATCTTTTATAATAATGAATGGCTGGTTTCTTCATCATTTGATCTTTTGATGACCGCTGGTTTTTGCTTGCCGTTGTCATTTGTTTGTGTTATGCAGGGACGAAAACCTGGATTACCAATTCTCCTATAGCGGATATTGCCGTAGTATGGGCGAAGAGTGATCCAGATGGGAAGATTCGAGGATTTATTGTTGAACGCGGCATGGATGGCTTTTCCACACCGACTATTCATGGCAAACTCAGTCTGCGAGCTTCCATTACTGGGCAGATCGTACTGGATGGAGTTCGTGTACCTGCAGAAAATTTGCTGCCACATGCTCTGGGATTAGGAGGACCATTCGGATGTTTAAACAGTGCGCGCTACGGAATTGCTTGGGGTGCTCTGGGTGCAGCAGAAACTTGTGTAGAAATTGCAAGGCAGTACACTCTGGATAGGATACAGTTTGGTGCTCCTATTGCCAAGAATCAGTTGATCCAGAAGAAGTTGGCAGATGCCACGACGGAAATTGCGATAGGACTGCAAGCCTGTTTGCAGGTTGGCCGACTTCGAGATCAGGGAAGGTAATTAAAACGAATTATTTAAGTAAAAGTGGCATTCTGGCGATAAGCGACTAATTCGTAGTCTGGTCTGTGTTTATAGTGCCACTCCGGAAATGATATCGTTAATTAAACGCAACTCATGTGGAAAGGCCTTGGAGATTGCCCGTCAGTGTCGTGACATGTTAGGTGGCAACGGCATTTCCGATGAATACCACATTATGCGGCATTCTACGAACCTGGAAACCGTCAACACTTACGAAGGAACTTACGATATCCATACTTTGATCTTAGGTCGGGCAATAACTGGGCTTTCGGCGTTTGCATAAACGGCCTGATAAATTGTCCCAGTAGTTGTGCCTTTGCTTGCCGGTGAAAATTTGCTTTTTAGTCAAAATTTTGAAATTGCAGTTATTTGGTTTTGTTTGCTCACAAATTTGTATTAACCTGTTTCTGTGTGATCAGAGTAGAATACGTACTGTACTTGATTTAAAAATTAAATCACTGGGATTATGTGGCCTGGATTCAGAAAATGTTCTGTCGGCAAGAAGGTGGACGACACGTTTTGTGTGCTGAAGTACATACTGTCATGCTTGAATTTATGCTTCTCCAACGTCCCTGCGAATTAACCATTAAAGTGTCCTCTAAAATCATTGGACAATGACACATAAGTGCTATTGTAACAAATTATTTTGTTTAACCGACTTTGTTATATTAACATGATGAATTCAGCGTAGCGGTTCGGCTCGACTTCTTATGAAAGTCTTATTCCTGGCTGAAGAGAATGCTCGTACTCGCAAGATATTTATTCAAGACTCAAGTATGCGAACATAACTCCCTCGCAACATTCTTCAATCAACAAGTTTTCACAATGGTGACAAGTGAGGCGAGTTAGTACATCGATGAAATCTTGCGAGAAAACATTTTTTCAAGATAGAAAACACTACAGTACTCGTAGACACCAAAGCACGTAGCGATCTTTTAAAACACCGCAAATTCAAGATTTGCCCTCTATTACTTTCGTCAGCAAACTGGAGCTGAACCAGTGTGGTCTCTTTTGTGGCACATGTGCCGGCTTCAAACCCTTGGCCTTTTCTGGATCCGCAACTTCGCCTTCATAAAGCACAATTACTTCTTGACTGTGAGGGATGCGCTCTTCGATATTCATCGCCTTTTGAATCGCTTGAGTTTCTTTTCGAACGTTTCCATAACAATTTCCTACATTTTTTAAAGCCAGAGAAGAATAATGAAATCAAAAAATTCACAAACGAGATTCCTAGATACCGTCATGCTGTTATCGCACTACATCATACATGAGGTTGCTATACCCGTTGTCGGACCTTCTCCAGTCTCGACTTACCACATATAGTGTCAGCCTCATAGGGATGTCCGCAGTGCAAGCATGTTAGGATATCTTTTCGGGGCAACCAGTACTTTATATGGTTGTGTGAAAACCAACGTCGATGTCGTGTCTGCTTGGTAACGCGGTGTTTTGGTACACCCCAAACAAATCCATCTTTCAAAGATTCCAGAAATGTGGAGTTTGACATCAGCGGTGCTGTTTTAACACTGAGTGCTGCAGGTGGAACCACGTCCAGACCGAAGGTTAACTGATTCCCTAGAACGAACATAGTACAGTTATACAATATAGCATAAAAATAGCTTCGAATCTAACAAGTACAAGAAAAGGATTGCATACCTGGAGGAGGGAACAGTCTGGAATTTAGAGTGTCGAGTAAAAACTGCAGTCGGCGAGTGACTGTGCGCAGTGATGCAATCATCATGACCGATAGGCAAAGTAAGAACTGTCAAAAAATATCAACTTGTGTAGCACACTGGTTAAAGTTACGATCAAAATCATAAGATAAAAAATATGGTTGGCAACAGTTTAAGAAAAACCTACTGGGTAAATGGCGGTGAACAATCAAAAAAAAACTTGCGATTTATAGTAATCTGCGAATAATTTATTCGCATCTGTGGACCCGCATTCCAGCAGACCAAGCAAACCAGAACTATTATATCAATCACCAGGGGCGGTTGTATTAAACATAAGTACAGCCCCAGAAGTTTCGCATCTCCAAATGTTATCCCTCGTCTCGCTGCGCCTATTTTTGATTTTATTTTTCCCTCTTTTTGGTTTCAGTTTTCAACCTTTGAAGGTTGAACTCAACGAACTAGCATAAAATTGAAAAGTTCAAAGTTGGCCTTTTGGCTGCTATGCTAATTTGCTGCCCATTGCAATTTCATTTTTTAATTTAATATTTTGTTTCCCATTTCGTTTCCAATGTGACTTTTCTTTTTATTGACTTTTTGCGACCTTCTACTTGTTGTTCCGGTCTGCTTAGCCATGCCTCCTTTAATGGCAAGAATTCCACTGCATTCTCTTTTTACCCGTTTTCTCCGATTCTATCCACCGTACCTGGGCGCCGGGATAAAGGTAACGAAATGTGCGGAGGACATGAGTTATTTGAGGGTTGAGATGGGCCTGCATAGATGGAATGCGAACTATGTTGGCACACAGTTTGGCGGCTCATTGTACTCGATGACTGATCCCTTCTACATGCTAATGTTAATCAACAGACTGGGCCGAGATTATGTTGTATGGGACAAAGTTAGTACGATTCGTTATCTGAATCCCGGAAAAGGCAAAGTCTTTGCGGAGTTTCATTTGCCCGCTGAAGAAGTGCAGCGCATTCGGGCAGAAGCCGATGCCAATTATAAAACAGAGCCTGTTTTTAATGTGAAGATCTTGGATGAAAAAGGAGTAACAGTAGCGGAGCTTGACAAAACGATTTACGTGCGACGAAAAGACCGGACGAAAAAACCAAAACAAGACCTGGCTGCTGACGCAGCAAGTTGATTTGAGAATTGTTTGGTATTTCAAGTACGTGCCATATCTGTTGCTCCACAGTTTTGCATTGTAATTTGGCTGTGCTGTTCAAATTATTTTGTCTAAAGCAATAATTTTATTTGTAGTTAACTTTCTTATGCCTGTTTCCTAACAGGTTTCTCACTTCTCATTTCTAGTGGCAGAGAATTTCATGAAAGTGTAAATTGAGATTTGTTCAAGATGCAGCTGCTGTTACAAGTCATTGGTCGGTTGTTGATTACCCGTACATGGTTTTATTAATTATAATAAGACAAGGACACGTAAGTAAGTAAACTATTAATTTATCACTCACTGCATCAAGGATGATTGCAGAATGATAGAATATTAAAGAATATTAATAAAAACACTCACGAAAATTTTTGGGGTGGTTACTACTGGTTAATGGTTGCTTCAAATTGTGAAGTACGGTCTGAATACCGTATATCGTGTTCGTATGTTTTGAATATTGTATTTATCAATAGAAATATATGGATATACAGATCATATCTACGTATAAGCTCTCTACATGTGCGTGTATCTGAAAGACCCGCAGTTGCAAAAAGCTTCATGCAAATTTTTTATTTAAATAGATTTTGTTATTATTTTTCGGTAATAGACTCGAGATCTTATTATTTAAATATGAAGAAGTTAACAGTTATTATGTTTATGCATGCAGCATGGTGACCGTGATAATCTCGCTTTAGGGCGCTTTTCGAATAGAAAGGAACCGCTTAACCAGGCCATTTGATCGACGTAATCTTCACGTAAGTAAGTACATTATTAATGGTGTCTGATAAAGATACCCACTAACAGCATGCGCAACATTTATTGCCAACATTAGTAATAATCACTAACAACAATCTTCTAGTGAGAGGCTTGTTACTCTACAGTTCAGACATCTATAATAAATGAATTCTCTACTGTTAAGTAAGTTTAAATAAACACTCGTACTTACTGCCTGTTGGTTACTCCTGGTGCAACGAACTATGAAAACGAAACAAATGATAAATATCTTATCAGGGCTGATAGCGGTCATAACACTGATTACAGTGATTAAAAGACAGCACGGATATCAAAGCGCAGTAATAATTAATATTAATTATGCAGGTCACCGTATTATTTCTGTGTCACAAATACAATTTGTTGATTTTGGAGCAGTTACTGTACTGTACTCTGTACTGTGTCAGTTATACCAAAACTTTAGCTCTTCTACCAAAACTCTAGCTACTTGCTAACACTGCCACTGGTAACGATTGCAGCCGGTTTTTGACTATTCTGGATGGGGAAAATGCTAGCATTTCCGGTTCTGGATCGGCGTATATTTTGGCTGTTGCTGGCGATTGTTTTTTCTCAGGTTTGATAATTGTTTTGCAAAGGTGATAGTTTCTTTCATTTATTTTGAAGCGTTTGTTATTAAAACAGATTGATGTCGTGATTAATCGGTCTTTCACCGTTGGTCACAAATGCTTCCTAAAGGATGGCCAACCTTTTCGGTATGCTTCCGGGACAATGCACTACTGGAGAGTCCCGTCCGAGTACTGGGAGGATGGCTTCTACAAAATGCGGGCTGCTGGATTACTGGCCGTTGACACGTAAGGCGTAAGGGCTAACAATAAGTAGACCTTGAAAATTCGGTATTAGGTATAATGGTTCTGTCTATTGGCTTGTACGGAATACTGTTTTGAATTCTCTTGTAGTTTTCGAATTTTTTTCCTGCCTTCTTTACTGCTGCTATCTACGAACAAATCTGTTACAGTATTCGCAAATCTATTTTTGAAGTCTCTCATATGAATTTCAGAACTGCACGTCTGTACATTATAAGGCCTTGTATTGCACTCTTGTCGTTTTTAGGTATGTTATTTGGAGTCTACACGAGCAAGAACCGGGTGAATTTCGCTTCGACGGAATGCTAAATTTCACGCGTTATTTCGAGCTGGCTCAAAAACACGATTTACTGGTCATTCTGCGAGCCGGGCCGTTTATTGCTGCGGAAGTTGATATGGTTAGCGACGCTATATTGACCTCAGCCTTAAATGACTGTCCTATAACATTGGTACATTTTACAGGGTGGTCTACCTTATTGGCTCTTGCGGAAGAATCCCAACATGGTCTTACGAAGCACGGATCCAACGTATCTCTATTTTGTTCAAAGATGGTACGATGTCGTTCTACCGCTGATAAAGCCGTATCTGTATGCTAATGGAGGTCCCATCATAACCGTTCAGGTCAGTGTTATATATCTGTAGTACAGTACCTATTATGATACGTATTTTCTATAAAGTACAGTAAGAAAATTTCATGCCGGAATCTTATTACTGTATATGGGTATGTCATTAAACGAGTACATCGAATCGCCTCCGTGAATATATGAAGTTGTTCTCGATTCTGAATTGTTTCGTTGTGAAGTTCGCTTGCTCTGAGCAAGAACTGTGAAAATTTGTAATCTGCTACACTCTGAAAGTTTGGCATTTGCTGAGAAAATGAGAAAGTTTTTTAATTTGAATGAAAATTACTTTATGGTACCATCCTCGTCTTTTGTTTGTTGTACCCTTATGGTTAGGTACATCGATATTCTTGTCTCCTTTTCAGGTTGAAAATGAATATGGAGCATATGGATGCGATATCAAGTACATGAACACACTGCGCGATATGTTTCGGAAAGTACTGGGCAACGATATCGTACTTTTCACTAATAATGATGCAGAAGATGGTTACTTAAAATGTGGACGTTGTGACGGCGCTTTGATAACCGGCGATTTCGGGACTCCGACTATTTCGGGAAATAACGTTACATATTATGTCAACAATCTGGAAAAGTGGAATCCGGATGGACCACTGGTGGATTCCGAGTTTTATGTTGGATGGCTGGATGTGTGGGGATCACCATTTGCTACCGTACCCACCAGTGAATTGATAGAAAACAGCAAAACATTGCTGGATCGCAACGTCTCCTTTAATTATTACATCTTTCGTGGTGGCACTAATTTTGGTTTTAATGCTGGAGCTGGTGAAGGACCGTATCAACCGGTGACTACCACTTATGATTTTGACGCCCCTATCACGGAATGGGGCGATCCGACTGAAAAGTATTTGGCCATCCGGGAATTACTTGGAAAAGTAAGCTCAAACCGGCATTGTTCCGCTGTAGTTGAATTTGTCAGGTTTTTGTAATGGTTAATTGTGTCACAGTTCTAGATAGATGGACGTCGTGGTTTCTATGTAGATCGATTGTGTCACGCTTTCTTAATATATTTAAGAGAAGCTTAATATATTTAAGAGAAGTACGCATCTCCAACAAAGTAAGTGGAATTTTCAGCTGTTCCTCTATTGGGCAATAATGTTATCAAATCTGAGCGTACAATTTTTGCATTAACCGCTGTTCGCCCCACACGTTAACCGAAACAAAACATTTGCTCGGTTTGTTAGTACTTCCCGTTGCCACCGGGACCTGTGCCACAGCCATCGCCCAAGGGAGCATATGGCCCAGTACAGTTATCTTACGTCGGCAATGTCTTCAATGTGCTGGAGCAGTTGTGCCCGGAAGGGCCGGTTTACTCTCAGTATCCGATGTCTTTTGAGATGCTGAAGCAAGGTCACGGATTTATTCTGTACAGGAATGTAATCACTAAGAAATTCCGAGATCCCGCTAAACTGTCCATTCCCGTGGTTGAAGATCGAGCTTATTTTTTTGTCGATCAGGTTAGGAGCGTTTGATTGCATGGCTTAACCGTTTATTCACTTTATTGATTATCAACAACTTAGCACTCTTGTGTGATTTGTTGAAATTTAGGAACCGGTGGGCATGATCGATCACGGAGTAGAACTGTTCTCGATCAGTATTTCTCTCGAACCCGGCCAGACTTTGGATATTTTGGTACAGAATGGCGGACGAGGACGCTTTTATCCGACAAATAATCCTAAAGGAATTCTGAGCAATGTGACTGTTGATGGGCGGAACCTCACTAAGTGGGCAATGTTTCCACTGCATCTTCCTCATTTTCCTGCAGCAAATTTTCGTCCATCTCGAATCTTGGAAATTCGTAACGAATATCGGTACAAACCTGGTGCGGCCTTTTATTCCACAGAGTTTATGATTGATAAAGCATTGGACACATTTCTGAAAATGGACGGATGGACTACGGTAAAGCTTCCCAAAACAGAATTACAACGCATCAGGATTCTCTTACGTACTCTAGTATTTCTGTAGGGTTATGCTTTCCTTAATGGACGCAACTTAGGACGATACTGGCCCGGACAAGGACCGCAGGTATTAAATTGTTGTCGAAAGTCTCTGCTGATGACATGTGAAAAACGTCCGTTTACTAGCGAGTTTTGCGTGCCCAATGCATTTATTGTTGTTGCAAAGCCATATTGGTGGGTTATTTATTTTACGGTGCCGGGTAAGCGTTGAAAAATATTTAGTTGATACTTGTACTTTTTTAACTATGCATCGGCAGAAAGATAACGAAAATAAAAAGCACAATGATGATGCATAAAATTTTTGTGGATCGATTAGGTTACGCTTTATGTCCCCGGCGTCTTTCTTCAAGAAAAGAAGCCGAATGTTTTGGAAATTTTTGAAATGGAAACAGCTCCATGCTCCCAAGCGAATACCTGCATCATGGAGTTTGTGGATACTCCGATTATAAACGGCACCGTGCCGGCGATACATGCAGCTGACAAATATAGACAGCGTTTTCCACGCAAGTATTAATCAGGTAAAAAATTAAAAGATCAATACTTTAAAATTTGAATTTAAGGATAGATTTAATTTTTTCTCGTAATAATTTAGTACTTTATTTTTTTTTTTGAAAAAAAAATCCAGTTAACAGGTAGCTGTGTAACATAAAAGGGTACGAAGTACGTTCTCTTCCTGAACGATATTTTCTTATGACAGCCAACGACTCTTGCATAATCCCTGTAACCCGATTTCTTCAGTCTTTGGCGATTACCCAATACGTATTCATGGGTCCTTTGCCCTGCAAGCAGCAAACCGTCATGAGGCTTTTGCTATAGTTTTACCGTAATTATCGAATTTGTGGCCCTGGGGTACAAATAGTTCGAAGGCTATGGCGGAGGGGGGCTTATTTCGGGGAGGGGGCGCAATTTCGGGGGGTGGCATTATTTTTCGAACGGTATTTTTTGGGAGGGGGCATTATATTTCAAACAACTTCGCATCCAGTTCTAGTGGACCTGAACGCAGTAGTTACCGGTATACGCAACAGCGCAACCTTCCCTGCAACATTTTCGAGCGTATACTCAGGCCTATGTACACCTTTTGCCAACGAATACCGCATTATAGTGATATGCGTTTGTGTTTGCTCATAAGCACAACAATTTTTAAAAAGCATTTGCGATACACCACTCATTTTGCAGCGCTTGACATTTAATAACGGCCCCCTGGGGCGTAATTTCGGGGGGTGGCCTTATTTTTCAAACAGGGTCGGGGAGGGGGGCTTATTACAGGGGGGGCTCTTATTGCGGGGGGAGCCACAAATTCGATAATTACGGTATATTACTGCGTACACCCGTACCATTTCTGGAAAATGAAAACATACCTTGACATTTATTTCTCCGCGCGGCAGTACAACGAAACCTCCAATCTTATCCAAGAGTTCTTTAGTGTTTTCGCTGCATTGAATTTTTCCAGCTGGAAATTTTGTTTTTAGTACTTAAAAAAATTTTCTTATTGTTTAGCTTACGTTCGCCATGTGATTCCATTCTGCTGGAAGTGTTGACCGTATCGCCGAATCTACGAAGCCAGAACAGTAGTCCAGAATTTCGACGTCTGCGGTTATTTAATCCTCTAAAAATACTATCTTACAAACAATATCTTGGCATTTTGGTTCCGATAATGGCAGCCACACACGACCCTGTATGAATTTTTCGGTTTAGTTGCTATTGTTGTGCGCGTTTTTATATTACGCTGTCGTAGTACTTTTTACCAGAGTGCAGTCCCACGCGTAGGCGAAGTTTGGGTGTGGAGGCTGTGCTATTTCGAAATGTTAGAAAGCCGATATCTCGCTTCAGATAGAGAGCCATGGTAGCGATTTCACCAGCATGTTTGATCCCATTGCGAACTGGTAATCCGCTTACGACCTTAGACGAATACAAATTACTTGCATAATGATTTCACTTCTCACTTTACTTTTAGCCGGCAGCAGACTTTACCAAATAGGCATCCTGAAATTAAACCAATAATTACGTAAGAATGTTGAAGTTCAAATGCACTGTTGTTACTGTACTTTGACAGTTTCCACTTTGTAAACGTCAAACTTCTCAATAACTGCATCGCATGTAGCGTAAAGAGTGTTCAAGATGTACACAGTATCCGCCGGTGTTTCGGCTTGTAAGATTAATTCAGGAAATCCTTCAATATCGCTGAATCGGAAACAAACATAAATTCGTGCACGAACAGTGATAATTTGTGTTAATGCAGCAGAAAGCTTACCTAAAATGTACAGTTGTGCTGGCATATGTTTCTGGAAGGATTTGTTTTCCTTGAGTGAGGGCTTGGGCAATAGTTCTGCAGAATTAATTTTCTGCTGAAAACCGGTGCGAAATGCTGATTGGTTGCTGGTTTCTAATTTGCATAGCTGCAGCATTTTGGCGTAACTATTTCATAATACAGATCATAGAGAAACATTTTTTCGGCACTCAAATTTTTACTAATGTGGTTTATCTTCTAGAAAAATCGTTAGTTGTTCTAAAGTTGGTGCACTTATGGGGGTGCTTAAATAGTCAAACAAAACAATCGGCGTCGCATCTTGTTGTTCTGCTTATTTACTTTGGTAAAATTTGGCTGAGAATTTCATCTGAACGTCGCTTTTCTTCCAGCATCAGATGCATTTTCTCTTCCGCCTCTTGTTCTAAACTGGCTGCCTCTTTTTCCATCATATGCTAGAACAATAATTCATTATATCCGCGCTGGACAGTTTAGGTTAAAGTTATGTTCAAGTTTCAAGTAAAGGTCAAGTGCACTTCTGTTTACAATTAAGTGTTCAACAATGCTGTCACCGGAATGGCCGAACAGTTGTGCGAAATTCTCACGAAGGCGTTGAAAAGTTGGTCGAACAGATGGCATCTCGTCCCAGCATCGTTCGAGAATGTCCAGTAGAGCAGTTGGACATGAAGAATTTGGTACGCGTGGCCGCAGTGGTGGGTTCGAACCTCGCTTCACCTATACAGTTTTTTTCACTTTGCTTTCTAGTCACGCAAAAGCATTATTTGTTAAAAACTGAATCGCTTATAGACAACGGATTTTGCATGTGCAGTTGTGTTCGCATAAGCATACTAAATTAAACTGAGCTAAAACGTAGCGGTACAATTGTTTTGATCGGTTCAGAATTATAATTCAAACTTGCCTCCATAATAATATCTCGCGAAGAAAAGTCGTCGCCTCCTGTTTTTGGAATGTTATTATTGCGGTACGGCGGGCTTCGGAGAATGACTTGTTGCAGTACGATTGCGAAACTGTAAACGTCTCCTATCGAAAATGACTTTTCTCTTTGATGTAGGCACATCACGAAGTCGCAGCTTACCTTTCTGTACCAAAGCAAATCAGGTTATTTTTTGTAGTTTGTACTTACGCGTGGTTTTTTATTGTTACTGTACTAGCCGGTATCCGTACCTGGGTGCCTTCAGGTGGCATCCGCACACGCAGTAATTCTAAATATAAAGGTGGTTAATTGAAAAGTATTTCTTATGAAACTCAAAGCTTTAAAATGTTGTAATTGTGGAATTTAGTTATCTTTAATAGGAACTGAGCTATTGTTTACATTGCTTAATAAGCCTCAATGTGTATTACTGCTTGGCGAACCTATGATTCATGACAGTAAAGGCAGTAAAGTTGTATACCTGGTGCACGCCATAATAACATATCGAAATCTCTCTCCAGATCCACTTCCGATACCGGACGTAAGTCTTCCGCATTGCGCATTATCCCCATTCCATAGTCTGCGATTTTCAAGACGAAACTACTATCAATTCGACAGGTGTGAGCATTGAGATTTCCATGTGATTGGATAGCGCTGGCATGGAGATACGTCATTCCCTGCAGTATGTACTGCCTTTTTAAAAACCATATCTTTCAAGATCTTTTTGTTAAATTTTGTTATTACGCTGGCCATGTCTTTGATCAAGGAGTTTTTGAAATTCCAGTCCAGATTGAATTTAGCATTATCCAGCAGCTGGTTAAGGCTCCCTTTTGAGCACGTTTCGCCCACAAAATATTCACAAAGCTGTTCATCATTGACGGCAATTGCAATAAATTTTTGAAGATTTCGATGATCGAGGCGTTTGATCTGCATGAAACGTTACGATAGCACTGTTGTTCTGTTTTATTTCGCTTTGTTTGTTTGTTCGTTTATTTTACCGCGTCGAAATATGGGCGAAGTCCGGGACTGCCTTTTAATAATGGCTTCTCTAGTTGTCGCAGTTCCACGGTATTTCCACCGAAAATGGCCTCTTGGCGATATGCGAGTGGATCGGGGCCACGTCGTCCCGGCTTCCCGTCCTCGCCCTTACTGTCATTCTGTAACCGGTAGTATTAGTGTATATAAGTCCAGTTTCACTTTGACAGAATTTCACAAATAAAATAAATCAAGCACTTCCCTTGGCATTGTACAGATACTGCTCTAGCTTTATAGATAACATAGTATGGCGCTCCATAAATACTAATGTAGTCACAAACTTACAATATATAGATATGGTACATACCAGGCCGGACAACTTGCTTTTGCTGACTGTCGATTGAAATACGGAAGCGCTAGTTTGTGTTCGGCTTGTTGCGGTGGTAAAACTCAGTTCTGATACAAATATTCTCCACCAGAAAGGGTCGATGGTGCTCGCATAGATCCTATCAATTGGACCACATACATATCAAAAGTTTCACGACGTTAAGGTAGTATGACGATGACCTTTGGAGAAGTATAGTCGCGATGATTACACAAGCCGTCAGCACAATTAGTGGCACAACGACGGCGGCGGCAATTTGTCCGGGTGTTATTTTTTCTATATGGAAACGGAGAAAAGGAGAAAATTGTTGAAATTGTTGAAATACTTGAAATACATCTTATAATCATTTCAACCGAGTAAATTGGTTTGGGTTTTAAATCCGAAAGTTACCAGCCGCGCATTTTGGATCCTCTCCCAGATATCCGCATCGCGGACGATTAGGCGGCAGTGTTCGTCCTTTCGGCCAGTTTAGGATTCCCAACTGGTTGCTGGGAACCGCATTACCGGCTGGGTAGTGCCATAGATCCTGCAGCGTTAGGTCTTATTAAATGTTATATTTGCAGTTTGTTGAAGTATTTTCAGTTTTAATGTGCATAATAATAAGGAATTTTTATGGTAAAATGATCGGTGTTATATTTTACAGGAACTGAATCACCTCAAACTTTCCTTGGTCGTAGTCGAAATTTCTTATTACATATTCACTTGTGCGGTCTCCATTGTCGTCCAAAAACACGTGACCATTAATAGGACTGACAAAACTATAGTTGTGAAGAATAAGATTGAACATTTGATCGGCATTTGTGTAATCTTTCCCTGCGTTGACAAGATTGGCTACCAACGAGGCATAATATATTATGGAATCGTAAAAATGGCTGACTAACACATCAACCTGTAAGAGTCATTTCGTGCATCGTTATGCATGTGACTATTTAATGGATATTCGTACATTATTGAAAAAGTTAGTTTAACTTACTTCTTCATGCTCCGAATAATTGTAATACCCTTTCTTAGCAGATTCTTCTTTAACTCTCCGCGCAAAATTTGCATACTCTCGGTCGTTACGGTTGTGCAGCGTGATAAGGAGCAGGGTTCGGTAGGCTTTCCTAGCTATCTGTAATATGAGAGACCTTTTGGTGCATGAAATATAACAGGAAACTTTACGTTCCGCTGCTTTATAAAACAATTTTTACTGCGTTGTTTCCATCATGATCAGTTCCATTGTAGTTTGAATAATCTCCCCAATAAACATTTTGCCAGAGTTCCACCGCGATGAATAACTAAAAATTCAAACGTCACTGCAATTAATCATGCTGCTCACTGCTAAATGAAACTTCAGTCGGTTGACTACAAAGGATAAAACGGAGCACTGTTCAGTTCATAAAGAGGTTAATCGTGATTAAAACATTATATAAAACATAAAATGTATTTTTATCAGACACTTAACAACATCATGGCCGTGAAACTGAATTTGAATTTAGCCTTCGCTATCCTCAGCCTTACATAATCTCCGCTGGTTAGTCCCAGTTTTTGGGCCATAATCTAAACAAAAAAATTATTATTGTGTTAGTCGTGACCTTTGTCACGTTGACCGTTACTACATTCACTACTCCAGTTTCTTACTAGAAAACGTCGGACGACCTTGGAGTGTGTGATGAAAACGAATACTGAAAAAGCCAAGTTAGCCAACGTTGTAGATCTGATATTAAGTTTACGAATGTGGTAATCGGTAGCGACGCCAGTACCACTACCCACCGACCTACCTCTGGATCTGGGAGCCGCACTTTTCAAGTACTCCTGAACTCTGGCATCACTCCAGTCGCTATTATTAATTTGTTTCCAGTCAGATCGCGTGTAGATATCAAATTCTTCATTGGCAAAAACCGTGCGAATAACGATGCTGAGGTGCTTAAACATCATTACAGTCTGATCTTGCAGGAACATGATGGATGTGTAGTTATGCTCGCGGAAAAAACGGAGCAGTATGTGCGCGGTGTTTATATGTGTAAATGATATTCGTGTGATATACGCATACTCTTCGATCGGACCTTGTGTCCCCACACTTGCTGCCTGAAACGTCATACATAATTAGCAACTTTATTAGCCGACAATGTTTTTTACTAAATTTCTACCGAAAGGCAAAACGATTGCGAGGTTTTAAATAACATTTTACCGGGCAGCCAATCATCGGTATTTTGTAGAAGTCCGTAACGTCGTATAAGCTTTCTGCTCCGTATCCACATCCTATGTGAAGATACAAGTATCGTATAATCCTAATACACAGATACCTGTGAGGAACTGCGTACGTTTATTGATACGTGCATCGTGCTGATATTTTATTGACCTTTAGAGCTTTAAGTTTACCTGGTCCAATGATGACGTCACATATATAGCCGGTATCAATCATGTTCAACATCATTGCAGCCAGATGATTTCTTTCCCTGCATTCGGTTCCAATGTCGATGTGCTGCATTGAGAGTTTAACTTTTTGTGGCATAATCAGTTCATTAGCATATTCGAGCGCGAAATCCATGGCAGCGGCGGCCTTTTCGTATCCGTAATAAGTGTGACCGGCTAAATCGCGTTCAATAAACAAACATGCTCGCAGCTGGTGGATATCGGTTCTTGCTTCGTAAGCTTCCGAAGAATAGTTAGACTGCAGATGGAGTTCTGAAGTTTTCCTGGAATCCACTTTCTCAAAAACTCCAAAAAACAGCAGTGCCGTGAATTGTATAAGAAATACCGAGGGGAAACAATAAAACTTAATGGAACTACACATAGCGGGAAATATAAGACGTTCCTAGCTGTTAACAATCTACTGAACTGTAGACGGAACCCTTTCTGGATACACTTATATGGTTTGCTGCTATCTCTCATATGCCGTAAACGGATTTGCAGTTGTACTGCTGAATCTGGCATGTGGTAAAATATTTTATGAGCAAATGTGTTCTGTTCTGTCTTTTGGGATCATTTATTATCATCACTTACTTCGTAAACGGTGTGGCAGGAATTACTGTTGCAGCACATTTCTGAGTGAGAAAAATCTATAGATGGGGTTGGTGTTATTATTTGCATTGTATGCTATATAAAACTGCATAGTCCTTTGCAAAACACTTCTGTCGCTTTTTACAGTGCTTGAAGATATCTTCTGGGATTGTTTGAAGCCGAACATAGTAGCAGGAGCATAGTGTTCTACTTTTCCAGCCCTACATTTTCTGTATCGAAAAGCACTTACTAATCTGATGGTAAACGAACTGAATTTCGTTTCTAGTGTTTGTTGTTTCAAACCACGACAAAAGGGCTTAATCGATGGTTCCTGTAAATATGTCGAAATTGAACGAGAAGATTTTGCGGTACGACAAATATGAGAGACACCCATACAGGCCAATGGAAATTTCGTAATGCAATGCAGAACCCACATATGCCGTACGAACGATTTTTTAGAAATCCATGCTTACTAAATTACCGGGTTGTCTAAAAGCTTGTCCAATAAATATAGAATTACACGAGGTAACATGATTGTAAATTATAAATTATTTTAAATTATTTAAATTAAATGTCAAAAGATTGAAAATACTTATATGCTTGATCTTGATATCATTAAAGATGAAGTATTTGATCATGAAGGTATGCTTAAATGCGGGATCTTGTCTTAAAAGATCGTTCATAATGGAGGTCTGGATGTGTAGGCTTGTAAAAGCTCTTTATATATGCAATGCAATAAGTTATCAACTGTTTGCTATTTTCTGCAATATCGGAGCAGACGGAAGTTTCTTGTTTGTGTTCTGCAACTACCGTTTTATTTTGTTGATTCGGTTAGGGAAGCTACACCAACTGCCCGAAGTTTATTGTCGCATTTGTAGTGCATGGTGACAGCATATTTTATTCTGTACTTCACGAACTCGCTGTGTTTAGGATTAGTTGACCTTTCCTTCTTTACCATATATGTATTTCTTTACCCTTTCAAACTATGGATGAATGAAATGATTATGCATTCGTATTTTCCTTTTTTACAAAAAATTTAACAAGTGTGACGTTATTAAAAGAATGATATAATATGCTGTTGATCCTTTATACTGCAGATTGTTCCTTTGATCTTATACGAGTGAGCCATTGATTAGACGCACCGCATTCTCGTAACTTCACAATAGTTATTTACTGGTATAGATAGGTATTCATTTCATCGGTTTAGATACTGCATAGCTTTTGCTACCTTTGCAGTACAGAAAAACAGAATACATACTTCAAGTATACTAATTATAACAAGTTTCGTCACGGTCATGTTCGTGTTACTGATCTGCGGACACAGGGTGTCATGGATTAGTGGGTAACATTGCTTTCCAAAACAAAACCGGCTTGCATAAAGCGGTTGAGGTAACAGTTTACACTTTTGCCTTGCTAACGACGAATATTGTAAGCGTCTTTACAGCGGAAAATAAGGACAATAATAATCGACTGACTGCATCGCGTTGCATTTGCGAAGTTGTGATTGGTTAAAACTTTCCAATCCCATCGATAAAAGTCGTTCTTGAATGACCTTTTATACCACGCGCTGTCATCCAGAGATTTAGTCTTTCGCGATTACCCAATAAGTGTTCATTGGTCCTTTTCCCTGCAAAAGCCATTGACAAAAACTGTTTATTTTACGCAAGTATATTGAAAAGTTTGTAAGAGTTTGAAGTGGAACCTTTCGCTACGTTTAGTGTATAGTGTGTATGTATGTCTAGTACTATGTAAGTAAGTATCGTACTAATCCTTACTACTACATAAGTAATAAAGCTAGATGTACCATTGCAGTATTTACTTTCACATTGATTTCTCCGCGTGGTAAAACTACGAAGCCTCCAATTTTGTCCAAGAGTTCCTTTGTGTTTTCGCTACATTGGATCTTCCCCGCTAGAAAGTTAATTTTTTTATGTCAGTTTGTCTCTCAAAAAACGCACATAACATTACGTTCTCCGTGAGATTCCATTCGGCTGGAAGTGTTGACCGTATCGCCGAACCTGCAACACCCAACATTGTTTTAAAGGTTACCGCTGCCGAAAGCTGGATTGTATGTAGTTCGAAAATGTCCTACAGGCAGTATCTTGGCATTTTGGTTCCAATTATGGCAGCGACACACGATCCTGTAGAATTTTAAAGTGATAGCCATCTTAAACTGTGTTGTACTCGTATGAATTCTGATAACTGTTATTCTTTAGATAGTGAATTCTAAGACTTATACCAGAGTGCAGTCCAACGCGTAGGCGAAGTTTTGGGGTCGAGGAAGTGCTGTTGCGGAATGTCAAAAAGCCGATATCACGTTTCAGGAAAAGCGCCATGGTGGCAATTTCACCGGCATGTTTGATTCCATTGCGAATTGGCAAACCGCTTACAACCTCAAATTAAAGCCAATGTTTCAGTGAGAATAAAATCATTTCTTTGGTTTTATAGCGGTGTATAGCTTTACCAGATAGGCATCCTGAAACCAGAAAAAAATCAGTTAACATAAACGTTTCGGGAATTCATATCATGAATAGTACTTTGACGGTTTCCACTTTGTAAACGTCAAATTTTTCGATAATGGCATCGCAAGTGGCGTAAAGGGTATTCAAGATATATACGGTATCCGCTGGTGTTTCGGCTTGTGTTATCAATTCAGGAAATCCTTCGATATCACTAATTGCAAAGAAATATTATGGTTACAGAATATTACTGGTAGTCAGCGTAAAAAACCGGCGCACCTAAAATGAACTGTTGTACTGGCAAAAGTTTCCGGCAGAATTTGTTTCCCTTGAGTCAAGGCTTGTGCAATCGTTCTATAAAAAGAAACCTTTACTGCAATTTGTTTGCCTTATTTCTCGATTATGTCATCGGAGCGACGCTTTTCCTCCAGCAGCAGATGCATTTTTTCTTCGGCTTCTTGCTCCAAACTGGCTGCTTCTCTTTCCATCATGTTCTGAAACAATACTGTTTCGAGTTTTGGTCGGATCTTATGCAGGAGAATAAGTTTTGCAAAAGTATTACTATCAGATGTTCAACAATGCTGTCACCAGAATGACCAAATAACTGCGAGAAGCTTTCTCGAAGACGTTGGAAGGCTGGTCGCACCGACGGCATTTCATCCCAGCACCGTTCTAGGATGTCCAGCAGCGCTGTTGGACAAGAGGATGTCGGTACACGAGGCCGCAGTGGAGGATTAGAGCCTCGTTTCACCTAGTAAAGTGCGAAGTTTTAAATAACATGAATACAAAATAAGTATCGCTTAATTTCGTCATACAGATCTAGACAGGCAGCGTAAATTACAATTTTGTAACCTTATAAGTTGAAAGCAACGTTGAATCTACTGACCTCCATAATAATATCACGAGAAGAGAAATCATCGCCTCCAGATTTAGGAATGTTATTGTTTCGATATGGCGGGCTCCGTAAAATTACTTGTTGTAATACGATTGCGAAGCTGTAGACGTCCCCTGTTGTAAAAACTGTTTGAACCTGGCTACGTTAGCATGAGCAGGAAACGGGATACCTTTCTGAAAAAAAAAACGAAGCGGTTATTTAAATTAACAGTACAGAAGTATACGCTACTACTGTTTCAGCACCTTTGTGCTTTTTTTAATGCGTGAAATATGTATTGCGCTGCTGCTGTATCGTAGTTTAATGCAACAACTCTATTTACCTGTGTCCCTTCCGGTGGCATACGAACCCGTAGTAATTCTGTACAACAACGAAACGCGAACAATAAGCATTAATGATGAAGGCAATGATATTTCGTTAAGTTTTGGTGGGTTTAAGTGCAGGCTTTTGTAATTTGTTTACTGTTGCAGGCTACCGCTCTTTCTTGTGTACCTGGTGCACGCCATAACAGCATATCAAAATCTCTCTCCATATCGACTTCCGATACGGCACGTAAATCTTCAGCGTTGCGCATCATTCCCAGTCCATAGTCAGCAATTTTTAGGATGAAACTGCTATCAATGCGGCATGTGTGGGCATTGAGATTTCCATGAGACTGTAGGGCACTTGCATGAATGTATGTCATTCCCTGCGAGTTTGCGATAAAAAAAACTGTGTTATGTCATAATATCTTTTCGATTTAAATTCGTTATTACGCTGGCCATGTCTTTGATTAGGGAATGCTTGAAGTTCCAGTCCAAATTAAATTTGGCATTCTCCAGCAGCTGGTTTAAACTCCCTTTTGTGCAAGGTTCACCCACAAAGTATTCACAGAGATGTTCGTCATTGACGGCGATTGCAAAAAACTTCTGCAGGTTGCGGTGGTCAAGGCGCTTAATCTGCAGAAACCATTCCGGTGATAACAGATACCGATATAAACACAAAGCTATCACAAGCTATTGACACAAGCTTTGTCTACATAAAAAAAAATTATGTCAATACCGCATCGAAGTATGGTCGGAGATTAGGACTGCCTTTTAGAAGCGGTTTATCCAACTGGCGCAGCTCTACCGTATTTCCTGCGAGAAGAGCCTCTTGGCGATATGCCTGCGGATCCGGCCCGCGTCGTACAGGTTCCGCATCTTCAACTTTACTGTCGTTATTCTGCAATTACTCAATCGTACAGAATCTCAATACATATTTTGAATTAAGGGTACTAATTATGGTTACCATGCCCGACGCGTGGCTTTTGGTAATGGTCGACTGGAATGCAGAACCGCTGGTCTGTGTCCTAGTAGCTCCGCTGGTGAAGCTCAGTTCGGACACAAACACTCTCCACCAAAACGGATCTATCGTGCTCGCGTAAATTCTGTTAAGCGAGCGGAAAGAACGTTATGCTTCCCAGTTTGCTTAACAAGTTTCGTAACAAAATTTAATATTATTAACATTTATCTGCATAGAAATGCAGATACGGGTACTTTAATCTTATATATAGCTAGTAATAAAATACTGACCTTTGAAGGACAATTGTTCCGATGGTGATCAGGATTGTTAGCACAATTAAAGGAACTACTACTGCGGCGGCAATTTGTCCCGGTGTTATTTTCTCTAATTTAGAAATTGAAAAATAACAAATAATAATAAGTAAACAATATGTCATGCCTATGTCTGTGATCTTAAAGTCGCTATACCTGGCGCACATTTTGAGTCGTCTCCGAGGTATCCGCATCGTGGACGATTAGGCGGTAGAATTTTTCCTTTAGGCCAGTTTAACGTTCCCAGCTGACTACTGGGAATTGTATAACCGGCTGGATAATGCCACAAATCCTGCGGGAAAAAACATTCCAGTAGAAAATGTAGAATGGGGATAATTTTAGTGATTTTTCAATGCAACTGCAGTTATTGAGGTTGACATGGTCAACGAAGGTCATGGTTAGGAACAAAAATTTTGTAATATTAACCAGATGGAATACCTCAAACTTTCCCTGGTTGTAATCGAAATTCCTTATAACATATTCACTTGTCCGATCTCCGTTGTCGTCCAAAAATACATGACCATTAATGGGACTTGTAAAGCTGTAGTTATGCAAAATTAAATTAAACATTTGATCGGCATCCGTATAATCCTTTCCCAGTCGGACAAGATTGGCAATCAGTGAAGCATAATAGATAATAGAATCGTAAAAGTGGCTGACTAAAACGTCAACCTGTAAAAATCATTGGCACTTTGCGTTTCTTGTTGTACTTAACAGCTGTAATGCAAATGTAAATTTGCCGATGAAGAACCTCTTCAATATACCTCTTCGCTTTCTGTGTAATTGTAATATCCTTTCTTAATGGATACCTCTTTAACTCTTCGTGCAAAATTGGCATATTCTCGGTCATTACGATTGTGCAACGTTATTAAAAGCAAGACTTGGTATGCTTTCCTGGCTATCTGTAACAAAAATAATTGGATTAACAAAATTTAGCAGGACAAACCGCTTTTATATTTGACGATCATACAGTTCTAACTTACTGCATCGTTTCCATCACTTCGAGTGTAGTTCGAATAATCTCCCCAGTAAACATTTTGCCAGAGCTCCACCGCGATGAATAGCTATAGGAGAAAGGTCACTTCAGTATTTAGCGCGGTAAATCATTTCAAGCATTTGGATTATGGTTGCAACTGATCGTAAATTAATCATGTATGATGCATGTGGTACAGTATTTAATAATTATATACAGTATTTAATAATTATATATTTAATAATTATATTAAATTATTGCACTGCATCAAATACATCATGCATCAGCAATTTTGTTGTAGTTATTTAAAATTGCAACAAAAGGTGGATTTACATAGCTCTTTTATCATATAAAATCCACCTTTAATTACAATTTTGTCTGCAGAACTCCATCTAACGGTCTTACGTATTCTCCATTGGTTAGCCCCATCTTATGCGCCATGAGCTAGATTAGAAGAACGTTGTGCTTCATTTGGGTCACCATGACAAGTCCTTATATTGACCTTTCGGATTCCACTTACCAAAAAGCGTCGCACCACTTTAGAGTGAGCAATGAGCACGAATACTGCAAAATCAAAGTTTCGACTGTACCTTTGAAAAAACTGATTAGGCTAAGAATGCTAACCAGCGGTTATTTGTCCCAAAGTTTAAGAATTTGGACTATGGATAACAATTTTGAGTTCTCACTGACCTCTGGATCTGGGAGCTGCACTTGTGAGATATTCTTGCACGCGGGTGTCACTCCACTCGCTGTTATTTATTGGCTTCCAGTCGGACCGCATGAAAATGTCAAATTCTTCGTTCGCAAACACCGTCCGAATAACGATACTGAGATGTTTAAACATCATCACAGTTTGGTCTTGCAGGAACATAATAGATGTATAGTTGTGCTCGCGAAAGAAGCGAATAAGAATGTGCGCGGTGTTTATGTGTGTAAACGATATACGTGTGATGTACGTATACTCCTCGATTGGTCCTTGTGTCCCCACACTAGCGGCCTAAAAATTCATTTTCATAATCATTCTCATAATAAAAATGTAGCCGGAAATCGTTTTTACCGGGCATCCAATCATTGGTATCTTGTAAAAATTTGTTACGTCATATAGACTTTCTGCTCCATATCCACATCCTATAAGAATGGCACAGCAAAGGTAAACTTTCGGCCCCAATGGAAAACGTGAATGAACAATTCAAAACAGTCGCATATCGTTGACCTTTAAGAAAAAGGATCGTCTTACCTGGTCCAATAATAACATTGCACACATAGCCGGTATCAATCATTTTCAACATCAAAGCAGCTAAATGATTCCTTTCCTTGCATTCGGTCCCAATATCGATATGCTTCATCGTGAGTTTGATCTTTTTCGGCATAATAAGCTCATTGGCGTAGTCCAGCGCAAAATCCATGGCCGCTGCCGCTTTTTCGTATCCATAATAGGTGTGGCCGGCGACATTTCTCTCGATAAACAAGCATGCTCGCAGTTCGTGAACTTCCGTTCGTGTTTCATAAGTTTCCCAGGAATAATTAGACTGCAGATTCAACGGAGCAGTTTTTCTGGATGCCGTTTTTCTGATACTTCCTAAAAGTAGTAGCACGACGAAATGGATAAACGGTACAGAATGAAAACAACAAAAAACAAATGAAAAGTACATTTCTTGATAGCTCGACCTATCCCTCAAACGTTAGGTCAGATGTTGTAAGCTACAAAACAACGAACTTGAACTAATCTGCGTGCCGGTATTCAACGTATTATTTACATTCAAATGAAATATGTAGAGTGATTGAGGTTTGAGTTAACACAGTTTAGGAAATTGTACTACACATGAATAGAATATTAGTTTTGCACAAGAAATGATAATAATACAGACAGCGTTCCGGCGATCCTCTTTGTATATTTTGCTGACCGATGTACAACACTTGCCCAGTTTTGTGACATCCCTTGAAGATGTTTCCAGTGTTTTGGCACCGGCAGAACTCGGATGTGCACTGTTTGCACGGTTACATTTGTGTCGTGTTTTACTTTCTGAATGCAGCATTAAACCGTGCTGTATGAATATAATGGATAAACAGACTTTTTTTCATTGCGCACCTTTTCTAGTGTTTATTGTTTCCGGTCGTAGTGATTTTATTCGATAGAGAAAGCAGGAGCTTAACGATTTACAGCAACACGCGGGTTCCCACTCCCAGTCTGACTTACAGAATTTGGTGATTAGCGCATTGGCGTACTGGTTCAGTCATTCAGTAATTGTGACGAGGTTAATATTATTAATGTTAGAGAACAAGATATCGAGCATCTACCGGTGCAGTAAATTTATTAATGATTCACTACAAGAATATACAAACGCTTTCATATACTCGTACAACCAAGTGCACGAAAGAAAACTAACAATACAAACAATTTGGAATCATGAATTCAAAATATGTCTTTGAAAATTTAATTTACTTTAGCGTTGATAATTATCAAAACTGTGGTACGAGACTTATGCGCACAGCTTGCATTTTTAAATTTATTGTCGCGGAATCCCAGATCTAGAAGTTAATAATAATGGCAAACAACATCTTTAATTTTGCTGTGTGTGAGTTCATGAACCAAAACTTCCACTGCAGTATCTTTAATTCAGCTAAGTTAAAAAAACTTAATTACCATGCAGTTCTAGTGGCAAGTGCCAGAGTAAGTAATAAAGAGACTGAAACGATCACGAAAATCACGATGCATATGAAGTATCCAGCATAACGCGTAAAGCCACTAACACATTAGTCGCCGAAGAGCAATCCCGAGGTGCCGTGTAAATAGTAAAAAAAATCGGAAGCCCGAAGATAACACATCTTGTCTTTTTTAAGACCTATTTAATGATGCCCATGACCGTGTCCATGTCCGTGTCCACCATGATGACTGTCGTGATGCTTCCCAAACAGAACATCGTGAACAATCCCGTGATGACCGTCCCGATGCGGCGGTATCGGTGAGTGGTGGTGATGGTCGTGATGCGTCGGAGGTGGCACATAGTGGTGACCGTCGTGGTGATCATGCCCGTGTCCATGTCCAGGCACAGCTCCCGCTGGATATCCCGGCGGGACATACGCTCCCGTGGGATAACCAGGCGGCGGGACGCTGCCAGCGGGATATCCGGGAGGCGGCACTGAGCCAGCTGGGTACGGAGGCTGCCAAGACATTCTTACTGTTATAAAATTAAGATAAAAAATTTAGTGAAGCAAGTTCAACTGGACAGCAGCGGAAAATATTTACTATATTAGAAATATTGGTATATCCGCACAGATATAGCTAACATGGACGAATGCACACGACTACATGGCTCTTATTGTGTTCATATCTGCAATTCAGCGTTTCGACGCATCAGCGCAGATTTGTTAATGTGGGGAACTGCCTCTTTTACAGAATAAAGTGACTCACTTTTATGGAATTGTAGAAACACTAGTTGTTATGGATGTTTAGCAAACAATATGACGAGGATGCGATAACTATGAACGATAATGAACACCTTGGTGATAACCTTCGAGGTCTACCTTGCACCTCCAAGTCTGCAACTATAGCCGGTTAATGGAACGGCACAATGCTTGACTGCCAAATGCTAATAACTGATGCTCAGCAGACGTTTTCTTTCATGAAAGCTTTATTTAATTGAATATATCTTGCAAAATTTATTATTTTTCTCGTCTGTTGAATGATATGCTATACGCATATGGATTCAAAACGGAGAATAAAAAGGAGAATAAACAATTTCGGAGAATATATAAAAAGCTGCGCAGCTCAAAAGTAGATGCATGTCGTATTTTACCAAAATAGTTATAAACCAGCGCCAGTTACACGATTTGTATATACCGGGAAGGTAGAAACTTCATTGCATGGTACCGGTGCCGAGTTAGTTAAAATGTGCTGGTCTTCACAATGCCCTTTTCAATTTGTTATGAATACAGTGCGAGTATGAATACAGTGCGACATTCAGTTTTATGTACTGCAGAGCTCTGTATATGGGACAATGCGCATACAGATATTATCGACGGCAGCCTCGATTCAGTGTGCAACTGGGTTAGGATACACCCGTTATCCCGGAGCAGGAGCAGGTTGACACACCTCATCATCGTTCGATAAGACAGACTACCTTTTCCATAAAGTATTGATTTTGCAGCCAGAGGTATCATACCAACAGCGGCTCCTATATGCGTCGGTAAATTTTATCGTGGTTTATAGTAAAGATAAGTATCGTGAAGATTTCCGAAGTTACATTTTAAACAATCACTATAGTTTTCACAGACTGCATTCCTTTCCTTCTCTTGGTGATTCGCTAGTAACGCAATGGAAAATGGCAGAACAGCATCAAAACCACGCCGGGTGCGTTTCTCAGGTAAGTTATACGGACAGTAATTACAAGTTTACAACTGTACTAAAAGTAAGTACCGTACGTACAGTCGTCATGTTTGCTGCCTTTCCCTCGTGGCCTACTCGTAGTACTCGTTTTCCCCATAATTTTTTCTTGCTCAGTATAATTATGTTCCTAATTTCAGATAGTATCGCCGATGTTGACCGAGAAAATGGCACAATACTCAAGACTATGGAGAAACAAGTAAGATACGGCTCAAAAAACACATTTTCCATTGAAACCGTACATATTTTACTTGAACATATTTTACTTAAAAAACACCCGGTACACTGTTATATATCATGATATGTCGATATCCATAGGTTTGATTATTATTTTGATAGTACTCACAGTGACGGTATCGCTAAAGGCGCTATATAATGTACAGCTTAGGACAAAATGGTCGCATACCCAACATCTCCACATTCAGTACGAATGCAGCGCAGTGCACTGTACGACTGAGTTCAAAATATCCGTTTCGTACAAGTGCACTGCACCGCTTGCGTACAGAATGCTGGGTATGGGGCTATGCGACCATTTAGTCCTACATTGTAAGCGTCGCTACTGCAAAACTGTCAAACGCAACCTTTCCAGTAGAGAACATTGAACAACTATAGAGCAATTAGAACAGTTCAGTAAAATAATGGTTAAAATGTTTTTACAGACAGAGAGTGAAGATTCTTCGTACGAATTTTTCACCAAAGATTGGTCGAACGTTGTGGCAGCAGCAGCCGGTTCGAGTACGGATCACGAAAACACGCAAGGCCCGAGTCATCTGGAATCAAAAAGGTCGATAGTCACCTACCTTAGCCCGTTTCTACTAGAGTCACCCAAGAAGGCCGGACGCGGTGAAAAAATCCTTTATTTCCCTTCATCAACGCGTCCAAAAATGGGCGAGTACCTGGAATCAACATCTCCGATTTTTCAGGAAGAACAAGGTCTATATGTGGGAAAACGACCCCAAGTGGCCACAGCCAATCAGAACGCCATGGAAAATCGGATGGTAAAGGAAAAAGCCTTTCATATGATTGACCAGGATTGGCGACTGAAAGCTCTTCCGGATCCGGCTAACTTAAAGGGCACGCGTTGCCATGTGGAACATGCTGTGGAAAGTCAGAAGAATGTGATTGTGGAGGGCAGTCCTCTGAATAACAACGCTTTAACGTTGCGCACGAACTCGGCGCAAAGGCTGGAATTAATATTGGAGATTGTGCTCGTAGAATTCTACCATCATTTCTTATTCAGTGTGGAGCATATGTTAGCACGGAGACTGCAAGACCAGTATAAAGGCTATCAGGCACTACTGGAAGAAAATCCATCCTGCTATATCAAGGACAAAATCAACGGACTGAAAATTAATTTAATTTCGTTGCAGGTAAAAAGCAAAATTCTGTAAATGACACTTTATTCTTGTAGTACAATTATTCCTAACGGTTGTACTAATAATAACATGTGATTATGTACTTGTAAGTACACCGACCAGACGTTGAAGTCCCGTTTAGCGGATTGTCTGCTCCTGATGTAATAATAATAATAATAATCAATAGGTACTCGTGTTAATGGTAAGTAATAATTATCGTGGGACTTTGGCCACCCATTCAAATAGTGCATTGACACTGCATTCGGTAATAACAAAGGCACTGTTTTGGCGTTGCGTTTTGCTGCGTAGTATTATTTTTTGTTTTTTATTTTGTAGAAACAAGCAGAAAATGGATTAAGCGACGATTTAAAAGTCAGAATTAAAATGTGCTTGCAAAGTTTGCTATCTCACCGAGAGAAACTCGATAACGCGATTCGATCCACACGGCTCGCCATGGTCGAATTACTCCGCACATGGACGCAGCTGAAACTGCTGCGCGTACGCAATGGCTTCACGTGCACACCGTTCCAGCTCGTTCTCCATTCGAAAAACCGGGATAAAACGGTGGACATGGATACTTATCACAACGACATAGAAGACGAGTTATCCGAGAAAGAAATGTTATTCATGATCAACTACAGCAGTCTGCAGGAGAATTATCGTATCCAGCTGAGTGAGTGGCAAACAAATATGGACATGTGGAAAGCCGCTTGTGAAACGGTTGAACGCAACGCACAAAATATGTCCCAATTGGCGGAAGAATTGCTCCGCTTAGCCAACTCTCCCGAGCCAGTACCCCCGGTTGCGCCAGGCCTGTTCGAATCCCGAACGGAAGCGACCCAAATCCAGGAAAGAGTGGTGCGCAGCCGCCGTCCACCCGGTGAAGCCGAGCTGATACCGGAATTGAGAAAAGACCTACTGCCCAGCGAAAACAGCGTGTGTTCCACGGGAGAACGTTTACGGCGTGCGGATCTCAGTAGGCAGAAGATCTTCTTACGTGTCGTAATCAACGAACAGGAAGTCTGCCGTACCAGCGCGTACAATTTGCACGACGAATTCAAAGTGATCATTGGGAAGAAATTCTCGTTCCTTGCCGAGTTCATACCGGAAACCATAAAAATTGAAGTGTACGAAGAACAGGGATTTTTAAACCGGCTCATTGCGGAGACATTTGTCGCGGTGCCCGATGAAAAGTGGGACGCCAGTATTGCGCCGTTTAATAGTGTGGAATTTGCCAGTGCGGACAAGGTCACTACTGGGAATGCAGGTGTTGGCAGCGGTACGTTATAACTTACATGCAGCTCCAATGAGTGCAAAGATAAGACTTTTGATGCTACTTTCTGATGAAAACTAACTCTATGAAATTATTAGAATCCCAGACTAAGCTATAATTTAGAAATAAAGTATGTAATTATTCAATTGTTCGTTTATTTGCAGGAACTTCCGTAACAGTTGACGCAGGCGCAGAACCGGCAATTTTCTACACTAATGGAACAATTCGTTGCCGCGTAGCATGGGTTCCCGAATCTGCAAAAAAGATTGCTCAGTCACGAGTGAAATTAGGGAGCTCGGAACTGCTGGATGCTTTAGGTGCGCGCGGAAGACGAGACTACAAGAAACTGGCCGAATGGGCGCAAAGCGCACAACTAGGTACATGAATATGGGCACGTATGAAAATGTAATTTACCGACGTTGGTATTGTTTTAGACCCAAATGATCCTTCAAATGCCGATCTCATTGCTTACCTAAAAACTGCCGAACAGTCGGCCAGTAGCAATTTCTTCCGTCTGGAACAACTGCAACAGGAATTCGATTTTGTGTCTGCTGAGAGTATTGCCGAGAACAGACGCTTTCGTTTACTACAGCTCCGCGACCGACAAGTTCCCGAATTTGCCAACTTAAAAATGATACCAGCTAATGACAACGAAATACCGGCCAATATATTTGATAAGTACACATTTGGACGGCGTCAAGAAGCTGTCTCGCTATTAGGAGTCTCCGGTATCAATCAAAAAGCCCATGCCAGTTTACTGCAGAATGTGAGACAATTTTTCTTGTGTTATGGATTATTCTCTCGTCGACTTTCGAAAAACCGATTTTTTAAACAAATATTATTTCTTTAGCTTCGTGAATACATTTCCTACACTGTTCGGTCCGTTCAAGACACTTACACCTACGAAGACATGGTAAATGAGGAGTCCATTTTAAACATTGGAAAGTTCTTCAGTATATTAGCCGGTTTCTGGAAGCCGCGCCGCCGTTTAATGCCGGTGCGCAAACAGCAAAAAATGATCTCGCTGAAACAAGCAGCCCATACGGAGATGCGGCTAATCGTTCGCATTCTGAAAGCGGAAAATCTGCCTCGTCGACAAAAAACCGACCGAACGCCGACCGCGCCCATGATGGAGTCCACTACCCAGGAGCGAATATCACCCACACCGGCCACAAATAAAATAGACGAACCGGTACCATTTACAAAGCTTCTCTTCTAACAGTGTTTGAGAAGCAAGTTTTAAATGTCATAGGTACCCTTGCGCGCATTCGCCACGGCACATTTCGCGGGACAGGAAGGAAAACTGCACGTCGTGGAAAGCACGGATCCGGTGTGGAATGGCCAGATCGTCTTCCGATTAAATCCCACCGCGAAAAGCAGTGTGCAGTTTCTTCAACAGGAACTGGAAATACACTTTTTTGACGAAGTGGCTGTGGATGTTCTGGAGGTTCGGCTAAAACTTTGCACGCAATTACAGTGTCTTATTTTAAAAAAATAAATGTTTTGTATATATATAAATATGTATGTATATACTCGTATATATTTGTTTTTTAAAATAAATGTTTTGTATGTATATCTTGCAAAATGTGCGAAACTGAAGCACCAGTCCGATCAAATTAATTTTAGTACAGTGCTCCCAGTATTGTATACAGTATATGCACAAGTGTGGACGTTCCAATTTTGACCATACTTTACTCGTACAGTCGTACAGATGCGAGAATGCTCGCGGCGTTGGAAATTTTAGCAGTTTCAGAAAATGATTAATTAGGTTGTGAAGATGGCATTACTTATATTTTTAGGATAATACACTACGTGAAAGCCACATCTATCAACGCCTGGATCGCCGATGGCTGGGATCGTTGACCTTTCCTTTTTCCGCCTTATACACAACGTCAAAAATTGACGGGACGTTTACATTAAGCAGTCCACCCGTTCTGTTAGGCTACTCCACCGTCACCACGTCCCGCGCATCGGTATTCGTCGCCCTGGATCCACCACTTCTACCGCCGGCACCGTTCCTTTTGTCCCGACTGGAAAGCATCGAAGATGATCGTGACGTGCAGAACGTAGAAGCATGGACAGCGCGGCTGCGCAAACAGTTCCCCGATCGCCTTATCCGGCCACTGGTTGTCAACACGGAAGCTAAATCGTGTTTACTGACTCGGTTTATTCATCCACTTAATCCGCCTCCACAAATATTGTTTGATACGACCATAACGCGGGATAAAATGGTAACAGAAATATTAAGAAAAATTGAAAATCAAACTTTAGTCATAGTGGCAGTTTTATTTGTCGCAGAACGTTGTGGCTAGATTCGTTTCCTTGATACCGGATGTGCCTGATACATTGATATTTCCGGAAGCTGTGGACATTTGGAGCACTAATGATGTCAGTTGGTAAAAACGTATATATGAAAAATTACTGTATACCTTCGTATCGGTTGAACATCAAAACTTCTATACGTAAACCGAAACCTGAACACTGCTGTTACCATGCATGACGGTTTACAAGCTTAATACTTACGTAATCGTTTGTTTAATCATCAAAATTACGCATGGTATTTCTACATTTAGTTGTGTAATATTTATGTAAAAAGGCGTTTTTTTTCTGCAGCAATTTCTCGCTTTGCTCTGTGGCGACGATGAGGAACATGCCTTGCTTTTATTGAGCTACTTCTTGTTCTTCAAAGTCCAGGCCTACCTGTTACTTGGTCAAACCGTGGGAGGAGGACCGGGAGCGTTTGTATTATGTCGAGTACAGAGTTCCGATGTCTTCTCTATTTGGGATGCCAGAAACGGAAAAAGTTACAGAGTTACGGATCCTGAATGCCCAGTCACCGCTATTGGGATGGTAGCTAATAATGAAAATGTAAGAAAGTGTTTTAAAACAGAAATTTTCGAAAGCAGCCACCACAACAAGTAATTTAATTGTATGATTTCCGTAAAACAATAATTAATAAATTTGGGCTTCGTGTTTCATGGTTAATATTCCCTTTGGCTTTGATAGATTTGGGCAAACGTGCAGCAATATTCCAAAGCCCATGAGATGCAATGGCAGCTGCATCTTGCAGCGCACTGGAAACCATTGTGGTCATCCAGTAAAGAACGCCCAGCTAATATTTTTACGCTACAACCAGAAACATTCACGTATATCGATACACCGGCACACCGGAAGCACGAGTTGGAAATAGTGTTAACCAACAAGATCACAGTGGCTATCATGGAAAAGCGGTCGCGATATGTTACCCGGTGGAATGTTGAATGTAGTCGACGGTTGTATCATCTGCTGGACACCATGGAAGTCGACAGGAACAAAGCGGATGCGGCACAATATCATGAGCAACAGCTGCGGGACTTGTTGCTGTTGTACGATGTAAGGATTACAGTGATATAATTTAAAAAATTTTATATCTTTGTTACAAGGGCACAAACCCGTGGGAATAGTATGGCCTGTGGTAATCAATGAGCTTTCCACATTCGTAATGTGTATCTATGTTTTTCAGATCTATGGATTTCCTTTGAATCTTTCATTAGGGAACCCAGACGACGTTGTGGACGCTGTCATATCGACCGGGATCCATCAAGTGGACTCCAACGACCTCGAATTAAGTCTGGCGGTTAACTTCACGCTGTATCCCCACTCAGTAGTCTCTGTATGGATTTATCTAGCCGTACTTAAAAGAACGGTGCCATGATGAGAGATTGTCAGTAATTGTTTATTTTGTCTCGATGTGGACACCAGTCACACCACTATTAACTTTGATATTCACATTCCAATCTCAACAACAGCTGAGCGGCCTGAATGCTCAGACCTGTAATTATTTGGTATATACATAAATATCTGTGGTTTTCTACTTCTGTAGCACATTTCGAGACAACGACTTTAAAAGAAAAGGGATGGGAACAAAAATCCTTTAAATATATCGAAAGCTATCTAATTCTGGATACTCTTGACAGACTTTTTCATAAGCACAAAGTAGATCACGGTATTCTTCCAGTTCTAACAGCATCGTGGGTTTCTGTGGGTCTATGCGGGATCTGTCAATCAGTTCTGTCACTTCTGTAGCACATTTCGAGACAACGACTTTAAAAGAAAAGGGATGGGAACAAAAATCCTTTAAATATATCGAAAGCTATCTAATTCTGGATACTCTTGACAGACTTTTTCATAAGCACAAAGTAGATCACGGTATTCTTCCAGTTCTAACAGCATCGTGGGTTTCTGTGGGTCTATGCGGGATCTGTCAATCAGTTCTTGGTGTACACGCTCATAACCTTTTCGTGGAAACAAGTACCTAAGAAAACAGCAACAAGTACCTAATAAAACAGCGCCACACTAATGAATAGTAAGAGTTATGATAAACGATAAAATGACGATTACTGCTGAAACATACAGCGCTTCCAGATAGAGAACCGCCAATCAGCAGGCAGTTTCCTGCATACAGCTAACAGGGGCTTACCCAAGGGCTCTTACGAAGGGCTTTCTCTTCATGGTGAAGGTCGTTCGCACAACTTTTTCCACCATTTTAAAAGGCTGTGTTATTGCTGGTTCTTTTCGTGGTGTAAGGATGACGACTCCAGCATCAACGTCGGGTTTGGGCACAAATGACGTTCCTAAAATAAGCCACACCATTAGCAATACGGCAAACCAGTAACCAGACATTACTATTAGTAAGACTAAAATATGCCTATTAATAAGACTGATGTACCGATACATCGTATGCAGAACTATGTGCAGTCTATAGACTGTAGATATAAAAGCATCTGTAGTTAGGTGAAAATTTTCTTTTTTCCATGTTACTCTCTTACCTCGAATAGGAAATGCGTATTTGACATCACAATAGTTTTGGCACATGATGGACAATCTACAACGCTGGCGATCGCCTGGAACAGCGATGATACGTTGAGCCACTTCGTGCTGGAACATCAGTGTCAGCTGCACTCGACCAAAACGAAAGACATCCGTCTTTGATGACATATGGCTTAAAAATTTTATAAGTAAAGGCGTCGCGATATTGAAAGGCAAATTCGCAATAATATGCAATGGTGGTAACTCATCACTGAGCCACGGTCGCACCTGAAAAAAGTTCAAATGTTCAAAATTTCTATTCCGTGACGAAAACTTATAAAAGCAAGATTAACTATACGGGATGTGCACTGAGCACTAAACACTAAATAAGCACTGAAAATCTTACTAGAAAACAGGGCGGCTGCCAACTATTTATTTTTGTATAGTCAAATTTGTCTTCTGTAATTATTCATTTTGCTTGCGTATTCGTCGTAAGTGATTATTAGATTACGGTGGACTTTCGGATGCAATTCGACAGGTACTTCAATTAACACTTCTGTGAAACACCCTTAAATCAAATCGCACACCTACCGTATCTTCAGGGAATATACCCTGTAGATCAGTGCGAAGAATATCATCGTTGATAATATGAAAAGGTAAAGTGTCCGACGCATCTTTTAGTTCGTTAAGGACAGGGATAAATCTCGCATCACGCTCGATGACGGTCAACTCACGGATGTTTCCTGCACTTATAATTGATCGCGTCAGGCTTCCAGGACCAGGTCCAATCTCCAGAACGCAACAATTATCCAGATTCCCCGCTGCTCTGGCAATTTTATTCGTCAGTTTGGGTTCGAGTAAAAAGTTCTGCGATAGCTGCTTCAGAGCACGTAATCTGTATATCCGCAGGATTTCTCCGATCGTAGGCAGAGGAGGCAATCGATGTACAATTTCTCGAGCTGCAGCGGCAGCTCTAACGGCGGAAGGTATCGGCATGTTTGACAGAAGCCAAATAAAATGGGCTTATTACATCCGCACGTTCAAGATACGTATGGACGGTATGGTCGGTGATCCTTAAAGCGATTCTCAGTGGCGATGTGCAGTGTTCTCCCAAGCAGGACAATCTTCGAGAAATAAGATCAGCCGCACTTACCACTTGGTTAGCCGCGCTTGTAAGTCACAGTAAGTGATCAAAATGTCCTACTAATACTCTCAGCATGGATTCAGATCAATGTACCGTACTACGAGCGAAGGAAAGATGCACAGTTCTGACAAAAGTAAAAAGTTACAAAACACTACAATTTAACGTCCAACAATGAATTCATAAAATTTGCGACACGGAAATCGAGAGCCGTCGTAAAAAATTTGTCACAGCTAACGGGGGAGGACGACCCCAGCTTGAAGATCTTCGGCACAATCCCTGCTACGTATATTCCGGATGTCAACAAGTCAAATTTTTTCCTTCATAAAAATTTTCGTCCAAGACTGGAGCTAATTTTCAACCTAACTTGTTTTGCATACTGCTTACACTTTCCTGGCGCATGGTCCTGAATCTGGTCCGTTTTCTGCTCGACAATTTTGCAGTACGCAACTGGAGACCGGTGAACTTGTTTCGGTGTTACTGTAATTCTTGCTAGCTCGCCATGAAGTTGCCGATTGGAAACGTGTTATGGCTGCACCAGATTTCCAGATTCCCCAGAATTTTCACTTGTCCGAGTAAGATTCGAGTCTCGAAAGCCTTAGTGAGCGACGAATGCAGAGTGTTCGCTAGGCTGCATTTTTGTTGTAATCCTTAATAGGCCGAATTGTTCCTGCTCGGCTGGCGAGCAGCCATCAACACGACAGTCACGATAAGAACGCGCCTGCCAAAAAAGATTATGACGATCCGTGGGACAATGTACCACCAGCGGCGGGTGGTCCGCTCAGAAAGGCTAACCTCAATGATTTCCCCATTCCCAAAGGATCCTGGCAAGAGGATTTTAATCGACGACAGCGCTTAGGAAACTTACAAATGGGACTGGGACTGTTGTTTTTCGGCGGAACGGTTTTCTACGTATGCTTGCTAAATTCCGATTCCGATGGTCTTACATATTTTAAAAAGTTATGGTTTTTTTGTAGTTGTGGTACAAAGATCCGTTGAATTTTGAGAAAGTATTTGGCCCGTATAAGTACATGAAAAATCCTCCGGCTTTTAAAAGTCCTGTGTTGGAGCCTAATATCCTTCGAGAGTTTATGAGTCCGACGGAGACGGTCGACCAATTACAAACATCAGCGCGCGCACAACAGCCGGCAGGTCAGTCTGAAGCCAAAATGCTTGTTCCATTGTCTTTGGATTATTTTTTACGTCAAGCAGCTTTGCAAACATTAAGGTTGCGATAGTAAACAGTTAGTGCTTTCCAGATAGAACTGTCTTTTTAACATAATTAATACAAAGCTGGAACTTGAGATGTCGTTATTTTTAGCAAGCATTTTGTTATATAAGGCGTTTTCGGTAATTTTTTAGTAGAGACACGGACTGTAAATTCAGCCCTTGTGCGATAACATTGTGAGCGGTTTTCAGATTTTGTTAAGGATGAGTACTTACTTTTAATTTCTTGACATTGTTTCTTGCTGGATATTTACCTGTTCGTTCTTTACACAGCCGAGAAACCGAAATTGGTGACCAAAGTCGATCCGAGCAAAATTCCAGAAATACCAAATCATGTACCGTACCTGATCGTTGGAGGAGGAACGGCAGCGTTTTCAGCATTTCGTTCCATAAGGGCGAACGAGCCAACAGCTGCGGTAATTGTTATTTATATGATTAAAAATAATTACACGCTGGATGGTGTTCCTTTTAAAGGTTTTAGTTATCTCCAATGAACCGTATTACCCGTACATGCGACCTCCTTTGTCGAAAGAACTCTATTTTACTGATGATGCACACCGAAAAGATTTGCGATTTAAACCAATGCATGGAAAGGAAAGAAGGTAAATTGTTCGCCCATTTTATCTGGAAAAAGTTCTTCTAATTCTTTTAACCTTTCTGTTAACGTTTACGGATAGTGTGTTTTTTGAGCACGAGGAATTTTACGTCGATCCCAAAATGCTTCCATTCACGGAAAATGGTGGAGTTGCTGTTTTGCGAAACATGACAGTGACATCTTTGGATCCGAAATCGCAAAAGGTTTCGTTGAAGAATGGATGGGATATTTATTACGATCGGTTGCTTCTCGCTACGGGTCCGTATGTTTAAACCGTTAATGATGTTGCATTGTGGTGAAAAGATAAATATTTTGAATTATTGATAGGTGGAACTCCGCGATCATTGCCATGCCTTGAGAAAGCCGGTCCAGATGTTGCGAACAATATCACAATTTATCGTGATGTGAGTCTGTTTGGTCATTTCAAGCGCTTTAGACCTTAGTGTAAATGTGGCTGGCTGTTGTGTAAATGTTATAATAATAGTTGTTTGTTTTATTTCTGTCTAATGCGTAACATATGGTTTATTGCTATTCTGGCTTAAAAAACCGTTCGAAAAATTTAGTACGTTTCTTAATTTTCTTTGCATGATCTTCTAGAATGTAGTTTTTGCCACACTCCAGATTGTTGGTTTAACTTTCTTTTGTAGGATTTAGAAATCTTTAAAATTTTATTGTAAGCCGCTTAAATTGAATGCAGATCGAAGATTTCAAAAAGTTGGACGCAGCAACGAAAAAGGTCAAGAAAGTTGTGATAATTGGCGGTGGATTCCTTGGAAGCGAACTAGCATGTGCACTGGCTCATCGAGGTAGGGTAATTTCTCTTTGTAGCAACGATGGTTGATAAACAGATTTTGTCTGTGAAGGAAAAAGTACCGGGTTGGAAGTCCATCAGATTTTTCCTGAAAAAGGCGTTTTGGCCCGCGTACTCCCAGAATACTTGAGTGATTGGACCACGCGAAAGATGCAGAATGGTATGTGTTTCGGAAGAAACGCGGTATCGCAGAATATGTGACCTGGTGTTTTTTCGCAGTAGAAAAAGTGAAGGTTTATGCGGAAAAATTCGTTGTTAGTGCTAAGTACTCCAACGGACAGGTTGTAATGCAAATGAATGATGGTCAAGAGGTAATATCTCGAATTCTGGCTTCACGGATACAATCAGCAGCTGCGGAGTGGTATTCGACTACGAATCTTGCAACTCTGATACATTTACAGATATCCGCCGATCATGTCGTTGTCGCCGTTGGCCTTTCGCCAAATACACAGTTCGCGTCTTCGGCCGGTTTAGAAGTTGATGAAGTCCTGGGCGGTTACAAAGTGAATGCTGAATTGGCGGCATGTGAGAACATTTGGGTGGTACGTACTCTGCGTTTTTAAGTTCCCGCGGTTTTGTGTGTGTAATTGTAAAATGTGTGTTTGTAATTGTAAGATGTGTTGTGTCCAAGAATTAGCGACAGCGAACATAGCACATCAGCGCTAATTAGCCTTGCTTCTACAGGCGGGAGACGTTGCAAGCTTTTTTGACGTTACTCTTGGTAGAAGGAGAATGGAACATCATGATCACGCAGTAAGTGCAGTTATTTGCCCTAATTAAAAAGGTGGTGTCCTAAAATGGCCCGTAATAAATCACTCTCTTTTGTTGTAGATTGCAACCGGGCGAGTAGCTGGAGAAAATATGGTGGGCAAGAAAAATTCTTTTTGGCACCAGTCCATGTTTTGGTACGAAAACGAATTTGAATGCGAAAACGTGGTGTTTTTGCACTCACAAAAAATCTCTGTTTTATTAATTAGGTCGGATTTGGGCCCTGAAATCGGATTTGAGGCAGTTGGCTTAGTGGATTCTTCGTTAGACACTGTAGCAGTCTTTGCACAGAATCAGCCGGTAGCAATGGAAGCCGAAGGCGATAATGTCAGTGCACTGATTTTGGTGTTTTGGTTTGGCATTTAAGGAAAGAGGTGTAATTGGCACACTTACATTGTTTCATTTCCCCTAGGCTAAATCTTCTTCGTATCGACCTTTGCAAATGCCTGGTCAAAATGAAGAGTATTCCAAGGGTGTGATTTTTTACCTTAAGGACAAGATTATCGTTGGAGTTTTGCTATGGAATCTGTTCGATCATGTGTCAGTAGCTCGAAAGGTGAGTCGAGTTTTTAAATAAATTTCTTTATGCAACTCCGCTGCACAATCACAGTTATTGGAATTTTTGTTTAGGTGATCAAAGAGCAAAAAACGTTTGATGATTTGAGTGATTTAGCAAAATTGTTCGACCTGCACGAGGAAAAAAATGCCAAAGAGAACAGCGATAAAAACAAAGAAAAGGAGGCTGGTGATAAAAGTAAAGACAATAAGAAAAAAGAGTAAGGATAGGTTTTATTTGGTTTGGAAAGGCTCAGCAAATGGGGATGAAGGTGATGTATGTTGTTTTGAGGAGCTGTTTGATATTTTAATGGATGTTTACGTTTGTTTTATTTGTTGGGTTCTTACTTCTTACTGTTCTTGCAACATTCACACATAAGTCGTACCACCAGTGCTCTTGCCATCATCCACTTTCGTAAAAGTGCGAGTTTTTACTTGTAATAAACAAAATACGAATTCATTCTCGATTATCATGTTCCGATAAGTAAAGCAGCATCATAAATCTGTTCTGTAATGTTATCTCCGAGAAAATATTAGTACTTAAATGTACAAACTACAACTTGCAGAGAGTGTTGATCAAGGTAGTCTTTTGCAGCTCCAGTCGTTTCATTCGAAACAGGTTTTAGACTCCGCAAATGATTTCAGTAGTATGGCCGACGTGGATTGTTCTACAACACAAACATAAGCCAGCACTGTTTCAGCGATGTTGTACCAAAATTTCACAATCATAAAATGCATTTACCAGGGGATTAGGCCGATACTTATACGCCAGCATCATGCGCTTCCGGTACAAACTAAATTCATCGTCCTCTTCTGATGGCTCATCTGGTCGTTTCACACCCAATCCAGCACGTTCCATTGAAGTAGTACTGTCGCAAGGGACAACATTAACAGTTATACACATAATCGATAATCGTAAAAACTTTTTCAATCAAAATCTGAATTATTCAGAAAATCTCTATAAATTTGGTTACCTGGAAATAGGGGCAGCTATTCCGCTACTGCTAGCCCCTAGACCTTGTCCTTCAGTCCATCCAAACTTTTTCAACATCTGAAAGCCGACATTGTCCTCCGTCAATTTGTTTTCTTCATATTGTCCAACATCGGCTGCTCCTTCTTTCGACAATTTCTGTTGAAATTTGGCCAGTTCCTCTTTGGGTAAGAAATCCTGCAAATGATGCTTTCCCTCATGCAGAGGTTTTGTCCGCTGTTCGGCTAGTTCTACAATAGGATTAAAAAGAAATTTGAGCAATCTTAAAAGCAAAAAAGATCTGACAATCATTCACCCTTGGTCTTTGCCATCTCCGCTGCACGCGTAACATGTTCCTGCGATGGCACGCCTAACCCATCTTCCAAAACGACTTTCTTCGTTTTAAGCATGCTATCTTTCGACGCCAGCTGCTGCTTCAAATGCGCTAACTGCAAAACGGAAGCTGGCCAAAGCGAAATTAAATGGTTCCAACAAAATGATAACCTGAATCTGATGGAGCTGCTCGTCGCTTAATGGACACGGTACTGGTTTGACATCCGCTGTCGCTGTCGGAACTTCTTCACTGGAAGGACCCCAGCGACTGACGCGCTTTTTGGTTTTCTGCGTCGAAGTGGACGACTGTGCACGCAATTCAGCCAGACGCTGCTGATAGTACTGGTATTCAAGTGAGTCAACATTGCTGGGCTGCTGAAGGAACCTGCATGCTCGACAGGGATTCCGTCAGAGAACAATCGACACTGACTGTATTTTGCAAGTCTTTTTAAGATCAGCGGAAACCGCCAAATAAGCAAATGGCGTGTCTAACTGCAACGTACTCGGACAGTTCAGTCTCAGTACGGTCGGTCGACGGAGGGAAGCTTCCCTGAAGGACGAACTGCTGGGCCAAAGTGTCGATAATCCGGCGTCGATTTTCCGATAAAACGCAGGAATTTGGGTTTGGCATTTGCGAAACTTCTATAAAAAAAGCACGAAAAAGGTTATTGCGAGGCTAGGTCGTCACTCTACGACCATCGATAAACATCACTATTTTAAATAAAACTTCAGACTTTTAATTTATTACTTGTAGATACCGAACAATGACAGAAGTAAAAATTAAAAAGAAGGCGACTAAAACAAAAAAATAAAATTATAAACGCATCAAACCAAAGTAAGCTTTACAAAATTCAAAAAGCAACTGGAAATTTACCAAACATTTGCTTTCCGTATCTCACCTTTTCTGTTTGGCGGTGAACGGCGCTCAGAGCTACTGTCATTTCCTTGTTGTGAAAAACCTCCTAGTCTATGTTGTTAGACAAGAGAGACAACATTGCAAATCCGATAAATGATAAGCATGGAACTTCTTAATTCAATTTACAAAATTAACAAACCTATCTGTTCTGTCAGGACACGAGGCACCTGCAGCTGGAGCAATTGATCCCGATGCGACTCCTGAAACCGAGGCAGCAGCAGTGCTAGTGCCTGCCGCAGCCAGTTTGGCTTCGATTTCCAGCTTTTTGGCCAACAGGAGGTCGCGAATAGACTGGCTCATGGTGCGTGGACCAGCGTGGTATTCAAGGGAATGAGGGGATTCCAAATGCCTAACCAGGGTCCAGGCTAACCAGTTTACGTCCTATCCAGAAAAAAAAATGTAGACAAAACGATCAGCGGATGTCCGGGATCTGCAAAGCTAAAAATGACTATTCCATGGATAAGACGGATTCGCGACTCACAGTTTAAATCTGAAGTAACAGAACAAAATAAATTGTGTACTGATGCGAGGCCTTCGACAAGACACAAATAACGTATACTGAGCCTACTGCGACCCCACCGCACGCATCAGCTGTGACTGCTGGCAAACAGAAAACCATGCTATTACGTATCCATAACACTCCTACTGGTTCGTTTTCAAAACCAAAATAATTCACATCAAAATAAAACTACTATTCTTAATTTTCTGTAGAAATTAAACGCGTAAACAATACGATTCTTCTTTTGTTACTAAATAGTAAATAACTAAACTTACTTTCGATTGTTATTATTACTGATAATTCATAAACAGTTGCCCCATTTGCCACTACGAGAACTGGATCCCCGTGGGTTAGCTTAGTAGTCAGCTTACTGTGCCTGTATTTTTATTAATTTTGTAATTTTGTTACCACGCTTAACCTTGAACGGTAATATTACTACGAGTTCAAATTATACTTATTACATACTTGTCGTTATTGACTTATTGTTACTATTATAACAAATAAAAATTTGTGTTTTGTAACTTTTGTTTCTTAATATTTCGGAAGCACTACAGTTATACATTATCTGTAGTGTTGTATGTACTTGAAAACATTTGAAGTTCATTCAGCCCGAATCAGCCATGTCCAACTGTTTGCATTTATGATTTATGATTAATTTTGACTAGGTGCTCTCCGCACAAGCTTGTTCGTTTATTACGTACAATGTCGCGTCATACGTTTTCTTTAGCAGAAAAAATTACAGTTGTGGAATTTGCGAAGCTTACGAGTATCCACAAAGCTGCGACAACGTATAATGTTGATCGTAAGTCGGTTCGTTCATGGATTAAACAAGAAGAAATACTTCGGGTTTCCGTTGATCAAGGAGGTAAGTACGGACAGACGGGACATACGGTGTACAGTGTACTTATTGTTATTGAGAATAACGTTGTTCATTTTTTGATCGCAGCTGATGCTATGCAGTTTATTACAGGTCAGTCGAATCGCAAACGTTTGAACGGAGCTGGAAGGAAGCCAAAGAAATTAACGGAAGTACGGTGTTTCAAAGCTTTCACTTTTCTGTGTATGTTTTATATATTACAGTATATACATATATGTATATATCTATATAGATAGATGTGAATATTAAATATGGGTATCTTTGGTATTTTTTCTTGATACCGAACCATGAAAGCAAAATAAGCACTTATTGCAAAGTTGTGAAGTTAAATTTGTTCGCTGTATAATGTATATAAATTATCATGTTTCGAAACCCAGAATGTCTTACAAGTTAGACATTCGTGCGACCACTTTGCCACCTTGTTAATTTTCTAGCGCACGGATAAAAGCGGGAAATTTTCGACACCTGCAAGTAATGGCGCTTCGGAATCAAATACGGTTAGTCATTATTCATTAAGATGTATATAACTTGAATCGCTTGATATACAATTTTATATGCCATGCCCATACGAGATACTTTCGGTATTACTTTGATGCCAAACGTACCGCTTTTTGATTTGGTCTGTGTATGCTCTTTTAAAATTTAAAAGTTAAATTTTTCCTAGGAATTACTGAGATCAGTTAAACACTAAAATTAATTTTTATCGGTTGGGTGGACTTAGTGAGGTGTAGCTTAAACAAACCAAAATTTTACTGCAGTAATGCTGATGATTGTGTATCCGTTACAGAAAGGGTCAACCGCGAAGAGTACTTCTCGTGCAGTTCAGAAACGAGGGCGAATACGGGATCTGTTAGCACAGGAGGAAGAACTTAACACAGCCCTGGCATCTGCCACTGTGTCTTGGCAGCAGGATGGTGACCAGGATCATCTGCGCTCCTGGGTAACAGCCGCGTGGAATCTGATGAAAGTGTCTATGCAGATCGGTGAGAATCGGATGGAGACGGAAATATCTGGATTAAGGAAGGACCTCTCTGATGTGAAAGCTAAAATCAAAGGGTTGGAAACTAAGCTGACTGGTATAGAAGCACTATTAGCCGCAGTGGTTCAGCATTTGAGCCTTCCTCAAACCCAGTAGGACTGTGTTCAGGTTATTTGTCATTCTTTTTTGTCTGTTATTATTTTGTAGCCACATTTTATTATTTGTTGGTGCTCGACCGTTTTTGTTTGCATGAAAAAAAATTCAGTTAAGTATCAGTTGAATCTCTTTGTTGTTGTACACATCGTTGTCGACAACTTGCAAACTGAAAACTTTGACTGAAAATGAAATTTCGGCAGCGGAATGTGTGTGTGTTGACGTTTCCTTTCTGGGTTGACAAATATATTTCGCGGCCATTCTCCTGGATTCAGTCTAGTAGCTATTAACTAATATGTAATTAACATGACGTAATTTTTGCATATGCAGGTTGCAGCTGTCAAAAACAAGTTGGTACGAATCTTACTTGGGATTAAGAGCAAAAAAAATTATGTTTTATTGTCTTTGAAAAGTGATTATAATAAACGCCAAAATGCAGTAAGAAAAACAACTAGAAATTTAAGTTACTGTACTTACTGTTAGTGTACAATACTACCTTGTTTTAAAATTTAAAGCAAGTCTTTTTCCGGCATCTTGGAGCTCGTTGCTGCCTTCCCAATGGTGGCTGGCTTATTCACTTGTTTGAAGTCCTACTACCCCGGAGGTGCTCGGGCTAAGTGGAGTAGTGTTCTGTACCAAAGAAATTTTCACACAATTTGTTTAGAGACTGAGTTGTTGCGGGCTTTCGAGTTTTTCTTTTGTTTAATTTCAATTTTATCGGAAGTACCCGTACCACAGACCTCGCATTTTAAACTTTATTATATTATAGAATATGAAAATCCTTTGCGCTAAAAAGAGACTCACTTGCCCGTAGTCTGTGTTATTTGTTATGGTGCAAAGGTACGACCACAGTGGCCGTCGTGGAAACTTGTCGCGATCAGCTATGATTATGAAGTTGAACTATCGATTATCTGTAGCGATAAAAGGATCAGGAAAGCATTTCTCGACAATATCTTTTGCAGACAGCCATGCCTTAAACCGCTGCCTCTTGCAGAGTGGCACACAGAAGCAATCAACGGTGACTACTGCGCCACTTCAGCCCATTCAAACTTTATCATTCTCTAAGAGCTCTTCCAAGTTTTCTTCTCTGAAACCCAAAATGGTGAGTTTATGAGTTGCTGGTGCACCTATTCGGAGGGTAGACGGGGGCTATTGATGATTTTTTAAATTACGTACATACGTTTACGTACATCCTACATCGTTTTCTAAGACACTTGTTTGTTATGTCGTATGCGTGCTGTACTGTTTCCCTTTCATATTCTGATAATGTTTGTTAAGGTAAACTGTAAACACCATGAACAGTAAATTAGTTAGTGAGTAATAACGCGGCATCTTTTCTTGCAGTCTCTTGCTAGCAAGTTTCCAAAACTGAGCAGCGAAGATCGCAGCCAACACCTTCAGCCCTTGCAGAATGCGGGCTGGACCATGGTGGAAGGGAGAGACGCTATTCATAAGGTGGGTTTATAATTTATTTTGTAATTCTGTTCAACTACAGAATTCTTGTAAAATTGAATAACTGCAGTTTTTCTTTCCGCGTTTGCAATACATATATAATTATGTACTGAGACTGTTTCAGTTATACTTTTGGGTTTGTTCTCTATGATTTGCTGCTGCCTTTGCGTGATCGTTATCAATTTACCAACAATCAGTTCATAAGAGTATGAAGTACTGCACAAGCTACTGTAGTAACTTCAACTAACTTGTTTGTTAACACTGGAACGATTACTTTTGGTGTTTGCACCCTGTAAGCAGCATCGCGAAAACTGTTGTGCACTGATAATATTTTGTGCAATTATGCCAGTTGATATGGTATGGATTGCATTCGATATCGTACAGGGGAAACATAAAAATTTGGCTATGTTTGCAGGAATTCCAGTTCAAAGACTTCAACGAGGCCTTTGGATTTATGACGCGTGTGGCACTGTTAGCTGAGAAAATGGACCATCATCCGGAATGGTTCAATGTTTATAATAAGGTGAAAATCACCCTCAGTAGCCATGATGTTAATGGGCTCTCGCAGCGGGATGTCAAACTGGCCACTTTCGTCGAGGAAGCGGCAAAAAAAGCTGTTTGATGTCCAGAAATTTTATTGATTCCCATGGGGCTAAAATGACCATCATTCATGGTACCTGGAATGTGTATTAGTCGCAGTTCTTTCAGTTTTCTTGCAGTTCTGTGTGACACAAAATGCTTTTTCGTTGCTTCGATGCCGAGGAGCATTTTACCGTTTTAACCAAATTCCTCTGCGAACTTTCATCACAGTCTTGACGTAGAAAGTAAAACGAAATATATTTGTATTTATTAATGCTAAATGAATGCATTTTCTGGAATTAATGATTGGAAATCAGTAAACGCTGAATAGATCTCTTCTATTTTGTAATACCTTTTATCCCACTGCACTTGACATTTGTCTTTATAAATAACAAAAAGTTATAAAAATATACAAAATAATATTGCAAAATATAGTTTCCATTTCTGAGGCTAACCAAAAAGCGAGGCTAGCTAGACTGACGATTACGAGCGCCCGAATATTTCCAACGAAGTTGAAACAAAAACAAAACAAATTTGGTAGATCTTACGCATTACTCAGTCAATGCGTGGCCAGAACTGCTCGGAAATCCCCCATACTAATCTGACACAGAAGTTCGGAAGCCGTTCGCGAAGCTGCCACGCGCTGTTCCACCGGAACATTCTTGTACAGAAACAGTTCGGTGGTGGGCCAGGCGTCTCGCATTAATATTCCCATCGACAGCAACTCAAGAAATCGCCTAAAATGCATGCCAAATACTAACGCTAAGGAAGAAAAGATTTACAGAAATATTGCACATCTAAGCATAATCCACTAAAGCGTAGCGAAGGTCCTCTGTGTTTAAGAAAACGGGACTTTTCGATGCCTCTTTCATGCATTAATAATAAGAAATAAATCTATGATTTATATTTACTGAACACAAAAAATAATAAAACAAACTGGGAAATTTGAAAAAAAATAAACAATTTGTAAGCAACCACTAAAAAGAAAGCTCAGTAAACAGTTTATTGAATAAACTTTATTAAATTTGGTTTGCCGCTTCGCTTCGATCTTTTAGTGCCAGCCAACAGCGGTGCAGTTTCCTACTATTTACATGACGGGGACCCAACGCAAAAGCTCACCGAAAAGCTGACTCTATGGACAAAGTACTTCCCTCCACCAGTGCCGTTACACATAAATGGGCCTACAAAACAGACGCAGAACAATCAGCAACGACTGTACGCAACAGAATGGAAGTTATCTGGCGCTTCAACATTTGTTACATACCAAAAGATCAAGAGCGGAATCAGTAAAGATACTGAACGAAGTATGTCGCTCCCTGAGATCCGTTAACAACCGAACCAACCCTTTAATGCTACAAGAGAAAATGAAACGGAAATTGCAACTGGAACACAGAAAAACCTCAGCAGCAAATTACTAACACAAAACTGTATTTCCAGATTTGGTAACTAACTTGGAAGCTGACGCATTATTCGCAAACCAAGCCGCTTCCTCCACAAGTCTGGCGCTTGCTTCAAGAACATCCGCAGGAACTGTTAGGAAAAATGACCAATTTCCATAAGTCATAAATATCCAGTGACTGTTAACAACTTAACACCACCAAAAAGCCCGCGAGTGCAAAAGTACCTAGATCGGGATCCGGCTGATCTGTATCCGGTACGGGTGTGTTTTGGCCTGCAGATTCAGCGGTGACATGAATTTTCACACTGGCTAGAGACGATGAAACTTCCAGAATATATCCATCCATGGCCCAACCAAACTCTAAAACGGCACCACAGTACTGCAGATTAAAATTATTAAACTTCGGAATCAAGGCATCATTTTTACTTTCGCTTGGAAAACTTTGCATCAAATCCCCGACGATTTTCTCCCCAAGTAATCGCAGGGTGACAACTAAAAAAAGACAGAATGTGTTATGTATCGACGCATCACGGTGTAATGAAAAAACAAAAATTCAAATTACCTGAAGGAGAAGTTTTCAATCGAATAACAATTTCCGCATATAATTCTCTCGGACCGGTAATCGTTGTGTCTTTTTGATACTGTCCTACTAATTTCACTTCGTCCACGATCTAAAACATACACAATGTAATGTTTACTGTGAAACCAATTTTCAAAGCGAAAACAAATCGATACTGCAATTATTTCAAATATTTACATGTTGTCGAAATGACGCAGTATTGCACTTTTAATTTGCTACGGCTGAAATTTACACACTGCTGTGAAAAACCAATATCCCACTTACGCAAGCAGTGAACATGCCACTGGCTCCCTGCAGGATAATTCCCTCGAGGACGGTTTGCAATTTGGAAACCAATCCGATCACGGCGTCTTTGGAGCGTGCAGGCACGGTGATGGCAAACAAGCGCTGAAAAACAGCGGATTTGAAGGCCTCCGACGAGTCGGGCTTCTGCTCGACGGTTAGCCGCTGATATTCCGACGGCGAGATCTGCAAATGCGCAAAGCGATGGAGGTTTCTGCTCATGCTCTGACTGATATCGCATGCCTTTCTTCGTCGCGCATTTTTGCGGTACATCGTAAAATTAACCTGAACGACTAGACCTAACTTACGGTGTTCTTACAGCTTACTGATTCGCAGATCGTAAGACTTACCTGGTACAAGTCACATGCAGGGAACATTTCCGCGACCAATTTAGTGCCAAGAAGAGTAAAAACAGAATAATAAGCGCTCTGAGCCGATTCTATATATAGATATCAGTACCGTTCTGAATCCTGATCGAAGCTCACAAACGAAAGCAAATGGCAGAAAACTTCGGGAGTGCCTTGTAATTAATTCCATTTGCAAAACTTCGAAAATGCTTTTCGCCTTTTCCGAAATCGAAATCCATATGTACTGTCAGTAATGATAACACACCAACAAAGCACGCACTTGTTAAGCAGAGCGGTAATCGCCTCCCGAAGCGGTGGGTTTTTCCTTTTGTGTATTTGCTGTTTTCGAATTTGATTACTTAAAAGTTAAAAGATGAAATATACTCGTATACTTAATAAAACCTCATCAAAGTAATTACTCATGACTGGGAAGATCAAAACCGTTTATACATAAGTTTTTTTCACGACAGATAACACGGGCACGAAAAAACTCTGAAAGCAGTTTTTACCCAACGCTTCAATGACTGCATAAAGCCGTACAGGAAGCGATGATGTAAACAGCGGCTTCGTTGCCAAAACGGTCAAACAAAATCTGCAGGAGAATGGACTGTATGTACTTACTTGTAAAGCCTAAATATTATAATTATTAATTTATATGCTTATATGATTTAAGTATCGTGCGCCAGTGCAGCGCTCGAATGCATTGCTTGTCGATATGTCTCTAACCAGATGCAAAAAACACTTCATAATTTATGCGAATAACAAATCCGTATTAGAATTTACTAACTCATCCTACCTAACTCAGTACAATTGTCTTTTACTACTGTACTATCTTATAAATTGGGTATTCGGTCACATTACTCACAAAAACAAGTACGAGTACGAATTGTACCAACATTTTTATTTCACCTGAACATTCCATATACCCATCGACAACATATTTGACCGTATTGAGCAACAAAAGCGTGTATACAGTTTGTGAAGCTGAAGATTCCCATACTCCTCGTAGCCACCATAATAAAACATAAAATCTAGAATACATCAAATAGAAGAGCTTACACAAAAACCCTCCCCTCGACATTAAGTGCAATGATGCACCCAGCTACTAATCAGTGAATACCTACAAACATTATTAATATTTCGGGAATGTGCTGGCCGAACCATTTTCGCCAACCATCCCGCTCTTTGGCACAAAAGGTCCCTTTTTATTCTCTCCACAAAAAAGAGACCGCTCAGAAAGTTAAAACATCCTCGATTTCTCGACCCCGCAAACCACTCGGAACGTGTACAATTATGGCTCTCCTGTATCATCACAGCACACGGATTTAGTGTCCTTATACCAGATGACCTTTCAGCTCATCCACCAAGGCTTCCGCTCGATACGTTGGAATGGCTTGTCCGTTAAAGGTCGACAACAGAGAGGTTTTATGGATCGGTTCATACGTTAAATGGTTGGGAATGGGTCGGAGTGGCGACGGACTGTGTGTATGAGGCTGCATTGTCTGGCGGGCAGTTCTGCGTAAGTTCTCAATATAAAAATCCTCAGCATCGTAATCGACTCCCATTTCGTTTTCCAAATCATGAGCTAAAAAAGCCAATGTTAATGTTTAACCGTTTATTACAGCACTATTTTACGAATGGTGGATCGTAGGAAAACACAAAACAAATTTGAATTTTACAAATAATGATTTAGGCGAATCTTCACATACTTGGCTCAGGAGCTGTCCAGTGCTTGTATGTCCCGTACGGACTGTGGTATGGCTCATCCAGCAGATATGTGCTCGCGGCATTTGTGCGTACCGCTGAGGGCGATAGTTGATTTTTCGGTCCGGAATACGAATCCACTGGTGTTTTCTCCACATCGAACCCCGTTGTCTCCGTGCCGGTGTCCATACCATTCTGACTGCACACTTCCGTGTGACCTTTGGAACTACCCGAGCTGTCGCTGTTTGCCATTTCTACAAAGAAACACACCTCATCAACATAGGGTGTCTTATGCAAATATTTTGACCAATTATTCAGAAGCCTCTCGTGATCCATCAATTTCAGGGGAAAGCATAATTAAAGATCCTTCGTATTGATCTCAAAGCCTACACTGAAACTGACACCCCATCAAGTAAATCTCACAATAAACCCTCAACTCGGAACACTGACCGACAAATACAATACAAAACGCAATCAATAAACGACCAGCTCAGGATATCAATGTCAGATTATAAGCCCCCAACGCTCTGGCTATAAATATACGTATCTACATGTCCTACATTATACACATCCAACTGGAAACACAATCTCCGTATAAACATCTTCTGCCAGCCTTGACCGGTATTATCTTGTCTTTGCGGATCAAAAATACACTGATCCATCAACACCAGCGAATAACATTTACCTTCAAATTTCTTGCTTTTTCCCCGGATTAACACGTAAATCAAACAGCCCAACAGTGCACAGAACACCGCACCGCCAACGGACGCCGACACCGCCACGATCATGGTCAGATTCTCCGGTTTGGTTCCCGTTTGTCCGACACTGTCCACATCCGTCGCATTGGTCGTGTCAATGGGATTCCCAGCGGCATCGTAAACGTCGAATTTGTTCGTTGTGGGCTGCATCGGAATGATCTTCGGCGTCACCGTGACCACGGCGCTGGTCCGACTCACTTCGCTGATCTCGCTATTGGCCGCCTGGCACGTCACGGAAATGTCGCTGTACTCATCGGGGGATAGTTTGATGATGATGGTGGACGTGGTTATGAAAGCACCTAATAACAATATACATGAGAAATTATTGTCTCCCTCTATCAACATTCAGTGTAAACTCATCAATTTTTTATTGCAAATATGGTTTGCAAAATGTAACCAACTCCCAAAGGAAGATGCTATACCAGATTCTCAACAGGGATTTCGTTTTATTAAGTTACGCCGACAATTTTTTCGTCAATATGCAGCATTATTTAAATATTCATGTCATCACCTCGAACATCCTTTTTGTTACAGTACGGGAAATGGATTTTTTTCGGAAACAGTTATTCAACATCGACATTGTCCGTTCAACTTATGCAACTTTACAAGCGGATAACGAAAAACATACCATCATTGGTGGGTTGGTAATGGACACTTTTTTCCCGAAATGGCCTGTTATTGATAGTCCATGTGATTTCTGCGGCGGGATTACTCGGATTGGATGTACAATTCACATCCAGAGAACTGCCGGGTCGGGCTTCACGCGGTGTTTTTAGGTTGACCGTCGATGGGCCAACTATCGACAAAAAAAATAATGGGAGACAAACACTTTAAGCGTAGTAGACAAAGTGCAGTGACGATAACATTTCGCTGAAAACAATTTCGATAGTTTGTTCAGGATAACTAAGGCCAGATTAAGTCCTACGAGTATTGTCCAAATGTTTTGTTTTTGCGAAAAAGCGACTGTCAGGCACAAAATGTTTTTTTTAGTTAACCAACACTCGGTACTACGATTAAGAAGAGAACTAACATAACGATGCAAATAAAATGTTCATATAACGATGCAATAAAATGTTCATGTTATGTTATGTTATAAAATTTATTCAGAAAGAAATATGTTTAAGAAACCTAAAAAACACCTTTAATGTAGAAACAGCTATAAGTAAGTTCAATTTAATCACAAGATAGAAAGAACGCTTACACAGAACACTCAGCGTGGTCTGCACATCGACACCGCGCGGCATGAGCTCGTTAACGGCTTCGCACTTGAGCATTGCGCCATTGTCAATCTCACGGGGGACAAACGTCAGAACGGCCGAAGCGGCACGGCCCAACGAGAGATGTGTGGTCTCAGCGCTGTCCTCTTGAATGTTGTTGCGAAACCATGTCAGCTGTGGAATGGGATTGCCGCCATCCGATGAGCACAATAACCGGAAGTCGCGCTCTCCTTTACGCACTTTCACTTTATCGCCCACTTTCACGCCGTCTCTGTCACGTATCACTGGCGTGGAAGGAGGAACTAAGAAACGCAAACTATCAGAAACTGTGCCAAAACAATGCGGTACTCCGTGTACGTCTTGCACTGCCTTGTCTTTCAAATTTTTTGATTTTTTTCGCACGCTAATTGTCCCGTTGCAATTTACCAGTTTGTTGTATACAGTACAGTTTCTGCACAAATTCCGAAAATTAGCGATACTCACAAAGCACAAGTAGTTTGACGGAACGCGCTAAAGGTCGGCTGAGCGCTATGCTTTCGGCTTGGCAGGTGAAATCCACATCATTATCATCCGGTTTGGCTCGAAAGATTAGAGAGCTGTACGTGCCATTGACACTCGACGATTCGCCCACAGCGTATCCCGCATTATCTTTAAAAGAACACACACAACAGTTTGGACAAGAATTCCACAAGTTGAAAATACGAAGTGTGAAAAATACTTGAGATTAGGCACTTGTTGCATTGTACAATGGATTACCTCTCGTATCGACTTGCTTCGAGCTGCGATACCACACAAGTTTTGGAGTGGGTCGTCCATCGGGCACAAAACACGTCAAATTGACCATTTCCCCCATGCGAACTTTGAGATTACTGCCGGTGGCGGAGGCCGGTGAACGTGATGAACCAATAAATATAACGATATCCGAAGGAGGAACTGCAAGCATTTATCCAAAATTTATATTAACGGTACACCATAATCCTCTTGTAATACTCTTCTTTCAACGCTCAAAGTGAAAATAAAAATGCAGAACTGCAAGCAGTTATCGTGAACCAATTTTTCCACTTTCATGTACTTATGTCCAAATGAGACGAATCAAACACATAAAAATATTTACATAAGAAAATATGTTTATACAGCTGCGAAGTCGTTGCACATCCCAGAAAAAAATTCAAGCGATTGAAAAGTGAAATTATACTGCCGAAATTAATCGGTTTAAGTGGTCGATCTCAACAGAAGTTACGTGGCTTACCCAATACTTTCAAATATGCTAACATGATGGTGGGAAAAACAGCATCAGAATTCGGTGGATATGCGAAACAGCTAACGCTGTCGTCGTCGTCCGCGGTGACATTGGCGATGGTCAGAACGTGCAGCCCGGTAGGGCCCTTGTAATCCGTACTATACCGTTGATTCTTGGAGCTACCGGGATCACCTTCCAAAAAAATTAGCCGGTCTCCATGCTTCCAACCAGTCCTCCGACTAGAGGCTACCCGGCAAGCAAATGTCGCTGTTTGGCCCAAATGAACTGTCTGATTTTCCATAGGTTCTGAGAAAATTGCGGGAGTCGTGGACTCTACTGCGGCAATGTGTCCTACAATTATAATAAAAGCCATGGTCAGTTTAACGTATATGTTTCTTATGTCATGTACATGCGTGTGGCTTATATAATATAGGCATACGCTTGAATTATGCACTTAAAACAAAAGCGAAATATACGATACAGAAATAAGAACAGAGCGTTTCTATACCATGTACACGTGCATTCGAGGATACAGTACTCATAATCACATCTTGATTTTCATATCGTATACCGTTAGACACTAGGTAACTGTCGGTTTTTCTACTGTATGGGAACCGGAAACTACTTGTCACGATCAGCTTAAATGATATTATAATAAATCCATACATCTCTGGTCAAACACGACGTATTCCCTTATTGGCGCTTTAATTCATTTGATAGCATTCATTGTGAGTACGGGAATGCTAGAGCGGAATTTTCAAAGACAGCTCTATAGTGTGGCAAATATTGACGTAAGAACTTAATGACACTATTTTAACGTGTCATAATTCCGACACAGTCGCAGGCCGCTCGGCATGGCAATCAAACCACACAGCGATGCGTTGCTTGTAATAATGAAAATAACGGCTACATCCGTGTATAACATTTGCTCATCAAGTGCCCACTTGGACCATGTTTGAAAGTAATCAAAAATTCACGGGAGACTACCATTCAAGTGCAGGCCACGCTTGGATCTACTTACATTTATCGCCACTAAAAATAAAAGAAATTCACCCGACTGTATCGATTCCAATTTTAACCAAGCCTAACCCCGACTCAATCATAGTGATACAATCAAAATGAAAACATGATTATGTTTTGTTTAGTTATATAAATATCTATGTTGCGATTCATGGACTCTGAAGCTATCAAATCGGCATAAAGTTAACCCGCTGTCAGAATCTGCTGACCACTGCTGGGCACAGCTTATACAGTAATGTATTCGATCATACTAAAATTCATTCAGCTGGAACGACTGAAAATGAGGGTTTTCATGAATGATTTTTCATTTTATTGTTAATGGAAGGTAACTACCGTCTGTCGCAGATGCGTCAGAATGATGAAAAGCGTAATAACAAGTAAATTCTGCAAACGCAATTTTGTCAACTGATTTTGACCGGATTGTTGTTCGAGCGAAATTCTATCGTTTTACAGCACGAGTACAGGACTTACACAGTCTGTTTTTCCAGAGCTACACCGTATGCGAAGTTTCTTGATAATAATAACATTTATGAAGACACAAATCGGATAATGGTACGATAACATACAGACATCTGTACGTACTAAGTATATATGGTCCAGTTATTGTGGATGGCCCATATCTAACTAAAGAGCACTAACTAAACTACTGATCTTCTACAGAAATTTTGGGAGAGCAAGCTGATTGCGCACGTTAAAGACTTAAGGTACCCTTCGTAATTCTTTCTAACACATTAGATGAGCATGTTGAATTTGCTTTTTGCTCGTGATATTCAGATTAATATTTGACCATTCCGAGAGATGAAGGTATTTTTCCCGCTGCGCATATCAAATGTCGTAACACGGGTAATGCTGTTTATTCACTCGGTTAAGCAAGCGGATCCCTCAGCTCAGTTAAAATCAGCCCCAAAGTGCACTCTAACTCTCCGCCGGCAGAATCCCCAATTTTAAATCCATCAGAACTAATCAATACTCGTTCCGCATCACTAATTTTGCAAAATTCGACACATGCTTCACATATAATACAAACAGACCCCATTTCCCCCGATTTAGCTTTGTGCACTGCAAAATGGCTTCTCTCGCTGCATACATGCGGGTTATGAAACTGACATGAATGAATTATAGCTTGATTGCAGAGTCACATACTTAATAGACAAATAAAAGAGCAATAAATTTTTGCCGTATGTCGTTTATGTACCATGAGGATTTCGCGCTCTTAACAAAATCTACAATATAAACATACAGAGGCGAAAGATGCTGCGCCGGGGACACTGTTATTCATCATCTTCATCGTCATGTATTCTTCACCAGAGGCGACTTTCAGCCACAGTTCACGGTCACGAAAACATAATCCATAACATTATATGACCGTCACATCCTACCATTAACAATGTGATCGATAAATTAAACACACATTTTAACCACTAAAATGTTACTATTTCTCTCGTACCAAGTGCAAAACATTCGAGTAACAATGTAAGCCTCTTTATATTGCAGCCAAATACTGTACTTAAACCCACGTTTCCGCTGTTCAGAATGGAAACCCTTAATATTGCGCCGGCTAGGCGTAATATGCTTTTACACAGCGTTCAATAACAATTAGCTCGGCTGGTCAGTGATGCATAAATGGATCAACTGCAATCTGTTTGCTTGAAATATCAACCCAGTGCTGACAAGCTACGCGGTGTTGTGGACGATCCAGGGCGCCGGCGATCACGATTTCCTTAGAATAACAATGGTCACAAAAGTTCCATCATACGGATCATTTTCACATTAACCCCCAGTAAACTAGTTTAAATTTAGCGCGCAGAGCCTCTCTCAGTTTTCCATGCAAAATCCCTTTCTGAGGCTTTCACACTCTGTTCCCCGTGATCTAAACAATCAATCGCCAACGATCAACCTATCCACCTAAATCCGGTCAGCTAAGAGAGCGCGAAATAGCCAGCACGCCTAACGATTACAAAGCATAAAGTGGTGTGCTTCCGACTGGTGGTATTGGCACCGTACTGCACCTCGCCGATCGGCTAAGGCGGATATTATGGGCTTATTAGTGCTGTCAAGCAAAACAGATATCGTTAGCAGCAGCGAGCAGAATACACTGCGAAACACAAAACAATTTAAATTTTTAAAAAAAGTGCTTTCAGCTTCCAGTTGATAAGTAAGTGTGTCAATTGTCAAATTGTCCAGTGAACAACGCCACCTATAAGCATAGCCACTGAAATCGGCGTTTTAGTATTTACAAAAACTTCAGTACTTCAGCTGAACTCCGTTATACTGCAACTGGTCGCAAATACACAGACAAACAATTTAACAGCACCTATTGTATCAGCACCTAGGTATCAGTCACAGATTTTTAAAAAATATCGAAGCGTCGTCTTCCTTACAAATATTTTACTAAGTCAACACGTGGGAACGACCACCAACAAGTCTAAGAATCTGATACTGACCCTGGAACCGCGCTAAAATGCGCTTCAATTAGAATCTCAATATCAGGCGTGAATTTGAGACGAAAACCCGAACTTCTCACAGAAGAGAATTTCTGGATTACGTATGTCATGATCACTACTTGTCAACGGCATTTCCTGTTTTCTGCTAAATTTCCACTGAACACTTCCATAAGTGCAACAGAGTCAGTCACTTGTGTATAAATACAATTCTGACATGCTAGTGATTATCGCGCTGGTCAGTTCGTGCTTAATGACCTGAGAGGAACTCGATCTCCTCTTTTACTCTGCGTCCGAATCAGACTGATTGTATAAAACGTTAAAATTTCCTCTCCTTCATCCACAGTCTAATTCACAACAAATTCCTAGACGTATATCCATTTGAGAAGTCGTGCAATACAGAGAACAGTAAATCACTGTTGTCTGCCGCAATTCCGCTATCAATAAGTTCTCGTCGTGCGGAACCAATGTACACAGTGCATTCATACCAAGTTCACCATGGACGGACACTAAAAGCACGCTGTTTTCCTTTCGCCCCCTCGAGTCAGCTAACTGGTTCGAGATGGCAACAGGAAATTACCACTAATTCAATTACATACACTCGCCGTCGCCAATTTGTCGCTTGTACTCTTATATGCCCTTAGCGTACGGCTCAGCGAGTTACTCGAGCGAACTGGACTATGGTCAAGCAGTTAAAAAGAAGTTTCTGGATTATAATTGGTCGTGCATTCAGATTGCTGTTTCGCTTTCCCGGTGTCATAAAATCAAATCGTCCTATACCTAGTTATCCGTATCACTCATTAAATATTAAAAACATTCCCGCAAATGCAAACAGCCCAGGCGGAATTCATGCTACCTAAACGTAACCTAGCCATCAGCATACATACTGCCCATTTTACATGCGCGCTTATTGTTAGATCTATATTATAGTATGTGGGGAACGACACTTCTATACATACATAAACATGATATACATTTTCCGCATTTTTTGCTTTCGTTACTTACGCGAGCGATTTATACAGAAGTTGTATTTCAGAACAATCAACAACGTAAAGAGGAACAAACTTAGATCTTAAAGTCTGCCAAAGGCACTAATCATTCTTTTCCATTTTCCAATAGACAATTTTAGAGTAGGAGGCGCTGGAAGTCTTGAAGATGTTGTTCACTTATGACCATCACGCAAATGTCGACTAAAGTGACCGATAACTACTGTTTTCCAGTTATGCCGCAGTGGTCCTATCCGTCCACTTGATCGGCCTTCCACGGAAACACTTTTCCCTCGGGTTCTTTTCTTTACGTCCTTTTCAAATTGTTCAGACAAGATGATAAGAAAATAGCTTACCATTTAATTTTAATGCAGCGCAAATGCCAATCATCTTCTAATGGTCCTACAATTTACAGCTTATACACTGAGCAGTGTACAATACATTAACACTCCTTATAATCAAATGTTATACTCTTATTTGCATGAACAATCTAACTAAAACTAAAATGCATGCATATCTATATAATATTCATAATTCTCACCCTTTATCAGGGTATATGTATCTGTAGTTAGTTAGCAGTTGACATGCATCTCAGTATATGTATTAGCTGCATGAAATGTGTGTTTCAGATGTTTCTTTTGTGAGATGCAATAAATATATCAGAAATAAATATTTCCCTAAGTTCTCACAATCTTAAAACCACCGCATACAAAATACCGCTTGACCTATACAGAGCCCTTTTGCTCATAATATAAACTAGGCTCTTGACGAGCACTGGCGAATCGATCCATTTCAAAAAATCAATTATGATTATACTGATCGCCAAGAGATAAATTTAGCAACATAATCCTATCCAAATACAACATGATACAGTACGACACCCAGTGCGAGTTTATTGACACAG